AAAAAAAAAATTAAATTTGGATATAAATAATTTAAAACATACATCGTTACACTATTACAAAATCAAAAAATGACCTTTCTAAAGTAGCTCCTTAGTCAGATTTCCTTTTAGGAAAAATGCTATTATATTTAATCGGAGCAAGATTTTTGGTAAAAAATTTGTCCACAGAAAAAAATAATCTTTGTAAAACCATAAGCTTCTATGCTACGCTCCGAATCTAAAACACATTATAGAAAAACCAATAGATTCCTCACTACGCTCCGAATCTAAATAGAAACATTTCGTTTTACCCTCCCGGAATATTGTCTTCTTTTAATTTTATAATAGGCATTTTTACTCTAAAATTTAGGTGAGTTTAGTCAGTCCACGTAAAGTAGATTTTGTTATATTATTTGGACTGAGACAGCACATACAGGTATAACGTCCCCTTAACACAATTTAAGTATAGTGTAATATTATAAATGTAAAATAATTTTATTGTTGTAATTAAATTTAATTATGTAATATTTTTTAAATTTTATATTGAAGGTTATAGTTTTTAAATTAAAATGCATGCGGGATACTTCATCATGGGCGATTGTAAATTCCATCGATTTATTGGTAATCGATTTTAGGGTTGGATTTATTGAATGTAAATTCGATCGGTAATTTTTACAGACTGCGAAAAAAATGTAAATTCCACCGGTTAGAAAAAAGTTGGCCCCTCTCTCAATAAATTATGGCCATTTCATTAAACCAAGAACTTACAAATTTGAAAATTCAATTTCTACTATACATCAACTACTACAATTTACGAAGCTATGATTTCGGTAACGTCGGGAGTCGGGAATAACGTAAAAACGAGACGGAATTAACTAATAACTGATGGTCAAATCCACAGATTACAACTATTTTTAACTGTCAATTTATAAAATGTCGACTGTCTTATCTAAACGACTTCTCAACTGCTGCAGATTAACGCGGTTCGATAAAATATTGTTCCCACATTAAGTGCATTTTAGTTCGTCCGCTGATTTCAACATGGACACATTAACCGAAATAATCAGCGAACGGGGCAAAGTTTTGATTTGTTTAAATAATTATAAATATTACAAACAAATAATTTTAAAGTCGTCCAAGAGAGAATCTTGCGTATACGACCTGAGTCAAGACTCAGGTGAATCGTTCTATCTCTTATGCCCTCGTATGGGAATAAAAAAAAAGAAGAGGACATTTAACATAGAAATAAGTGTAGTTGGATAAAATGAAAAGAAGCGTTAGGGGGTTTATGTGACAAGTGGTTTGGGCATGTAATGAGGAAATAGGAATTAACAGAAATACTCATATTGCGTTAAGAAAACTATATACATATAGAACGTTTTAAATCATTTTATCGAATAAGAAAAAAGAGTTTTCTGAACTTTATAACTTGCTTCAAACTCATTTTTGGCCATATTTACCAAAGTTGTAGACGACCATTGCAATAATACTTAACGTGTTTATATAGCCGCGTGCGATTCCTATCGCCACAGTCACCGCGGCCATAATCACATTGTATGTGTTAAGTCCTATTTATAAATATTAGAAAAACAAACGCGATCAAAATTGCCAGTTTCGTCAGTTGCGGCTCATCAATCGCGTCGCGCTTGTGGGAGAGCGGCCCTAACCGAGCATAGGCATAACAAGGTACAAATGCAGGGGAGGGGGTTGAAAAATGCTACTTCCAAATAATTATAATATTATACTAGTTTTTTAGTTAATGTTTAATTTTTTACTTATGAAACCCTATTTATGAATCCCTTCCCCCTTTTTACGTGCTTGGATATAACAATAAATTGATTTTCATACATGAGTATATTTTAATATTATTATTTTAATTTATATCGATCTATACGACCAAGTAACGTGACGTGGAAGTTAATTTAATTGAATAAATTTAAAATGTTATGTCGAATCTATTAATACATAAATAGCGATTGTTGTCTGTGTAATAGTATTTTATTGTATTTGTTATTTGTATATTATTATAATATACTAAACGGAACATTGTCGTTATTTGGCCTTGAAAAAAAACAATTTTTCTCTAAAAGAAACATTCTACAACACTATTACCATCTAATTAATAGTTGATATTAACTATACAAATAAAAAGAAATAATAATAAGATGACAATTTTCCTTTGGTAAGGAAAAATCTTTAATAGATATGGTGTTTTTATTTTATTAAAAATTTCAATAACTCCGTTTCTTTTTATCGACAATTTATGATTTGATGTCTATTTCATCGTTTTCGTTTGTTTTTGACTGCAAAATTATATTTCCGAATTATCATACTTCAATCGGTGGTCCAATTTGATTTCCGGTCGAATAATAGATTTTCCCAACCTTGAACTTTAATTCTTTGAATATTTGGTACCTCATCTGTATCATTATTCAATATTATACTTGTAAATTATTATCCTATGAATACGAAATTGTATTTTCGTATAAATATGAAATCGTTTCCTGTCGGTATTCCCTAATCATACAAGTAAAAAAAGAAAATTAAATCAAATTTGAACGAAATAAAATATACGTGTATACTGTCGTATCTGTATTTTGATAATTGTATATATTTATCCAACGGACTTTGAACTGTATCGACTGGGTGTATTATTATATTTTTTGGACAATAAGGTATAGCCAGCGTTCGATATGACGAAGGATTTCCGAACAAGATAGTATAAAATAAAATATAGTCTGCAAGTCGTCGGTGGTCCACACAATTACTTTTCACACGATTTACCGGTAAAATTAAAAATATACCAATTTATTAATATAATACTATACTAGTATTATACCGATATCAGTGACAAATATAACAATATGGCTATTGCGAAATTTCGGATGAAATATTACGTTGATGATATGGCACGGTAATACGAAATGACAATACGATTTTATCGTAATTTCTAGTAAGTCGAATACCTAGTTAGCAGGTGCATTTATCAACGCTTGAATTGGAAAAATAAAAAAAATGGACTATGAGACTTAAAATAAATCGTTTTCAATTATATTAACCCGGCGTAGACTCATCCCTCCCCTACTCCTTTTATATCACTTTTTAAACATCATTCGATAATTATAGAAAAAAAAAAATTTAATTAATCCTGACTAAGTTTTTTTTTATCATGAACCAGCAATCATCTCAGAGGATTTAAAATGAAATTGATTTATTTATTTTCTATTGATATAATAGCTTAATTAGTTAAATAAATAGCTTAGTTTAAGTTTTAATTTAATACAATTTTTAATTTTTTACCCATATACCCATACCCCATATACCCTAAATAATTACATAATTTTGATTTTCAATTAAGGTCACCTCCTCCTTTTATATACAGATTCGAATAGAAAATATTTTTTTAGAAATTTTGATATGCATAACACTAATATCAGATTAACCATTTATGAGTTATAACAGTTTAAAGTTTAGACTGGAGGAGTAGGGAAGGGTAATAAATTGCCTATCTATAACTATTTCAAATCTTTATGAATATTTTAGTTGAACTACAACAGAAATCAAAAAATTACCTCCTTAAAACACCATCTAGACAAAATTTCCTTTCAGAAAAAGTGCGACACTTTAAAATCGGAGCAAGATTTCTGGTAGATATTTTGTATACAATATTTAAAAAAATAAATATATAAACATCATTGTAATACCAATACATTCTTCGCTCCACTTAGAATCTAAAAAACTAATTTATAATTTATCTGAGTATGATACATATTATGTTTCTTTAAAAATCTCATTATTTATACAAAGAAATGTACCACTCTTCCGTTCTAATAGGAAAAAAAAAATAGTAAAAAGACTTTAAATAAACTAGAAAATATAATAGAGAAGCGTCGTCCCCTTGCATCTCCACCTACAAATCGATCATCGAGTATTATATATATATAAGAATCAAATTATTAAAACTTTGATGGTCGGTAGGTAACAATGTACTTAATTAGAGTTTTCATTCCTACAAAATACTAAATATGTACGACACCGAATTTTAAAACTTAACCTTTGTGTAGACTTATGTAAATAAATATTTTTCAACTGTCAATAACCTTCGTACAGTTTGTTTCACTCCGTTCATGATATTTTCGAACCCGTGAAGGAAAAATAATATAATAACCCACTGCTTCCGTATATAAACGATATCCTATTTATATTATAATTGTATAATAAAATTTGTTTGGATGGATGTTTGCTAACCCTTCACGCCAAAACTACTTAATGGATCGAGTTGAAACTTTAAATAAATCCAGACAAGGAATAATTATATAAGCTACATTTTGCTCCAAATTAAACCCTTGAAAGCATTAACGCGAGATTATTGGTATTTTTATTGATTTATCGGTTTATGTGTTATTTAAATTTTTGAAGTTTCAAATTTTAACCCCCGTCCTCACGGTTTTTCTTCTTAAATATCACCATTTTTTTTTTAAGTATTATAGTTGTACAGTTTTGGATTATTATAGTACCCGGTTTTCCATTATTTTTCAAAGACATTGATGGTTTATAATGCTTGTTCACAAATATTCGTCATACACCTAAGAGCCACAAAAATGTGCCATCTCTAGGCATTTTCTCCCTTGCGTCTTGTTAAACGCAGCTCTGTAGGTGGGAGATGACTCGTCTTTATTAAACAATCTGCTCACAAGTACTCATTTTTTTTTGTTCTATTGCAAATTTGCCTTGTTTTTCTAAGATTATAATATATGTAGTGTAACTTGAGAATTGCAACATAAGTTGAGTATAAGTAATATTTTAACGATATACCGGTAAAGCTTATGATTTTCAATTACGAAAGTGTGTAAATTGATAGACTATCAATTTGCGTGTCTCGATCGTATGCTATTAATTATTTACACACGAAATACTGATTATTCTTATGTTTGTATAATGTAACCGAATAAATTATCATCGATTACCATAAAACCAACGGAATTTATACGAGTTGATGTATTCTTTTCATTAATATTTTGTTGTTCTTGTTATGTGGTTAGAAATTTTCTATTTAAATATTACCACTGAATCAATGAAAGTACAGTTGTTTTTTTTTTTTTTATATAAAAAATTAAATAACTATTAGTTGATTAAGGTGATTGGTTTTATGAAATGGCCGAATCGAATAAAGTGGAAGTCGTGATCTCAGGCATTTCCGGAATATTTCCAGAAAGTGACAATGTGGAAGAATTAAAAGAATTGCTTTTTAGTAAACAGAACGGTATCACATTGGATTCCAGACGTTGGTCGTTAGGTGAGATAAAAATTATAGTAGGTACATCACAAAAGTACTAAAATTGAAGACAAATAATAATTGTTGACATAAATGGCACTCAAACCAAATGTTGACAAAAATGATAAAACGATATAAATTGTCCTGTAACAATATTAATTTCCATAAGTGAAAAGTTCAAAAGCACCCGAATGGGCGTACGCTGCTAAATTCTATAAATGTATTACATTAATAAAATTAAACAATTGAAATATTTTTGGAGTTTGAATATAGAAAACAGTTTTAATATTATTATAATATATCGTATTGATTTTTCGAGTTTAGATGAATATGGGATGACGTCCGGAGTTGGCAAAGTTAAGAATATTAACAAGTTTGATAATGTTTTCTTCAACATGCACAGGAAATTATGTAAGTCTTCGGAAACGGTGATAAGGGTAAACCTGGAGAGGTCTGTGGAAGCTATTATAGATGCGGGTAAGAATATGCGTTATATGATTAATAATAATTGCCTGTAATATCAACGGACGTTAAGCTATTTGATATATTATTATAATAATATTTTAATCATATGAATCAACGTAATCGTACCGAACAAAAATTTGCCATATACAAATTATTAAAATGACGTTCATAACGAAATATATGTTTAAAAAATAGAAAAATGTTCCTCCTTTCAAAAAAAAAAAAAACAACAGAATCGTAGTTAAGATAAAAACAACTATTTCAATGCTATAAACACTTTATTAATGTGGTTTATATAAACAAGAATAAAAAAGTGGGAACATAGGAAAAATATAATCATATAAGTTATATCTGTACGCAACAATAAATCATGAATATACTAAATAAATACTATTTGAGTCAAGTTTGGCTATCCATAATTAGGGATACCATTTTTTTTACGATTTTTGTCAAAATTTGATCTTAAAACAATTATGAAAAAAAAACGAATGCATTAAAATCAAATTTGTTATTTAGACCACTAAATAAAACTCATAATGTACCAAAAGTTAAATTTTTAAGCATTTCTTTTCAGTCATATAATTTTAAAAATAGACAAAAATACATATGAAAACACGAAAATAAAATACCTAAAAATACCTTAAAAATAATTTCTAGAATGTTTTTAAAATTTCATTACGACTACAAAAGGCAATATATAAATATTTTGTAAAAAATATAGGTCTCTACAATAATTTTTAACCGAAAAACAACCATACTCTCAAATGTCGTATATTTTGTTGAATTTCCTATGTTTTCCCCCGGGTTTTCGTAATTATTTGGAAAATTATAGGAAAAATCAAATAACGATTTTCTTACTTACCAACAAGAAAAAATATCTTTTAGAAAATATGCTACACATAAATTCGGAACAAAGATTTCTGGTAGAAAAATATAATCTTAAAAATTATAAATAATAAATTCGTTGCACCGCCACCGGAATTTAAAAAAACTCGTATTTTAGTATTTTTTGGTTTTTCTCGATTATTATGAAAACTACTTTAGATATCAAAAAAACCAAAACCGCTGATTCGCGTTTACTGGATATTATGTTATAACGCGTAGAATACGATGATTATTTAGAGTGTGTATGTAAGAAATAGGGAAATGATATTATTATAATTATTATAGGACGCCTACGTCTGTGGTGTACAAAATATTGTATTGGTGTGCCTATACGTTATAGAGGAAATCATCGTAAATGTCCGTCGTCGATATGGATTTTTTTTTATTTATTTATTTTTTTATGTTATGTAAAAAAAAAATAAAGTAAAAATATTATACTACGGCGGTGGCGCTCCGTGACAAATGCAAATGGGGGAGTCTCGAAATAGTTTTTATTATATTATGATTGATCGATACACGTTTGCGATAACCTGCCGATGTTGTCACCGTTCCCCATATATAAAAAAAAAGACGTCCTAGGATAATGGGGACGGGTGCAGCCACTGTTGTAGATAATTTAACGTATACCTGTAAGCAACGATAAACTATTACTTACGAAAAAACGATTCTAAACGGAGTTCAGTTGATAGTGATACTTTGTCAACAATATTTATATCATTTTATAGTAAAATAAATAAATAGGCTTTATATATTTTTTTGAATAATATTTGTTTAATGGTTTACCGATTTTCCCAATTTTCTTACGTTGTAACCAGTTTTTTACATTTTTTTGGGAAAGCTCTTGAGAAAATCGAAAAATTACCTCTTTGAAATATCTTTCCACACAAATACACCGATTTCCTTTCAGAAAACGTGGTACACTTAGAAATCCGAGAAAGTCTTCAGGTAGAAAAGTTGTTAACAGATAAAAAAAAAAACACCTTTGTAAAACTATTAGCTTCTTCGCTCCACTCAGAATCTAAAATTAATTCCTTTATCAATAGCTTAACATTAATTATACAAAAAAATCCCAAATCAACCACTAGACATTTTTTATTTGAAGAAATATTTCTGATAGAAAACAACGTTTGCAAAAATTAAAATAATAAAACCGGGATGCCATGTAACTGTAAATATTAATCAATTTTAATTTTTTGGTTTTTTCTAATTATTTTGAAAACTATATTGGATTTCAAGTACCAACATTCTTTATTAGTGGCTATGTACTAAAAGGAACAAAATTCAAAAACCGACTTTTATACTCACCAATTAGATTAAAAATGCATTGTTATTTTTCTATCATAGTAATATTTATCATAAATACCAATATTTTTCGGTTTTTCTAAATAATTATGATGTAAACTACTTGGAAAATAAAAAATCGATTTTCTTATTCACTAATATTATTTAAAGCCTCTATTCGTTTTTTATTGGAGTAATATTTCTGAAAGAAAATATGAAATCATACTTCGTAAATTTGTTAATTTTTCAATTATAATTTTTCGTCTTTTGATGAATTTTTCAAATTATTATGAAAACAGCTTGTAAATACAAGAAATGACCTCATTAATTCATCAACTAGACGCAATTATCTTTCAATAAACATGGTACATTCTATACATCAGAACAATATTTCTCTTCGAAAAGTTGTTTACAGACAGATAAATGAGTTGATTGGGGAAGATTGGGGAAGATTGCAGTCACTGTTGTAGGTGAGTAGTTGCGAAGGGGAATTTATTTAATTTATACCGGTAACCAACAATAAACCAAATTACTAAAGAAAAACGATTCAGAGCGAGATTCGATTATACATGTTTTGAAAGAAAGGCCCTAATTTTTACGGTTTTCGTCAAAATTTGATTTTAAAATTCTTATAAAAAAAAAAAATTATATTAAACTTAGATTCTGAGTGGAGCGAAGAAGATTATAGATTTATAATGATGTTAATTTTTTTATTTTTTTTTTTTGTAAACGACTTTTCTACTAGAATTATTACTTCAATTCACAAGTGTAGCACTTTTTCTGAAAAGAAATCTGACTGAAATGGTACTCTAATGAAGTTATTTTTTGATTTTCCTAGGAGTTTTCCCAATAAATGAAAAACTGGAAAAACCAAAACACAGGGAAACCGAAAAAACGGGAAAATAGATACAATATTAAACAAATATAATTAAAGAAAATGTTTAATACATAGGTAATTATTTTACTATAATATGTCATATATATTGTTGACAAAACATCACTATCAACTTTATTACGCTCAGAATTTATTTTTCGTTAGCAATGGTTAATCGTTGCTTACAGATATACATTAAATTCCTATCCTACTATCTTACCTTTCCTACTTCCTACCTTCAACAGTGACCCATCCGCGTGCGAAGTACGTCTTTTTTTTCCCATAGTTGGACATTATATAATGAACCTCCTGTCAAATTTTCAAAGATTTCTGTTTAGTCCATCAATTTCATCCACAAAGTACGTGTCTAATAAAAATTATGTAAAATATTCGCAAAATGATCATCTCTAAATAACTCAAAAATGGCTCAAATATTTTGAACATTTTACGACGTCTAGAAAAATATATATACTTTTTATGCAAAAATTTTAAACCTTAACGAATATTTTTAACTTATTGAAAATATTTGTCTAAACATTTTTGTATGCATAACATTAATATCAGATTTACTGTTTATGAATTATAACAGTTTAAAGTTTAAACCGGAAGAGTAGGCAAGGATAATGAATTGCCTAATTTTAACATTAAAATCCTCTGATATATTTGCTGGTTCATGATAAAAAAATCACCCTTTATATAAGTTTTATAATAACTGTTTTGAACATTACACATATTAATAATAGGTATTCTTATAAAGGTTTAAATCCAGGAGATTTGTACAACACGAACACGGCGGTATTCGCTTGTTCTTCGGGAGGTGAAACCGATTCAATCGCTATGTTCGACGAAACGAAATCGGGTATGACTATACTAGGTCATAACAAGGCTATGCAAGCCAATCGGCTTTCTTACGTGTTGAATTTGAACGGTAAGTGAATAAAAAATAGTATGCTAGACATTTTTCGTTTATTTTTTCTTTATCCGAGGTCTTCATTATCAAAAATTATAAGGAACGATGTTATTATATTATGCGTTTTTTAGGGCCGAGTTTCACTTTATTCTCATCGTTTACCGGTGGATTGGATGCTCTATTTTTGGCCAAAAACATGATCGAAAAGGGTCACATCAAAACCGCAATAGTCGGTGGTTGTACCCTGGTACAGCGTCCGAACTTGTCGCTGCAGCTAAAAGGTCTGGGTGTGTTGACTGATGGCATAGAAACGAGATCATTTAGCGACGATGGTACGTACATAATATTAAAAATTATATTGGGATTCTCCAGGTAACATTTAAACTCGAAGGTTGCTGTCTCTGAGATAATAATACAAATTGTGATGTAAATTGTGCACCTAGATTTCTGAAATTCAATCTCTAGAGACCCATAAAAAGTTTGTTATTTTGGAGCAAAAATCTTACTATTTTTTTGATTTATGGGATGATGAAATAAAAGAAAATACAGTGATTATTAGAAATACATGAGCGGGGGCAGGTGCGTACTAATCCACTGGGGTATCGGTAATTTCCCAATAGGTCTTTCTCATGTTAAGTCTTAATTTATACACGTTTTCCTATTTAAGATACCAAAGCGTAATGAGGGAGCTAAAGGTATTTAATTATTTTACTATGAAATGACATATTGTTATTGTTATATATATTGTTAACAAAGCATCACTATCAACTGAACTCTTCTCAGAATCGTTTTTTCATAAGTAATGATTTATCTTTGCTTACAAGTATAGATTAAATTATCTACAACAGTGGCTGCACCCGTCCTCATCATCCTAGGAAGTCTTTATTTTTTTTATACTATGTACACAATTTCTCCTAGAAATCTTGCTCAAATTAAAAAATTATGTTACCTTTTTTGTTCTAGATGAATTGAAACGGTCATTTTTTTTATTTTCCAAGTGGTTTTTATCATATTTTCGAAAAACTGTAAAAAAAAAAAAAAAAAGATTTAGGAAAAACAGACAATTTACGACAATTATTTCTTTTATTTCAATAATTTCATTTTGCTGTAACATGCACAAAAATAATGTTAAAACCTGAAATGTCCAAAAAATATTCATATTTATTCTTTATAAGTGTAAATAAATTTCAAACCGTTCTAGTGATCTTTGAGCTATTTATAGACATTTACTGTTTTCTAGTTTTTTTTTATTATAAAATTTTATATACTATTTTTGGGCACAGATATAAATTAAATTTCCTTTTATATCCCTATATTCTGCCATCCTTCGTATTCTTATACCGCTGAATACTTGAGAGAATATTCTAATAGATACCAATTCTAATATTAAGAATTACTGGCCATGTAATTGCAACCATTTTTAAATTTTAAAAAAATGAAACAAATTCTAGTTCGAAAAAAACAGAATTACCAATAATGAAAAGTCCCTTCATTCTAGTAAAACCAACACTGAAGATGTGCTCCAATGCTCCATAACATATTTTGCTGGATATTTGGTTAAAAAATGTTTGGTAAAACATACATGTGATGTCTGGGAAACTAATTTAAAAACAATGATACATACTTAATTGATTCACATCACCTTTTAATGTTTTAAAAAACATATGATTTATTGGACCAACTCAGGAAATGAAAGTTCCATCAGACTTAATATTAAAAAAAAAATATAATAATATTTTTAGATGTATTTAATGAATGTTTTAAGAATAAAATTTGAACGACATATTATACTCGCACAACTTAAAGAAAAGAGCAAAACAAATAATAATTAATATATATTGACCAACATTTATAAATCTATTCTATCGAAATGTGAAATACATTATGAATATATTATTGAGATACTTTTTAAAACAACTATTTTTAAATAATGTAAATTGAAAAATAAGAAGATTAATGGGAGAAGACAAGTCCAAAATGAAGCAAAATTGAGTATTTTAACAAAATAATTAAATATTTATTTTACTTATATTTTTAGATTCTGAGTGTAGTAAAGAATATATAGGTACTACAAAGATGTTTAAGGCAGGATGCCGCACATTTAAATGAAAATTACATTTGTCTATTTTTCTTTTTATAATCAATGGTTTTACTAAGATGTTTATTTTTTTTCTTTTTATTATATTTTTTTATCCTGTGTATGAACATTCTACCAGAAATCTTCCTCAGATATATACGCATGGCACCATATCTAGAAGGAAATGTTGTCCAGATGGTACTCTTGGAAGGTCATTTTTTGATTTGCCAAGTGGTTTTCATAATATCTGGGAAAAACTAGGATAAATCGTATGAAAAACGGGAAATTTACGAAAATAATGCTATTAATATTTTTCAACTCTGTTATTTGTTGTCATTCAGTTAAAAATATTCGTAGAAACTTGAAATTTAGACAGAAAACTTATAATTGCCTTTTCTATTCGTGGTCAAATTTTAAAACAATTGATCCATTTTTAGGCTTTTTATGAACATTTTAATATTTTTGACATTTAGTTTAAAATATTCGAATCACCTCTATGGACTTAAAATTGGGACAGAAAATTTATTTTTACATATTTAGATGTGGTCAAATTTAAAATAAAATGTAAGCCATTTTTGGACTATTTATAGACATTTTCATTTTGCGAGTTTTGTACATAATTTTTATTCGGTAGGTACTATGTGGTAAAATTGTTAGACTTAATAGTAATGATTGAAAATTTAACAGGAGGTTCAATAAGAGGTTCAATAATACCATTTGTGGTAAAAAAAAAAAAATTAGTTTTATGTAGCATTTTTTTTTTTATAAAGAAATTTTAATATACAATTTTAACGAAAATCGGTTAATAAAAAATTATGTGAAAAATTAATTTTTCAATTTTTTTTTTTTTGAACATATATATATTTTTGATTTAAGAAAGATGTAGAAGTCAGAATTGAGAGGACTAAGTTTCGAAATTAAAGCTTTTTGAAGTTCTGATATTATGCGGATACTATATGTTATGTTAAATAATTCTATATTGTCCTTTTAAAAGTATATTTGTTGTGATCTAATAGTTATTTATGTCAATTATCATACTAGAGGTTCCGACTTCAAACCAGTATGTCAACAAGACATTGTTTGCATTTTTTTCCTTTTTACCTAAACAAGGAAAAACCAAATGCATTTTTGGTGTGTAGAACTCAAGCCATCACTCCCTCGGACTATTTTAATCACGAAATACCTCTCAATTTGCTGTGCAAACTTTTCTACCAGAAATCTTGCTACGATGTATCAAGTGTAATTTATTTTCGAAAAGGAAATTTTATCTCCATGGTAATTTATGGAAGTCAATTTCTGATTTTTCAAGCGGTTTTCATAATAACTAAGGAAAACCAGGAATGGAAAATGTTGGAAAAACGGAAAATGTATGAAATATAGGTATTAATAAAAAAATATTATGGCCTTAGTTTCTGTGTACAACTTTTCTACCTGCAATTTCGCTTCAATTTAAAATGAAAGCACTTTTTCTAAGAGGAAATCTGACTGACATGGTACTTTCTAAGGGTCATTTTTCGATTTTCCCAAGAGGAATAACCTCCTCTGAACAGTTGACACTAGTGCTAGAAGAAAGGTGAAGGGAGGGGGCTAATCCCTCCCCCCGTTTTTTTTTTTATTCGTTATTTCGGTTTATGTCATCGTTTAACACATTCGTATGGTGACTATATAAAAATGATAAGTACCCCTTCTCGAAAAAAAAAAAATTTTAATCGTAATAATATTTGTTTATTATTATAAAATGTGTTATACATTTTTGCGATTTGGTGATTTCTGAGATGTAAAATCAATTGGTCGTTAGTAACGGTTAGATCTATACTTGGAAAACTCTAATATTGCTATTATTATGTAGATTGTTCATCTAACTACGAGCATACTTTAGGACAAATCCGGTTATAAAATGTTAGGTTCTAACGTAGAAAATATTATATATTAATATCATTAAATATATATGGTTAAATATCACATAGAAATGTAGAATTACTTTTGAAACGTAATATAATTATTTAGATTTTAAAAATACCTTTTATGATCATATATTTAGAATTTTATTTTATTATTTAATCAATAATATCATATTGTTAATATATTTAAAATATCATTTTGCCCTTGAATTTATATATTATATTATATATTTTTATATGACTATTATTATGATCATACTGATTAATTTTTCAGTTCACCTCTTGTTAAGTCAAATCACTCGCAAACTACCTATATCTACAGAAAATATTTTGTTTGAATTAACTTTGTTCGGAATTAATATAGGATATTTAAGAAACAAGCAACTCTACAATTTTACGTTTATGTTATTTCTTGTCACTTTTATTTTCGGGGGTAAAACCTACCTATTTTTGTAAAATAGTAGAGCTGTTGGTTTCTTAAATGTCCTATAAAACAAATTCTGAAAAAAGTTGATACTTTCAAAGATAATTTGTGTCTTAAGATAGATTGATCACTTTGAATACACACTACTTATAATAATGTATATTTTACTGAAAAATACACCACATGGTAACATCTCTAGTAACGACGACGGTAATTCATATTATTTATGTTTTTAGCCGAGGGTTTCAACAGAGCGGAATCGTGTGTATCAATTTTGTTACAAAACTCATTGGATGCGAAACGATCATACGGCACATTGGTGGGCGTCAAAGTAGAACAGTTCGGAGAGCTCCGGGGAGTGTTCACCAGTTACTCGACCGAACGCTTCAAAGAAGTAATAATGGGAGCTTACAAAGAGGCGGGCATAGATCCCTCAACCGTGGCGTACATCGAAGCCGACGGATGTGGAATTAAGGTTAGATCGATAGCTAATAGAAAAACAAAAGAAATTGTAAAATAACCGAATTTATATAACATTTCGTTTGTTGATCGAATCTATGTATATAATTTTTAGAATGTAGACGCGATGGAACTGGACATAATAAAACAAGTATTTTGCACACCCGATCGGAAAGAGCCCTTAAAAGTCGGTTCAATAAAAAGCAATATAGGCCATACCGACGCTGCGTCCTGTCTTGTTTCATTGATGAAAACGATAATTGCAATGGATACCGGATACATACCTCCAAACATAAATTATAACACTCCGAACAGTTTAACGGACGCGCATAAATCCAGACAATTACAAGTATAATAATTGATGAAATTAATTTTTACAATAAAATCATACTAAACGAACAAATGATAAGGGGCTGTAAACAAATAAATCTGATAAGTATAATTAAATTATATGAAAACTATTAAATTCATAATATTTGACATAATATGAAAGGTTAGATTTAAGAAAATACTTGTGGTATGTATCTATAAGCGTGAGCAGGTTCTCTTAGTAGAGGATTTAACGATCTTTGAAATCAAATCATACACAAAAATCAGAGGCTATGGATTAAAATTAATTTGAACAACTGGTCCAATTTTTATTTCTTTTAAGGGAGGAGGATTTCCCTCTAATGCCCTCTTCCATATTTTCACCAATGCATAAAATCAAAAGGACATTTATATAAAATTCATATTTAACATATTTTTTTAAAAACACTGGTGGAAAGTCTCGCAGAGAAAGCAGTTACCTTTCCTACCTTCTTCGTACGTAAATCTACATTTGCTGGGTCAGTGGCGGATCTAGGATTTTCTCACGGGGAAAGATATAAAATATATTTGTAAATATGTAATATATAAGCTTTATTCTACTAAAAGTTAACGGTTTGAAAGCATAGATAACAAATTGTACTATTAATGTTTAGAAGCCTGCTGCCGGCAAGTGGGTAGGTAGTATCACAGAACAATATACAATAGTCACTCGATCAGCTTATCTCCGGGGTATGATATAAGTACGAGGTATATATCTGTAGTCTAATATGAAGTTAGATATGTTAGTTCTTCTTGGTTACGAAATGACGAAAACTAAATAATAAAAAAAAGCTGATAATGAGGGTGGGAGCAGACACTGTTATAAGTGAGAAATTTGGACGGTGGAATACATAAGGTTATTTCATTTATATCTGTAAGAAACTATAAATCATTGCTTGATGGAAGACGATTTAGGCGCAGTTCGATAATACACAATTTGAAGTGCCGTATTTTTTTTTTTTTTCGATTTTTGTTTAAATTTGATTTCAAAATACTTATTAAAAAAAAAATCGTCCAATCATTATGAACATTTTACCACGTCTAGATAAATACAATATAATTATTATTACCAAGTTTCAAGTCTTTACGTGTTTTTATAACCGAGTTACAGCAAAAACTTTCCAAAAATTAAAATTTTTTAAAAGCTCAAAAGTTTTGCCAATGACGCCGTAAGAAAGTAAATCAAAAAGGTAACAAAAGAGGTGTTTTGTGATTTTTCGATTAAATCATTTTTTTCATGTAAAAAACGTCGTCCGTGTTTTCATTAAATAACGAAATTGAAATTGTAGGTTTTCCTATGTTTTTTCCCACTTAAGAGCTTTTATTTAAAAAAATAGCGTAGAAAATCAAAAAATGACTCTTTTAAAGTACCATCTAAACAACTTGATAATTTATAAAACTTGTTACACGTATATATCGGAGCAAATTTACTAGGAAAAAACGTATCAACAGACTAAAACAGAGAGCAAAAAAAAAAAAGGAGAAATAAACAGCATTGTAAAACCAATAGCTCTCTCGCTATATTTGTAGTCTAAAATTTTTAAATACATAGACATTTTTCATTAATTTTGTTCTAAAATACACAATAATATGTCTTTAATCTAATATAGTACTTAATATTAAGATACACCGTGTATACAATTTTTATTTTGTTATTAATAAGTTATGACTCTTCAATCTAATATGCAAATATAAATTATATTAAATAATAATTAATAAACTTAAATAAATTAACTAATTATAAAAAAACATCTTAAATATAAAACTTGAAGTCCACTATAAAGCATTGGTAATTCCAAATTGATATAATTTTTGATAATATTTCTACTATATAATATCGTCACAGAGAAGTTATTTGGATAATGAATACGACATTTTTCACATGAATAATGATATCAATAAAGATCAATAAAGATTTTAATTATTTTTAAAGGTATCTGATCACATTTACTATAATAAAAATCGCTTACAAAGTTGCTAGAAAAGACGACTGAAAATAGTGAGTCTTAGACCTAATTTTAGGTTGATGTTAAATATAGGGATACCAGGTTATGAAATAAAAATAAAGGACAACAGTAAAAACTATTGAAGAGTGGGGGACATTTGTTCAATTTTTTCATCTGTTACGGAGATACCGGAACACTGTCATGGATTATGAGACATTCCTGTGTAATATGGGATTTATGGCATCCCTAGTTAAGTATAATAATTATTTTTCAGCCCAAGTACAAGTTAAAAAAGACGTCCTATGAAAATGGGGACGGGTGCAGCCACTGTTATAGATAATTTAATGTATACCTGTAATCAATGCTAAACTATTGCCTACAAAAAAACGATTCTGAGTGGAGTTCAATTGATAGTGATGCTTTGTCAACAATATACATGTTATTTTATATTAAAATATTTAAAATATTTGTTTAATGTTTTATCGATTTTTCCCAGATTTCTTACGTTTTTCCCATGTTTTATACTGGTTTTTCATATTTTCTGGGAAAGCTTTTAAGGTCTCTTTTTAGTGCCGTAACCAATGATTATGCCACTTGTGTGTAAATCTGTTCCTGATGAGGGGGAAGCTTATATTATTATATTCATATAAATATTATAATATATTATAATATCTTATCGTTACAGATTGTCACTGAAAAGACGCCTTTAAACGGCGATTACGTAGGTATTAATATGTTTGGTAGGACGGGGAACTATGGTCACATGATTTTGAAAAAGCACAATAAACTGAAGAAAAAAATATATGCAGAAAACGAAATGTTCTTCGATGGATTATCAAGATTGATCTTCATTTCCGGTCGAACGGAATACGGAGTCAAGCAATCTATAAAAACGGTATGGTTTTTTTTTGATGCGTTTAGTATTTTATCATTTACAATAATAAATTTTATAATCACAGTATTCTATCTATAAAAGTAAAATAAACTTGCCATTTTAAAATCATTTATAGATTGTAAGTTATAACGTCGATGAAGAATATGTCGCGTTACTGCACAGTGTATTTTCAAAAAACATTCGCGGGCACTTCCACCGCAGTTACATTATTCTTCCGACTACGGATTCATCTAGAGAAATAGATGTATTTGTAAGTGAACAATCATTGAGAGATTGATTGTTGATCAATAAAGAAATAAAAAACTATAAACCGTATAATTTTCAGTCAATTACCAATGAAAAACCCCCTGTCTGGTTCGTGTTCTCCGGCATGGGTTCTCAATGGCTGGGTATGGGCGAGCAGCTGTTGAAAATCCCGATTTTCAATCGAGCTATTGAAAAATGCGACGCCGTACTAAAACCGTTGGGCATCGATATATTTCATATTTTGACCAGCCAAGAATGTAATTTGTTCGACAATATACTCAACTCGTTCGTCGGGATATCCGCGATTCAGGTTTGTGCATGTGTGCTTGTGTACTTAGTGTCCCGCAAACTGAGGTTAGTGTATACAACTCAGTGGAGTAAGTATACTAATTCGGCCATAATGCAAAAAACTTACGTCACTTTAATACTCGGAGAAAACTAGGTGTATTTCCTACAGAGTGCATTTTATTGTATAAAAAATAAGTAAACAAAATCTAATTCAAAATATAAATTAAAAAATGATGGATATACTCCGCACGATGGGTGGGCAACTTTTTTTAGTGGGAAGTTGGGAAGGTAGGATATTGAGGGAATTCAATATATATCTGTATGCAACGGTTAAGTATTGCTGACGAAAAAAAAGCGGAGTTTGGTTATACATACTTTAAAAGGCCGAAATATTTACGATGTTTACGAAAAAGATCTTTTGTAAGTTTATAATTATAATAAATTTATGATAGAAAACTGAAAATATACATATTTTAAAAAATAAAATCGTATTTTTTGGTTTTTCCCAATTATTATGAAAATTACTTTAAATCTAAAAAATAAATTTTTTTGTTAGTGACTGTATATTAAATTGAACAAAATTGATCTCTTTTCATTTTATGATTGGAGCAAGATTTCTAGTAAAAAACATAAGTTGTAAAAATTAAAAATATTGAAAACTGTAATGCAGTAGCATGTCGTAAATACTTGCTATTTTACTTATAATTTTCTATCGGGTTTTCATAATTATTTTGAAAGGTTCTTGGAAATTAAAGAACGATCTAATGCACCATCTAGACAAAATTTCTTTCCAGAAAAATTACTATACTCTACAAATCGAAGCAAGATTTCTTTTCGTAAAGTTATTTATATACAGACAGAAAAAAAACATCCATCATAGTGAAACCAATAGATCCCTCGCTACTCGCTGAATCTAAATTAAACATCATTGCAAAACCAATACATTCATCACTCCATTCAGAATCTAATTTATACATGGATATTAAGCATGCTACTCCCATTTTTAGGGTAAATTATGCATGTATACAAATTCTGATTTTAGAAATTTTGAAGTTTAGTTAAAGACGATATTTTTGTATACTTAAATTTTTCACAAAATTTAAGAAATTAATGATACCAACTGTTGTTTTTCAAACGAGAACCTATATTAAAAATTCCATAAATAGATGGAGTAATAGTTAAAATAAACATTGGTGTTGAAATATTTGATTTCTACCTACTAGCTCACGAGATATTCCATTCATAGAACTCGTATAATTATTTATGCAAATCGTACTTGTATAATCATAAAACAAGATGTTATTATTGATATTAATTTTTTTCAATTTTAAATACATGAATCTTTTTGTAGAAAATTAGTCCTTTAGAAATTAAGGCTTTAAAATAGCCGCATTACTTGAAATCCCTTATTTACGTTATATCACTGAACTAGAAATCATTAATAATATTTCGATATCTGCTAAAGACAATTATATCGAAGGACGATATAATTGGAGATGACTGGAATCGGTTTTCAATATTTCTCCAATAATTTTGTAAAATATAAATTTGTATTTTTATATTCTTTACCATATACAATTTTTGGAATATTTAAATTTACTTCCATCAAAACCTAGTAAACTTGTTGATTAATTTATCTTCGAATTTATTAAAATCCCTACAGTTTCGTTTGGCTTTTCGGTGTCAATTTTACTTTTTTTTTCAGCGAATGTAATCTCCTAAGATCTTGTTATATCAGTCTGGATACGTCTGGATAAAGCCAGTATTTTATTAGCTGTGTTGTATGTTTTATATAGAAGAATTATCATTACACGATTGTATCAGGCATCAACAGTCATTGCTAGTCAGAAATTTCCTAAGTTGGGTCAAGCTCAACTATTATTACCATGAGGATTCGTGCACACTTTTAAAATCATACAATATGATAAATAGCATAACTATAACCTAACTCCTTATTCTAAAAATTGACTCTAACTTGTCCTAACCACGACGTTCCATTTATAGATAGGTCTAGTGGATATTCTGCGAGTATTGGAAATTGAACCAGATGGCATGATCGGACATTCCGTGGGAGAACTGGGCTGTGCGTACGCTGACGGTGCCTTTACTGCCGAGGAAATGATATTGGCCGCGTACGCTCGTGGCCGTGCTTCCGTTGACACGCCACTGCCGGATGGCATGATGGCCGCTATTGGTCTCGGGTACCATTCCATCAAAGACTTAGTACCAGCAGACGTGGACGTGGCTTGCCACAACTCGGCGGACAGCTGCACCATATCCGGTCCCACCAAAAGTATCATGGAATTTGTCGGCAAGCTCAATTCGCAAAAAATATTTGCCAAGACCGTAAATGTTTCCAACATATCGTTCCATAGTCGTTACATAAAACCTGCGGCGCCAAACCTACTGCAAAACCTCAGAAAGGTATACATAATATTATAATATAGGTTCAGAACTAAATATATTATGATATTATACTTGTACTATAAACACTCATAGTGCTGTAATTGAGAAAAAATTAGCAGAAGTAGTCTAGATACTTTTAAAAAAGTAGCATCCCTAGAATTTTAATAATCCCCATATTATCGCGAGTAATTTCCACATCCTTTTTTACGGTTGTCTAAGAAGCATTAATATAAAACCATTAAACACGTATCATAAAATCATTTAATAATTGTTTTGATATAATTTGTCTTTTTAAAACAATTAAACAATTTTTTTTATATAAATTAATCATTTTTTATTTTTAAACATCTTCATTTTTAAAAGATTTTATAGATGAGAATATTGATCAATGAGTTAAACTAAATAATAGTATGTTATGGCACAGATATAGATAATATCTTTTTTCGTTTTATTGTATATATCTGTGGGTTACTGGTTACTTGGATATTTAGATAATGAATGGTTATCATTGATAGCTACTTATCAGTTATCATGTATTAGATTTGAGACATCAATTCATTTTATAAATATTAGTACATTTTGTAAGATTTTTATATTTATCACACAAATTTTAGTAGAGAAATTTTATTAAAATAGGTAAACTTAAATAACAACGCATGCCATGGGTTTCCCTTTAAAAAAAAAATGTAGGGATACGCTAGAATATCCCAAAAATTATTTGAATTACTCAGTTCCCCCGCGTTTCTCGCAAATCAAGTACTGATTACTTGTTGAAAGGTGCTAAGATGTCAACCGGTAAAATCACTAGAATATTTTAATCTTTATGAGAAGGTTGATCCTTTCTTAGCATCTCTTTCCTAAAATTTAACAAAAAGAAAACAAGTTTTTATACATATTGTTTACTTAGATTCAATCATATAGCGAAACACATTTTTTGAAAAAGGATGTTTAAAATAAATGTATCTATGTAGACATTTTTACTCGATAATTTATAAATTTTCGTTACCCGTTGACTATCGTAGATTTTACCAAATCCCAAGAAGAGGTCACCGCGGTGGTTAAGCACGTCCATACCAGAATCGAAATGGGACACCGACTTAGCGCGTTATAGTTCGGCAGAATACCATACCAACAACTTGCTGAATCCCGTGTTATTCGAGGAGACGAGCGTGCACATACCAAAAAACGCTGTCGTTATCGAAATTGCACCGCATGGTCTCTTGCAGGCTGTGCTGAAAAGATCTCTGAGTAATATGGTTAACATTCCGATGACCCAAAGAGTGTACGGAAATTCCATTAAATACTTATTGATGGCCATTGGGAAGTAAGTGAATCAATAAATATTAAAATAAATTATTAAATCCGTGAATATATCGAATAGAAATGCATTACTATTAAATTATTACTTACGTTTTTTGGTTACCTTTTATAGAATGTATTGCAGTGGTCTTAATCCAAAAATTGATATGCTTTACAATCCAATAAGTTACCCGGTTTCTATTGGAACTCCTCCAATACATACATTGAATATTTGGAATCATGAAGAAGATTGGTCGACCATCGATATATCGATACTGGTATGTACCAAATAAAATCAGACCTCAAGACCTGAATATATTTGTAAATAATATTATAGTTGGAAAGAAAAATCTTATTTTAATTTGTTTACTATATAATTTATTATGCATGTGAATTACAACATAATAAAAAATGTAACTAAATTTTATATACGAATGCAGTTTTAATATAAGTACATTTTTAGTTGAGTAATGTCAAAGGAGAAAGATTAATTTCATTGTGTCCGACGAAAAACAGTTTTATCGAAGAATATGAAATACTTGGTCAACACGTCTTACCACTTTCAGCATTACTGGTACTTATATACAAATAAGAAAAAACTATTAAAAAATACAATACATTTTTACTTTTATTAATACTGCGTAGGTAAAAACATACTAACATTATTTATTTACCCAATAACTGTAAAAATTATAGATACTGTACAGTAAACATTTTAGAATATCTAACTTTTGTTTAGTTTTTTACGTGGCAATCTTTCTTAAGATTATGCAACGAAAATGATGATACTGACGTTAGTTGTTTACCAGTCGTATTTCAAGACATTCATTACCATCGACACGTTGTGATAAACAAAATCGGTACGTATATAAATTACTATATGAGTCGTCTAATTGCAAAAGGTCGTATGTCCAATCTCATTGAAAATCGATATTATGCCATTTTATAATTCTGAGCGGAGCAAGAAATTTATTGATTTTACAATATTTTTTTTTGTATTTTTTTCCGTAGAAAACTTTTCTACCAGGAATTTTGCTTTGATTTTCCAGTGTAGCACTTTTTCTCAAAAAAAATCTGATTGAGGTGGTACTTTATGAAGATTCAATCCTTGGATTTTTAATAATTAAGAGGAAAAACCGGGAAAACCCTTAGGAAGAACGGGGTAATTTACGAAATGTATTATTTTAGATTCTGAGTAAAGCGAAGAAACTAATGGTTTTAAAAACATATTTATTTTTTTTTTATTTTTGTGTGGATGACTTTTCTACCAAAAGACTTGCTCCGATTTTTACGTGTAGCAACTTTTCTCAAAGAAATTCGGTGTGGGGAGTTTACCTTCAAAAGGTCATTTTCTTAAGATTTTTTTCATCGAAGGCGAAAAACCGAAAAAAACGGGGAAATGTAAGAAATATATTTATATAGTAATACAATTTTTTTTTCAGTAGGCAACTTTTCTACTGACAATTTTACTCCAACTTTTAATGATAGCAACGTTTCAAAAAGGAAATTTCACTGGTGGGGGGGGGGGCATTTAAGAGAGGCCATTTTTCGATTTTCTCTGGAGTTTTCTCTGCAAATGTGAAAAATTGACAAAAATGATGGGAAAACCAGGAAATTAGGTACATCATTAAATAAATATTGTTAAAGGAAATATATAAAGCCTATGTAATATGGCATATACATTGTTAATAAAATATCAGTATCAAATGAACTACGCTCAGAATTATTTTTTCGTAAGCAATGGTTTATCATCGTCCTGTCAATTTATAATAAATAAATAAACATTCTGTCGGTTTACTAACGTTTAGAAACTGGCCAATTGCGTACGGAAATATTGAAAGGAACTGGGCATTTTGAATTGTGTTTGAACAACATAAACGTATTGTCGGGAAATATTTTCGCGTTAAACGAATACAAATCCAATCAATTTGGCAAAAAGAAAGATTTGAACGTGCCAAAAGAAGAAAATGATGATGGCGGTAATCAACTTCTTGTATCATTGAGTCACGAAGAAGTTTATTCGACTTTCGAAGAATTCGATTTCTGTGTCGGCAAAGTTTTCAAAGCGATAAAATGCGTGGATATTTTCCAAGATGGTTTGCTTACGATTTTTGGATAACCTGCTTTTAGTATTGTTATAATTTTCCTTACAAAAATCGTATGTTTCACAGAATTGCGATCTGAAATGCACTGGGATAAAAATTGGATACATTTTCTGGACGCCGCGTTTCAGTTGCCGACTCTGTTCAACATAGAAAAACGCGGCGAGCTCGTGGCCCCGATTTGGATCGAAGAAATACAAATCGATCCCACTGCTATGGCGCACCTCGAGTCCGAAGGTAATTGAACTACATATTAAACATTATATAGACAGTCACGGGAATGGGGTAAAACATAGTCAGATTTTTCTTCATAAAGCATGGGAGTGGGGAGATCTGAAAAATCGCATTCGATATGTTAGATAATATTGATTAGTTACCACCATGGAGCGGTGGAGTGCCATTCACCGTATGTTTGTTTATGACGTATTTGTGAAAAATAATAAATCTTAAATGAATAAATTTGTCTCAGAATACTCTTTTTTTGTTTTGTCTATCTATTTTCAACCCTATTACCGTAACTCACCTTATATACAGGATATAATAGGATTATTTAAAATAATGCAATAACTTTGTTCTATTGAATATAAGTCATTAAACAATTTAGGCAATTTAACCTGTGTGGAATAAAATGAGAGACTAAGATGGGCAAATATTAATAGAGTTGGAGTCAAGAGTTGAGAGATGAAAAGGATCTTTTGAAAAGAGTTACTAAATGGTGCCAGCTCAGCTAATAGTACATACCAAATATAAAAGAGCAGTGCAATACATAAAGAATGTTAGTAGAAGAAGTAAAAATTTCAATATTTAGTCTGAAAAATTGAAAAACACCCGGTGTCGATGATATCTTAGCAGAACTCAAAACGTAGCTACACGTAGTATAACCTTTACAGTGTGTCAGCTAATATGGAGTAAAGAACGAGTGCCGGAGAGCTGAAATCATTATACCAATGTACAAAAAAGGGAATAAAACCATAATGTGATAATTAGAGAAAAATCGTTGTTGAACTCTGCGTATAAGGCCTTCGCTAAATTATTACTTAATCACATTGTCCCTTATGCGGAGGGTTACCTAGGTGACTACTTATGCGAGGTGTAAACATTGCGGCGGCACAGTGCAGTTTGATTACTTATGGCTAACAGTCGGACTACGGTGGGTGGGTTAAAGGGGTCCCCAACAAGTTTTCGTGTCCAAGACTATAGCTAAAATATGTATGGAAACCATGAAATACAGAGTTATAACGCAAAATGTGATATCAGGATCTTATGCAATGAGAACCAAGCTGAAACAAGGAAACGCTTTATCCCCAGTGCTTATCAATTTTACTTTGGAGAAAGAATAAGATATGAATTCTCGGTTTTGCTGAAGATTTTTAAGTATTCTGAATGTTTTTAAAATACTCTTTTTCGGTAGTATACAATACTGTATTCTAAATATTTTTAAAAAGTATTATATTCCTTAAAGAAAAATACTTTTTGGTCACTCATTTTAGAATCTTTTTCTTTCTAAAAGAAAATTGTGAAACAATTGCATATTATAATGGTGTTATTTGACGACGCAAATCGTTATCAAACGAAATTTGTTCCGTTGGAACAAGAAATTTCCTATTATCTATATAAAAGTACCACAAAACACTTGAATTCCTTAAATGATACACCAACCATAAGAAAAAAATGTATTATATTCAACACACCGCTACTCAGCAGTGCTGCTGTTGAACATGTTTTTAGCATTGGTGATGCTGTTTTTTTTTAAAAAAAAGGGCAAAAATGAGTGATAACAATTTTGAATATGTATTAAATATTAATGTTAAAATGTAAAAACCATATTAATTTATTAAGTAAATTGTCAGGCAGAAAATAATTTTAAAAATTAAATAATACAATTAAGATATAGCATATATCATGATTATATTAAAATATTAATTAATAATTATGTTAATATATAATAATATATAAGTAATAAATAATTAACAATTAAACCTACAATAATAATATAATATGAGTATTTATAAATTTAATTTTACTTTATAATTGTGTTTCTAACTTTTCGTTTCTAAAAATGATATGTAAATGTTCTAAACGATATTATCATATGAATTTTTAATATTTTAAAATAAATTGTGTTATATTTATTAATTAATTTTAGTTATTCAGTTTAAAGTATTATGAATTAAATTTAATACATCTCTTATTGCATGAAATAATATATTATACAAACATAATTATGTTAAATATCATGATAATTATATCATGATATTAATCTAGTTTCCTACCATCTGAATTTAACTTAAAATTTCTGAGTGAAGAGAAAAGTTTATGGTTTTAAAAAGATGTTTATTTTTTTTCTGTAGACAACTTTTCTACCGGAAATCCTGCTCCAATTTTTAAGTATAGCATTTTTCTGAAAAGAAATCTGAGTGGAAAGGTCTTTTAAAGAGATAATTCTCTCAAAAAATGTGAAAACAGAAAAAAAAACAAAAGAAAAACGGGAAAATATACGAAAAGTTGGTATTAGTTTAAAAAAATAACTGCTTTTTTGTTTCCTGTTAACAGCTTTTCTTTAAGCAATTTTGCCTCGATCTACAATGTTAGCACTTTTTCTGAAAGGAAATCTGATTGGGAAGATACTATTGAGGTAGATCATTTGTTGGTATTCTCAAGAGTTTTCCCAGCAAATGTGAAAAACCGAGAAAAAACATGGGAAAAACGTAAGAAAAACGGGAAAATCGAATCAAAATTAAACAAATATTATTAAAGAAAATATATACGGTCTATTTAATTATTTTACCATAACATGACATGCACATTGTTTAAAAAGCATTACCATGACTGAACTCCGTTCAGAATCGTTTTTTCGTTAGCAATAGTTGCAATGATTGCTTACATATGTACATTAAATTCCCTTCTGTATCCTACATTCCTAATTTTTCACCTACAATAGGGGTTGCCCACGTTCTTATTATTCTAGGACAGCTTTTCTAGATTGTAATTCTAAAATATTCGGAATAAATTCGGTAAAGTATTCAGAATATTTTGGAAATACTATTGTTGTGAAGTATTTGTATATATATTCTGAATAATTCTTTTAGTATGTATTCGAATACGTATTCTTAATACTTTTTAAAAGTATTTAACCCATGTCTGGTTATAGATAATTTAATGTATACTTGTAAGCAACGTTAAACAATTACTTACGAAAAACGATTTCAGTTGATAGTGATGCTTTGTTGACAATATATATATGTCATATTATAGTAAAATAATTAATTAGGCTTTCTAGATTTATTTAATATAGTACCAATTTTTCCGGTTTTCCTATGTTTTATCCCGGTTTTTCAAATTTGATGAAAAAACTCCTGAAAAAATCGAAAAATTACCTTCCTAAAGAAATTTACTCTTTGAAACATTGCTATCATTAAATGTTGGAGCAAAATTGCTAGTTAGAAAGTTGTATACAGGAAAAAAAATAGTAATATTTTAGTTATATATTTCGTACATTTTCCAATTTTTTTTCGTTTTATTAAGTTTTACGAGAAAACTTTTGAGAAAAATTGAAAAACACCGATGTCCTTTCAAAAAAGGTGCGATACTTAGAAATCTGGGTAGAAAAGTTGTTAACAGATAAGAAAAATAATAATAAACATCTTTGTAAAACCATAAGCTCCTCTCAGAATCTAAAATTAAACAAAAAAAATATCTAAAAGAAAAAAGTTATTATATTTGTTAAATGGTCCTATTACACCCTGTATTTATATTTTTTTGTTTTCAATTCGTCCTTATTCGTTTGTGTGTAGATATATTGCCGGTAAATTATAATATTTTCACTAATGAGGTGACATGCATCGGCGTTAAAATCTCCTTACCGTGTTTTGAAATATTGCCGCTGACTACAATGTCCAACACGTTCCAGTTCCGTGAAGAGGGTTTGATCGACTTGGCTAATCCTGGTTTTGATGTTTGTTTTATATGATTATAATTTATTGTACAAAAAAACTAATTTGATAAAATGTTTTCAATAATATTATCTATTTTAGAAACCGTTAGACTTTATCGACGAGTGTATAGACATCGTACTCAAATTCAAATACCACGACGACTTTAAAAATGTTTTCGTTTGTCCTGTATACAATATTCGAGACGACCCCTCGATGAACGATTATGTCGAATATATTTTGAAAACTAAAGTACGATGACTTTGAAAAATAATTGTATTGTCAAAAATTGTAAACCAATTTTACTCGGTGATTTGACTGTTTTAGTGTTCTAATTTTGAGCTATTGGACTTCAGTACGCACCCGGAGAATTCGAATTTCAACGCGGATAACTTGCAGTACGTCGTATTAACTAGAAACGAAAAATTCTCTCATGCCATTTCATTGATGAAGAATAAAAATTATGTTCACATGATCGTGTTTTCGAACTGTCCTATAACTGACAAAGTTGACGATTATGTGATGATACTACAACAAAAGTTTGGCGGAAACTATTTGTCCTTAGTGAAAAAGGTAATATGTACTAAATTTATGTTTTAAAAAAATATAGGTAAAGTAATTTAAAAAAATTAAAATTTAATAGGTTTTTTAAGTTGAAGTTTAATTATCATGTGCCAATGATTCTTCGTTTTCACCTACGTTCTTATCTCAGTTAACCAATGTTTCCCGTTAATTTTTTTTTTAAAAAGAGTAAATTAACTAAAAATAATGTTGTTTTCATCTGTTTCATCAATATAATCTATGAATCAACAAGAATAATTCTATTTTCGTTTCAAAAATCCCAAAAACTCTGTTTAAACCAGACTTTAATGGTTGAATTTCGAAAATTTAGCTTCTACATATGGCTCTATTTGTAAGAACTTCATGTGCCTTCGATTCGGTTTTAGATAATGTGAATAATGTTTATTATAATTAAATATTTATTAAATACGTTTAAGATAAATCATGGAAAGTTAATAATAAATTAACCGAAATAATATTACAATAAAACTGAGAGTTACACAAACATGACAGTTAACACTTAACAGGTTATTTTTACAGATATCAAAAGTCGAAAATTTTATTATTCATAGATTGAGTATAGAGAATATTAATTGTACCACCCAGTTCAAAAATCTATTAACCGAATTACAGTCTTTAAATAAAATGATTTTAATCGTATCGAAAATTCAACCAACAGAAGGTATATTGGCGTTAGTGAAAAAAATGGACGGAATAATAAACATTCGGTAAAAAACTATATTTTTAACTATAATTTATTTACGTATACCAATGGTGACCACTACGGCCAAATTTGGCCTATAATAATTTATTAATTGGCCTATCAAAGTATTATTAAATCAAAATCGAAAAAAATATTAACTTTAAATTTAAAAAATTAACACTCACATTAAAAAAATGACATGTTTATACTTTACATTTTTTTTTATTTATAACAACCAAAACATGATAATTAGTAAAATATATCACTGTACCTTGGCCCACCAAGTATAATTATTGTTATTTTTTATGGCCCTCTGTTAAAAAAGATTGGTCACCACTGACTATACCATTATATTATTAACTATACTTAATGTTATTTCTGGTGGGTTCGTATAGATTTTTCTTTGTGTTGGACGATTCCGCTCCTACATTTAGAATAAGTGATCCGTTTTATTCCGAGCAAATAGCTAAAGATTTGTTAGTGAACGTTTATGAAAACGGTCAGTGGTTCACGTATAAGGAAATCGAATTTATAAACTACAAAGACAGTCAGACACCAATGAACAAAATATTCCTGGCTGACTTCTCTAATATGTCGTAAGTACTTATATTGCAGCATAATATCGACTTAAGATCGTATATTTTAAATTATTTTCATTGCGTATAGCGAACTAATCTACGTTAAAGAAAGTCGGTTTAAAAATTGGTTGGAAAATATATAGGATTTTCATAATTTTATGTTACAGTAAATTTGTTGACGAAATAATTTTTTTTAAACATTTTAGAATCATATTTTCTAAAATGTTACAATTTCCTTATTTTAAATTCGAATTTTAGTGTAGCAAGGAATGTATTGGTTTTACAATGTATTTTTTTTTTTTTATCTCTGAACTATATTTCTATTAGAAAATTTCTTCCAATGTGTCTGGTGCAACACTTTTTCTGAAAAGCGATTTTATCTCATTGGTACTAAAGCCCGCCATTTTTAGATTCCGAACGTAGAGAGAGAGCTATTGGTTTTACTAAGATGTTTATTTTTTTTCTTCTATTCTGTGGTCACGTTTTTTCCCTAGTAAACTTGCTCCAATATATACGTGTAGCTAGTTTTATAAAATATCAAGTTGTTTAGATGGTATTTTAAAGGAGTCATTTTTTGATTTTCGACGCCATATTTTAAATAAGAGCACTTAAATGGAAAAAAAACGTAGGAAAACGTACAATTTTACGATTTCATTATTTTATAAAAACACGGACGACGTTTTCTACCAGAAAAAAATGATTTAATCGAAAAATCACAAAACATCTTTTTTGTTGCTTTTTTTAATTTCCTTTATCGTTATCCTATTTTTATTCCTTACGATATCATCGTCAAAACTTTTGAACAACTGTTAAGCTTTTAAAGAATTTTAATTTTTGGGAGTTTTTTGCTGTAATTTGGTTATAAATACACGTAGAGACTTGAAACTTGGTAATAATACTTATATTGGACTTACATAAATGTGGTAAAATTTTCAAAATCATCGAACGACTTTTATTCATTTTTTAATAAGCGTTTTGAAATAAAATTTCAACGAAAATCACAAAAAAAATTAGGCCCTTAAAATTATGTATACCGAACTGCCCTCGGATCGTCTTTCGTCAAGCAATGGTTCATTGTTGCTTACAGATATAAATGAAATAACCTAATATATCTTACTTACCTAACTTCTCACCTACAATAGTGGCCACTTCCGTCCTCAGTATCACCTCTTTTTTTTAAATGGTTTTAATAATAATTGAGAAAAACCTGGTAAAAACGTAGGAAAATTTACGAATTTTTTTTTTTTTTTTTGTTGTAATGCAGTTAAATATATTTGTAGGGACGACATTCTGACAGAAATCTTATACTTGCTTTTTCTAGACATGGTAAATCTTTCAAAACTTTGTATCATTTTTGAGCTATTAATAAATATTTTAATTTTTCAAGTTACTTACGTAATTTGTACAATAGGTGCTCTGTGGATAAAATTGTTAGATCAAACAAAAATACTAGAAAATTTAATGGGAGGTTCATTATAAGTCATACTTTGTGGTAAAAAAATGAGTTTAATGTATTAATATTTTATTTTTTCATAAATGTTGTAAAATTAAATTTTTACGAAAATCGTAAATATTATTACTTTTCAATGTACCGGTGATCCATTTAAGTAGGTACACTCATTATCTCGGAAAGTATTAAATTTTTCCGAAATTGTCCCACTTTTACCATAGGTCCCATAACTTAAGTTTCAAGGGAGGGAGAAACTGAAACTAAGATTCAATATGTTCTTTTAAATCTAATTTATAAGTAGTATATGGATTGATACATGAAGTCAAGATGTACAAATAGAGGTTAAGTTATGTTATAGAATTGTGTAGGTATTTAAGTAGGTACACTCATTATCTCGGAAAGTATTACATTTTTCCGAAATTGTCCCACTTTTACCATAGGTCCCATAACTTAAGTTTCAAGGGAGGGAGAAACTGAAACTAAGATTCAATATGTTCTTTTAAATCTAATTTATAAGTAGTATATGGATTGATACATGAAGTCAAGATGTACAAATAAAGGTTAAGTTATGTTATAGAATTGTGATTGTTCCATTTCAAGAGGGTGAATCAATAGTCATGTGTCATCAACGCTCAATAAAAGCAATTTGTTGCAAGTTTTAATATTTTCCAGTGGTAGGGGGAGGGATAACTTAAACCACTGCGAGGTTGGGTTATATGAAGAAATATTGTGATTATTATAGTATTATTGCTTATAGAATAAAAGATGTTTCGGTCGAATATATTGGTCTCAGTCTCCAAGATACGAGTACCGACATGAAAAAGAACACAAGCACAGAATACAAATTAGGTCCGATAGAATATTCCGGGCTGACGTCTAGTGGTATGTCGGTAATGGGCATTTCTCCGTTTATTCCAACAGTCGTCGATATTCCGAGAGATCCTATTTTATCGTGGACGATCCCCAAAAACATTTCTCTCGAGGAAGCGTCGACTATTCCGGTACCTTATTCGATGGTAAATTTAATTATTTTATTACCAAATACCAACATTATTTTTTTATAATTGTGTTTTGATATTGTTATTTTTTGGGTATCGTTTTTTGCAGGCGTATTATATGCTTGCTGATCTGATTCAAATAATGGAAACTCAATGTATACTGGTGCACGCAGGTTTAACTGCTGTAGGACAAGCCTGTGTAGATGTTAGTCTAGAGAGAAAATGTCAAGTTTTTGTCACCGTTTTAAATTCCAAACAAATGGAGTTATTTAAACAAAGATTTCCATCGGTATGTAACAATTATATTATTAAAGAACATCGTTCTGTAGAATATCGTAATATGATTAAAACATTTCAAACCGTATAATATTTTTAAAAAAATGCAAATTACTCTACTTTAGGTACCACATACGAATATAATAATTTATGATGAAGAAAATTTTGAAATGAAATGTTTAATGGCCAATAAACGAATGGACGTAATCATAAACTGTCTCAACGGTGAAGATTTCCACGCTTCCATGCGAATCATGAAACAACACGGAACGTTTTTCCAACTGTCCAAAACCGATATGAGGAAAAAATATAAAATGGGTAAGTTTCAAACGTTATCTGAACGTTATGTTTACTTATAATATTTTAAGAACCTCTAAAGTTTATTATAACAACCAACTAATTTCTCTTAAACTCGTCTTAAAGGTTTGATACGATTTTTAAATGATGCATCGTTCTTCTCCGTTAGCACGGAGCGTTTAATTCAAGAGACCGAAAATACGAAAAAAAATATTAAAAATTTAATCGAACGGCGTTTACAGAACGGAACGATCAGATCTTTTGACCGTTGTGTAATAACTGGCGCGTGCACGGGAGCCCAAGCGTTGGAGTAAATTTTGATATTAAAATATTACCTGTAAGAAACACTTTTTTGCAACTATACTTTTTTCGGTGTACTGTTTATTCGCAGGAAATTAACAAAAGAAAACATATTACAAAAAGTCGTGATATCAACGTCGAAAGATAAAAATTTCAGCAGCATCACCGGAAACACGACACGCCAATTCCAATGCTGTCCGAATAAAGTCTATTTTGTCATTGGTAAAATGTTTTTTTTCAAGTTTAATAAGAATATCAAAATGTATACGTTCTATTACTTTAAGGACAAGGATCTGACGATTGGTTGTATCTAGTGGAATGGTTGGTACAAAGAGGTGCATTCAAAGTGGTCGTAGTTTTGGTGAAGTACTCGCTAACGCCGAAAATGTCTCACAAGTTTAACATGTTCATGGATCGTTACAAGACTATCAACGTACAATTGGTGTCTCAATCTTTGTTGAATACCGAAATTTCAGCATACAATTTGATAGCCGTTATTTCGACGATGCAATGTCCGTTAGCGGCAGTATTTTTTTTAAGCTCCGTAAGTTTTTATATTATGTATAATAAATAATATATTTGATTCTTAAAATCTGAAATTTTTGTCTTATTTGGATATTTTTAAGGTGGACGAAAAAACGGTCGAAAACGTGAAATATGCCGTGAGCCAAGTAGCCCCGAAATGTGAACAAAAACCGTTATTCACATGTTTGTTCTGCGGTGGCGCGAAGTTGTGTGAATACTTGAAATCTAGTGGCAGTGTAGATGCGTTGTGTTTGTCGTGGGCCCAAAACGAAAAAAAACCAAAGCTCACGAAAATTTTACCACTTCTGGACGATTTACTGTTGAAATCCGCGTCCCTGACCAACTCCGTGGTCATATGTTTCAAACCCATGGCTAACCTACAAACAAGTATAATCAATTAATATGTTTTAATAAAGAGTTGCCACTGTTAAAGATGGGAAGTTGGGAAGGAAGGATACATAAAGTTAGACACTTGCACCAACGATAAATCATATCTAACGAAAAACGATTTTAAAGAGAGTTCAGTTAAACATTTTGAAAGGACGTAATATTTACGATTTTCGTTAAAATTTGATATCAATATATTCTTATTTACAAAAAGCTATGCTAGGATAATGAAGACGGGTGCAGCCACTGTTGTAGGTGGGAAGTTGGGAAGGTGGGATATATACGGAAATTTAATATATATCTGTAAGCAACGATTAACCATTGCTAACAAAAAACGATTATTAACGGAGTACGGTCGATAGTGTTGCCTTGTCAACAATATTTATATGTCATAGTTTAGTAAAATAATTACATACATATTAAACATTTTTTTAAATTATATTTGTTTAATATTGTACATATTTTCCCGTTCTCTCGGTTTTCCCATGGTTTTTTCCCGGTTCTTTCTATTTATTGATAAAATTTCTGAGAAAATCAAAAAAATGCTTTTCTCAAAGTAGATCACCAGTCATTTTTCGTTTTAGAAAAAATGCCATTATTGAAAATCGGATTAAAATTATTGGTAGAAAGGTTGTCCACAAAATTGCAAATGATAAATTTATTCTTTTCGTAAATTTTTGCGTTTTTTTTCGGATATGCTCAAGTATTTAAAAAAACTGCAAAGAAATCAAAAAATGACTTTCATACTCACCAACAAGATTAACAAAACAAAAAAAAGGGCAATTGTTGTTTTTTCTATTAAATCAATATTTTCGGTAGGAAACATTATTTTTAAAAGTAATTAAATCAGTAGCGCTGCAGAGCATCTTAAATATTTGATGTTTTACCTAAAATTTTGATTTTGATTTTTTCCAATTATTATAAAGACTCCTTAAAAAATTAAAATATGACCTCCTCAATACACTAACTATATAAATTTTCCTTTCAGAAAAGGTGTTATACTTAATATATTCGGAGCAAGATTTTTGGTTGAAAAGTAGACACAAAAAATACAAAAAAAAAAAAACACATAACATTGTAAAACTATTAGATCTTTCGCCTCTCTCCGAATCTAAAATGATGCGTGTTTTTATGCTAAATTGTTTTTATAATCATTGACTGTAATTTACTGATTTTTGTGAGTGTGGATAGCATAGTATCTATTATTGATAATAAAAAGAAAGTTTTAGGTGATGGGGGGCCATGAACATTTGAAATGAAGTAAAATGCAGCTGTCTGCTTACATCTATGGCATGTTTGTATTGTGGGACCGCGTTTATTTAATATGTATCGTAATTTTGTGATATTGGTATCTGAAATGTTCTATCTTAGCGTGTGTGTGTCCTTATCACCAACTACCAACAAGCTTATTTACTTATAACCCTCCCCCCTCTCACTCTAAGTATATTTACTTTTATTTCGTTCATGTCTGTTGGCTATTACTATCTCGCTAACTTCCATTGCTATTTCATCAACCCGGGATTTTTCGAAGGTTACATAGATTGGTACTAAATTTGTATAGGTCCCATAGTTGAAATAGTCTGGATTCTAGAAGTTTCTATGTCGGATAGTATAAAAGGAAAGATTCGATGTAAACTCTAAAAGGTGAAGAAGCGAATAATGGACGATTTTAGTTTTTGTATTATGGATATTTAACTAAATGTCAAGCTGATAGAAAACTTAAATGTGTAATTCCGACGAAAAGTTTTTTTGCATTTTTAAGTATGCACAAGAATAGTTTAACAATGAAAATATATGTTAATATTTCTGAACGTTACGTTTTATCTCCAATAATAATATTTTTATCTTTTGTATATTCTGTAGAAAAAAGCATTATAAAAGTCTACGTGAACGAAATTACGTGTAACAACTAGTATATTATATAAAACAAACTCGTTACTCTTACGGTGATTAAATGACACCATGATCGGGATGTTTTGTTTTTTAAACTTTTAGATATGGATGTATTGTTGCAATTAGACTACAATAATATGTTTTTGCCGGATACTGTTGACGAGTTGGCCAGTTACTTCAAGTACGTGGTGGCCGACGAACCGGACTTTGTGGAGGTGGCCACCAAGAGCGTACTTTACGCTGACGCCAAAGGCGCTTATCCCGTTTTCGTATTACCAGGTTTCCGGCCGAACAACATTCAGAATCTATACGGTAATTTGGGCTATCCGACGTTCGCGGCTCGGTATCCAGCCAAATTCAAATCGATCAAATACGTAGCTGAAGTCCTCGTCAAAGTGAGTCACAGCATACCGTTCATATGACTATTTTCTAATCGTTTTATATTATTCTAACTAAAGATGTAAAATGATGTTTTTCTCTTTTAGAAACTCAGTCTATTGATCCAACACAGCGCGGTTACACTGGTTGGTGAATCTTGGGGCGGTACTGTCGCGCTGATTATGGCTCAGATATTGGAATCCCAAGGGATTCTGGTGTCACTATCCTTGTTAAACGGAATACCAAATATACTTCTCGATACTTTCTCTATCTTCAACAACAATATGAACGCCATGTTGCTGTCCAAATACTTATCGATTAAAGGCGAAGTATGTGCAAATACCCTACCGACAAGCAAACGCGTATTAAAAACACCGTTATAATATTATTATAGATCGCCAAAAACATTTTGACCCAACAAGGATGGGATGCGAATTTGTCGAGACTGTTGCAGTCAAACAACGTCCGGTCGGTCGACGACGTGTGCACCGTATTGACTTTGATACAGACGCAACTCAACACGCTAGTGACGTTAAAACCACTTTCCAACAAACTGCGAGCGATACCCCAAGTGTTTTTATCTAAAGCGCTGACCGAAAATACTACGAACGTCTTGATAGAGGTATGTCGGAATCTTTTTAAAAAAGCTTACAGCTTATAGGTTACACAAAAAAACTACTACATTGGGCACAATTTCTTTTTTTACCACTTAGTATAACTTATAATTTATAATGAATTTCGTGTTAAATTGCCAAGCATTGTTGTATAATGATTGCATGTAAAATGCCTATAAATTAATCAAATATATAAATGTATGATAAAAATTTAACCACATTTATAAAAGACCAATATAAGTTTTTTGTCGAAATTTCAAATCTTTAAAAATCTTATCGTCTCAATTATAGTAAAATCACAAAATTCAAAACAACGAAACCATTATTTTCATAAACTTTCCCATTTTTTCTAAGTTTTTTTCCTGGTTTTACTAAAGAACACACCTAAAATCAAAAACGAATTTTTTTTGTCACCAACTAGATTCAAAATTTAACAAAAATGGTCTGTTGTCGTTTTTTGATTAAAGGAAGATTTTCAGAAGAAAATATAATGCGAAACACTAAAAATAAAATGAAATCGGTTACGCCGTAATTTTTGGTCCGGGTTTTTTCGGTTTTAGACAATTATTTTGAAAACCCATTAGTAACATCAAAAATTGACCTACTGAATCGACCAATTGCATCTAAAATTCAATTTTTGATTAAAGCAAGATTTTTAAAAAAGTTGCTCATAAAACAAAAAATACAAATTTAAAAATAAAGAGTTGATACTAGGGACGAGTGCGGCCTCTATTATAGGTGGGAATTCAAGAAGGTAGGATACATAAAGTTATTTTATTATATATGTATGCAAAAATAAATTATTGCTAAAGAAAAACGATTTGGAGCGGTGTTTGATAAGACATGTTTTGAAATAACATATTTTTTATAAATGTCTTTAAAATTTGTTTTTAAAACGCTTATGAAAGAAAAAAACTAATACATTATTTCTAATTTGTTTTTAGTCCACTAAATACACGTATGCACTTTATGTTAAATTTTCGTGTATTTTTCTAAGTCACATATTTTTATTAATATATCTTTATGTTAAAAAAAACACCCACCATAGTAAAACCAATAAATCCCTCGCTACGTTTCGAGTTTAAAATCGAAGTATACCTAAAAATTTTATAAAAATCTCTCCTTTAATTTTTTTGATTAAAGTAAGATTTTTTGTAGAAAAGTTATTTACAGACACAATAAAAGGCACATATCATAACCCAATACATATTTCACTGCACTCCGAATCTCAAATTATTTATTAAAATTATTTATGCTCGTATTGCAAAGATTAAACATTTTTGAATTTTGAATACAAATTTGAGAACGCGGTTGGAACATTTCAAATTTCCTGTCTTTTCAGGTAAAACTTTACTATAAGTAGCATTTCAACATTTTTACAAAACATTGAAAAATCGTAAGTTCAATGGTTAAATATATACAGAGTGATTCACTAAGCGTGCTCACTATATTTATTTGGTTAAATTTTGCATATATTCAAATTCTGATTTTTGAAATTTTTAAGTATCCTGTGGTGATACCAACTTTGGTTTTTCAAATGAGAACCTGTATTAAAAATTGCATAAATAGACTGAGCATTTTGAATATAGATTATCATTTGAAAAACTAAAGTGATACGATTAAAGTAAACGAAAATATGGGATTTAACTACATTTAAAAATTTCAAAATCAGAATTTAAATATATATATATAATTTAAACCTAAAATTGAGGAAAACATTCTGTATAAGTTTGAAAATAAGTGTTTGGAAAACAATTATACATATTAATAGTAGGTATTCGTATTCCCATAAGTAGTTAAGTATATAAGAATAAGAATTCTAAGTTCTAATAAAAATTTCGGTTGTCTATCTAATCTATGTCACTTATTTGGTATTGCTCACATGGTTATAAAATTTATGCCGGATGAAAGCTCGGATTTTAAAGAAATTAATCATATCTTCACTATGCTTTTCTTTGTGTCCGAAAAACTATAAATGAATGCGACATTCGATCATTAAAATGCCCTTTTTGCATCAAACAATAATTACCTATTCTACTTAAATTAAAATGATTAAAGAACTAGAATTTTATAACTTCTATATCTAAATCTGTAATTGTAGTATCAAAATTTATTTGAAAGCTGTTGTTTATTAAATTAAAAGGTGTCCTAGGGTAATAGGAATGGATGCTGCTAATGCAGATGTTAATGTATATATCTATATGCAACGATAAACCATTGTTAACAAAAACATGATCCTAAGCGAAGTTCTTTTTTTATAGTGTTGCTCTCTCAACAATATATATTATATCATGTTATGGTAAAATAATTATATATTTTCTTTAATAATAATCGTTTAATATTATACCTATTTTTGACTCATATCAGATTTCCTTTCAGAAAAATAGTGTTTTAATTGAAAGTCAGACTGGTAAAAAGTTGTTCACAGGAAAAAAGAAGGCCGTTTTATTTTTTTATTAACACTTAAATTTCGTACACTTTTCCGTATTTCTTTTGTTTCTCCAGTTTTCCCATTTATTGAGAAATATTCAGAGAAAATCCAAAAAGTAACATCTTTAAAGTATCACCCTAGTCAAATTTCCTTTCAGAGAAAATGCTATACTTGAAAATCGAAACAAAATTCCTGGTAGAAAAGTTGTTCGCAGGAGAAAAAAACCATAGTTGTAAATCTAATATTTTCCTCACAAAATGTGTTCAGAAGCATTGAGTTTGTTGAAAGAAAATTATAATGAGGATCGTGAAACCCAATCAGAAAACTCTGAAGATGTCTCAAGGTCATCTGAAGATTTATAATATAATAATTCTGAAAATAACGATAGTGAAGTTAGTGTAAATTATGATGAATAACTTTTAATGTATATTTGGATTTATGTATATTAATATAAAGACAAACATCTTATTATATTTAATAATTAGTTAATATTATTTAAAATACATTTATTTATACATGTATACTAAAATTAATAACAACATTTTATATAGGTAGTAAAAACTTCTAATATGTAAAATTGTTCATAGCATTATAAAATTATTAAGAAAAAAAAAAAGTTGTCAATCAAAAAGTACAATTTCGTCCACTATGCTCAGTTCAAAATCTAAAGATCAAAAATATTGAAACTTTAATACTATAAACTTTCCTTTTTTCGTACGCTTTTTCCTGAATTTTCCAATTATTAAGACAACTACAATACAAATAAACAACCGATCCATTGCACCATTTTGACATTTTCTTCATTTTTCAAAAAATATTCTACAGTTGGAAATCAAAACAAGATTTCTGGTAGTAAACTTTTTCATAAACAAAAAAATTAATAAAGTACATATCACAGTTAAACCAATACAATTCTCACTGAGCTCAAAATCTAAAACAATTTTTAATAGTTCACACACGAAAAATAGTTTCATTTTTGGTTTTTAACTGTTGAGTTTTACTCTTAATTATTATTAATTGTTATTTATTTTTTCTAATCAATGGTTAATTTTTCAGTACTGTTTCAATACACCCATCGTTCACGTCATTAGCGACAACGTTACAGATATAGTGAAAGACTCGAACCTAATCAATACGATCAACGAAAACGTAGCATTTGATTATCCACACATGGCAGCCTTAACTCTGGAAGATAAATATAGTCAGTTCTATTTAAAAAAGGAAGTCAAATTTTTGATTTAATGCTTACAACGTTCGTAATATGAATTTCAAAAGATACGTACAAAACTTAATATTTCATATTTTATTTAATTTATTGTCTTTAATGTATTTTATTATTCAACTGCTAACAATACAAAAATTATACATACAAGTATTTTGATTTCGTAGTCAAATGTGTTTTATTTGTAAATTTCATAGATAAATGATAATATTTTTGTAATTTTAATTTCTGTTTATGTTAAGATATAATATTTGCTTATATTTATTTGACAGGTGTGAGTTTTAAAATAATCTTCTTATCCTGACTTTTATTAGGCTTCTCTAAGGACTATCTCTTTTATAATTAATTCTCCGTCTATCTCTATCTATCGTTAAAATCGTTTAGCTACTGAATATGGTGAAGTGAGTGGGTGGGTGGTTTACTATAATGTTTGCATCTCAAAAATGTTAAGTTTTCCATACCATCAAACCTACAAGACTTACCGAAAAATGTCTGGGCATGGAATGGTTTCATATTTTCTCTCATTTGGATTACAATGGTCAGTTGATTTGTTAGTTATATTAGTATATATAGGGTGATTTTTTTATCATGAACCAGTTAATATCTCGGTAAGTATTAGGAATTTTATAATCATTTTTTTTCCAAACTTTCTAATTTTTCTTGTTTTTCACTGTGGTATAATTTTGAAAATTTTAAATGCCTTCCTTATTTAATAAATACTATCAGCTTTTGATTTTTAAATGGCAACACCTATTTTCGAAAACGAAAATCTATAAACATATAAATACATACAAATAATAGTTTTAAAGTTTAAATATTCGTTAAATTTACTGCTACTGGGCAATTTATTAAACCCAACAGTAAAAATTCAGAAGTCAAAACGAAATTTTATCTTGTTGACGATAACGAAATCCATAACGACTGTTACGTGCCCATACGTTATTGTAGGTTTACGTGTGTGGACCAGTAGTAAATGCCGGATTGAAATTGTGTTTTTCAAGGGATCCAAAACCGGGAGCTAAGATTTCTATAAAATACAATTAACTAAACTGCACATTTTTATTCAAGAAACCACTAAAATATAATAAATATACCAATGGGGCAGTTAGACATAAAACAACGATCGTGAAGCGAGCATATGATTTAAAAAGTACCATAAACGAATTAATTAGATAGACGCGACGGTGACGGCATAAAAGATAATATAAAGATATACAATTAAATAATATAATTAACAGCCAATATAAGGGGGAACCGAACAATAGTAAAATATAAAATATTTAAAGTAGTTAGATTGTGCACAATAACACGCGAGAGGATACGGTCGTAGAGAAGTATAAAAATTTCATGAACGAAATAATGTAGATAGCCGCACTATGCACGACTGGTTGCAGGGGTCCATCCGAGCATATAATAACGCCGTCCGAAGTATCGTCGAATCAGACGAATCCATCACGATCAAATGTGAGCAACTTCACATCACTCTATTTTATGAATATTATTTGGACCTGTAGTATTTTTGTGTGGAAAATATTAATTATTTATAAACTCTAGTTGGAGTTTGATTTATTTCAACATATTTCCTCTAAGTCTACATCCTTACCTTGACCCTGTTACACGGTCATAACCGATAATAGTTATACTAATTGAACATTCTTATACTATCACTATTCCCCCCCCCCACCTAACACTATGTGACTTCAAGCTGTATCAGATATAAAGGATAAAAATAACATTTCATAATTTATCATCATGGTTACACAATGTAGCATTAATTTGGTTACTTAATCCGGTTATCTTAGTATAGCTATGGTCTTATCACTTATGATAACAACATATTTTCATTTATCATTAAAAATAACATAAACTAGATTGCTAGGTTCTCTATCACGGTTTAAGATAGATATCTTAAATCGTGTTCCCTATACTAACCGTATAAACGCTAATGCTGCATATCCGCCATTAATAAAACATTAGTATCGTATCTTGTAATAATTTTGATATCACAATTTATCACGTATATAGATTTAAATTTTTAAACAGTCTTTATATATGAATGTAAAACAAATAACAATGTTAAATATGGAAAAAAATAATAGTTTTACATCTTGCAAAATAAAAGTAAAAAATAAAAGTTTTATGAAGCTTTTATCTTTTTTTAGGCACATTCATAATACGTTTCCTCTTCCATTTCTGAATTGGTGTACAAAATCTTAATTACCAACTTGAAAAATAATATTTATTGAACTATTTATTTAATCAAATGGAACTAATTGTATAATTCATATCATTAAACACAATCATAAATTAGTAATCAAGATGACAATAAAGAAATAAGTCATGATTAAATTGTAATTATAGCTTTTTCAAAATATAATTTGAAGGAGTTGATTTCTGGTCAAAAAATATTTAATTTTTAATGAGAAATCCATAACTCTATAGTTTTTAAATCCGGAATGAAAAGAAAGAGCTTATGGTTTTACAAAGATGTTCATTTTTTATTTTTTTTTCCTTCATCTGTACGCAACTTTTCTACCAGAATAATTACTCGGATATTAAAGTGAAGCATCTTTTCTGAAAGGAAATTGGCGGAGGAAGGTACAATAAGCTAATTTTTCGAAGATTTTTCTCAACAAATTTGAAAAATGGAAAAATATAAAAATTGTAGGACTTAGTAAAAAAATATTACTGCCTTCTTTTTTTCTGTGTACAACTTTTTTACCAGAAATTTTGCTCTTATAATAATATCAATATTCCTAAAAGGAAATTTAATTGGTACTTTAGAAAGATCATTTTTCGATTTTCCTAAGAGCTTTCCCAGTAAATGTGAAAAACCGGGATAAAACATGGGAAAAATCGATAAAACATTAAACAAATATTTTATAAAGCCTATTTGAATATTTTAATATAGAATAACATGTATATTGTTGACAAAGCATCACTATCAACTGAACTCCGCTCAGAATCGTTTTTTTGTAAGCAATAGTTTAGCGTTGATTACAGGTATACATTAAATTATCTATAACAGTGGCTGCACCCGTCCCCATTTTCTTAGGACGTCTTTTTTAACTTGTACTTGAAACATTCTAAGCTTCTAATTGTTGCCATTGAGTCAGCAATATCTGTGAGAAAAAATTATTATACTTAACTAGGGATGCCGTAAATCCCATATTATACAGGAATATCTCATAACCCATGACAGTGTTCCGGTATACCCGTAACAGATGAAAAATTGAACAAATTTTACTACTAAATTGCTTTCTGTTGGAGTCTTATTATTCTTTAGTTTATTTATACTCCTGTTGATTTCAAGTTTCGAGGGATTAATAATACAAGGTACTGTCATATTATATTACAAGTAGTGCGCATTAGATAGCCTGGAAGCTGTTTTATCAAGCAACATTTTATAATAGTTTTTAAACTCTTCTGCTACTTAGCAAAACCTATTGGTTATTATTATTATAAAATTCAAGTATGTATACACGAGATTAAGAAGCAAGCAATTAATAATACTATAATAAAACGAACAGACTAAAATTTTACTTACGTTACTTGTTATTGTTTTCATACAATTTCATGGCAAGTATTTTGAGTTAATATTGTGTCAGATATCCCTAACCGAAACGATGTCAAACTTGTTATTATATATATAATACTATGGAAATGTACAAAGGAGGTCGCTAAGAGTGAGGCCGTTAAACGATTTACAATTTTTCTGGATTCAATTAGGTTGATATAGAATTACCGTTGGCTGTTTTTTAATTTAATTTAATTTTTCAAATAAACCATAGATAGATATCTTAGATATCTTTGGTTCTAGGAAAAATAAGGGCTTCAGATAATTTACAGCATTTTTAATGATGTTATTTTTGAATATATGTAAACGTTAAATCGAAAATTGTATTATTATTAGTATTGTATAATATTTCTATGTATATAACCGAGTCACTTTAAGGCAAAAATACATTTGTGCATACTTAATATTTAGTTAATCTATAATAATAACTTAAACAATGACCTTATTCGTGTATATTTTATGGAATACCAAAGATACTAAATTATATTGACTTTCGTATACGCATTGTAATATTATAATAAATAATAACAACCAATAAAAAAATGCATTCAACAAATAATACACTTAAATAGTGTATCGTATGTCCTCTTATTCAGTGAATTATCGATAAAGACGTAAGACACCATGTCGTGGATAATGTACAAATACACGCGACCGTATTTCAAAGTGAGTAACAAATTTACATTAAAACGGAAACGAATGTACATTAAATTGACACCGTGAGTTTTGGTAAATTTTGAAATTTTAGTCAGAATTGTCTAGATTTTACCAGATAATTTTTATAATTTTATTTAAAGTTGGCACCGGTATGTTTGTTTACGGAATAAAATATGCAGTAGTCTTGGCAAATTCTGAAAGTTGTCTTGCAAGACTGGATAAAGTTTTAATATTTGTCAAGAATTTGTCGGTGCCAACGTGACGTACATCGAAAACGTAATACATATAATAATAATAATAGGAAGATAAATAATCCTATTTGAAATTTGAATAAATGTGGTGGGAACAATTTTTTACTTTATAGTAAAATTACTTAGTAAATTGAACCTTTTTACCAACAAATGGTACAAAAAAACAATCGAAAGCTGTCCTAAGATAATGGAGACGGGTTCAGCCACTGTTATAGATAATTATGTATACCTGTAAGCAACGATAAATGATTGTTGACGAAAATACGATTCTGAGCGGAGTTCAATTGATAGTGATGCTTTGTTAACAATATTGTTGACATATATATATATATATATATATATATATATATATATATGTATGTTACATTATAGTAAAACAAATAGGCATTATATACATTCTTTAATAATATTTGTTTAATATACATTTTCTTCCGTTTTTCCCATGTTTTTTCCTTGTTTTTCTCATTTGTCGAGAAAAATTCTGAAAAAATCAAAAAAAGACCTCCCTAAAGTACCTTTCCAGTCAAGTTTCCTATTAAGTTCTATAATTGTAAATCAGAGCAAAATTGCTGGTAGATAAGTGGTTCACTGGAAATAAAAAGGCCGTAATATTTTTTAACTAATACCTACATTTTATCCATTTTCCCGTTTTTTCCATTTTTTTTTTAGAAAACTCCAGAGAAAATCAGAAAATAACCTCTCTAAAGTACCTCCTCATTCCGATTTCCTTTAAGAAAAGTTGCCACATTTAAAAATCGGGGTAAGATTACTAGTAGAAAGATTGCGCACAGAACAAAAAAAAAAAAAATCTAAAATTATAATAATAATTTTATAATGTTATTATCGACGTTTAGCTTAATATTTGGTCGATTGGTTACATTTACAAAAAACATTTAAAATTATTTTAATTTGTTCAATTATTAATGGGCACATACAATGTAAAATAAACGGGTCCTCTGAATTACCTATCAAATATCCAATTTAATACTTAAAAAAAAAAAAGTATATGTTATTTATATATGGAATCTAATAGGGGGTGAATGATGGACGAAGAACTAGATTGAGTTGATGAAGGCCGATCGCTTTCTATCACTTTCGGTTTGTATAGGCAACCGAAAAAAACATCGCGCCGTGATAAATAACAGTGCATAAACTAGTTGGCGTGACGCCAGTTTATCGAGAAGATAGGCAACTAAAATGTCAGCTCACTTCTCACGTTAGTTGGACGGCCAACGGACACAATTTCGTTAACGGTAGCGGCGACAATGACGATAGCCACACACAAAACTTAGAACTTACCCTTAAAAGTACGTATACAATAAAAAATAAAATGTGCTGTCGGCTACCTCTTAGACGTGGGAATCTTCATCAGTGGGCTTCGCAATTGGACGAACTGGGCGATCACTTCACAGAACACGCAATGGTCGGCGATGGTGTTACTTACGTGTTATCCCTAGTACCAGTCCCGATCTCAGACAATTGATACCGACCTATTCAGTGAGGCTTCATATATTTCCCATGGAGTCATAAAATGGCATAATATGATCATAGAGTCATTTAATGACGTCCAAGAGTTGCATAATACGTATAGCATGATGTATAATTAACACCCACCTACTCACCCAAAATGAATTAAAATTGTATACTAGTAAACTCCTCAGAAAATCATTATTTTGAACATTTTAATATGCTAAAAAAAAATGACTCCATAAAATTGTTCCACAATTAATTACACGCATTGTCCACACACTGGCGCTCCCCCCGTAGCCACTGCAGTGATCGTATGGGAGCCTTCAGAATGAGGACCGCGGAAGGCACAGAAACGCGAGACGCGTAAATCTTTTCCATCGAAATCTTTCACTTCTCTGGGTTCGCCCAACTGAAGCACTCTTTTTCTGCTCATCCAAAATCCTTACTATCTTTCCAAACCTATACGGCAGTTGCAGATACCACAGGCGGGCTGCTGTATTTGATAAATTTATATCTCTTAGAACCTGGTAGTTTTACTTATTGTTACCTTGATTTCTATCATACATTTAAACGTGTCTATTATTTTTTCTTCCATAACCTACAATAAACATACACACATTATATTACACTTGACTATCTTAACATACGAGGTCAGTAATCGTCACTTAAGATAAACGGCTGTCTGTACACTTTGTATTGTAGTAAATAATTTAAAGCAAAGTGGTTATACAATAATACGTCGGCTAGCGATTCGTTACACTAAACCAGAGGTTCCCAACCCGTGGTATGCGTACCACTAGTGGTACGCGAAAAAATAGTTTTATTACTATTTGCATTCAATATTATTTAGTTAGTTTAGTTTATTTGATATTAGCTAACTTTATAAAATTATTATTTTATCAAAATAATATTTAATGTCGATGACATAGGGTTTGTAATCGTAGCTATTTAGAATTTTAGATAATGATAAACTCTATAGTTTATTATAGTTCTTATCGATAAAGCGCATTCTTATAGTTTTAACGTCAGTGTTATTTATATTATATTTTATATAATATGGTTATGACCACTCAGTTAGCGGTAACGATTATTGGAAAATATATGTCAATGAGTTATTTTAGTGTATCGCTATACGTCTAGTATGTCGTATGAAATGATCTGTATTTTAGTGGTGTTTTATTTTAAATTTAATTTGTACATAAAATTTAATTATGAAGAGATTTCTTAAGTGTGGTGATGGTACTACTTCTATTTGAAACCCAAGTAAAAAATCAAAAATACAGCCAAATCGTAAGTACGATGTAAATTATTTGAAATTTGGCTTTGTGATTAAACCGGAAACAGAAAATAGTGAAAACCCTATTCCCCTATGCATTATATGTAAAGAGACACTTTCAAACCAAAGTATGAAATCACATACTGTTGGTGAAACGCTGATATTACCTGCAGCTAAAGATATGGTGCAAACGGTTTTAGGAGAAAAAGCAGCTAAAGAATTGGATAAAATTCCACTATCAAACAATTCTGTTAAGAGAATAATTGATACTATGGCTTCAAATATTGAAGAAATACTGTTTACTCAACCAAAAATGTGTTCGAATTTTTCTCTCCAAGTAGATGAGAGTACAGATATAACAAATATGGCACAGCTACTTGTTTTCATTCGGTATGATTTTCACAATGTATTAAATGAGGAGTAATTATTTTGTAAACCACTTGAATCAAATACGAACGCTGAAAATATTTTTTAATAAAGCTTTGGTTTCCAAAAATATGCCTGACCAACTATCCTCTGTTTTGAAATGCGCTGTAAAAGTCATAAACTTCATTAAAGCTAGAGCTCTCAATTCTTGACTGTTCAATTTTTTATGCGAAGAAATGGGAGGACAATTTAATACTTTGCTATTTCATACTGAAGTGAGATGGTTATCTCGTGACAAGATTTTAAATAGATTGTTTCAGCTGAGATCTGAAGTTAATTTGTTTTTGATTGAAAAAGACGAAGACATAAAGAATTTGTTCAACAATGAAGAATGATTATCTAGATTAGCCTACTTGGCTGATATTTTTGATAAGCTCAACACTTTAAATATGGGCTTACAAGGCATAAATATGGGGTACAAAGGTAATTCACTTTCACGTAGTGTACCCCGGGCAACGTCCTAGACGTCTAAAGAATTACCATCACCGGCTGCTGTACTGTTCATAGAACCTCACAGCAACCATGAGCAACAACAACACCAACATCAACACGTCCCAACCAGAAAACAGTCTTTCTGAGTACTATCTGATACGAGATCTGGGTCCCCAGCTCTGTATCTTTTAACTTAATGTGGTAGGAATCAGCAGTGATAAAAGCAGATATCTCAAAAAACTCTTAAAAGAGCATAAAATAGATATAGTTTTGCTGCAGGAAACTCATGTTCCAGATGAGTTACAAATGACACGGAGAACTAAAATTTCTGGATACACGCTAATCTCAGCTCTCTATCATAGAAGCTATGGATTTGCCACCTACGTTAGAAACGATATAGGCAACTGGAGCCACCTATCATTATTATATTCTGTAGCTGAGTATTGTGCTCCAGTTATACTCAATTTAAAAACATTTTCTTATATTTATTATGGCATCACGAAAATGATTTTCTGGGTTTAAATATAAGAAAATAAGAGAAGTTAAACAAAAATATATTGATAAAGAAGTAAGAAGTTTCAATTAGTTTTTAATTGAAACCTAAAGAAACTCAACAATCAAGTTAAGGTATTATTATTCATTATATTAATTATGTATTAAAATTATGTACTACATATTTTGCTTTTAACGGAAGAGGCCAACATTATGTTAGCCGAAGTGTGGACAATTTCTCGCGACAGGCCTGATCCTAAGTTATAATGTATTTATATTATTAATATTTACTACTGACATACATAGTGGTATTCATTGATGTCTTTACCTTAATTATAGTGGTGGTTCATCAAATTGTGTGAGATGCCGGTTGCATAAAGAAACCTTGGCTTATCTCGGGCGTGAACTTCGGCCGGTTACTAGAGGACTGTATAGGTGATGTTGACAAGGACGAGATAGACAAGGATACCAATAGTGTGATAGACAACAAAGCGATTTTGTGGATCACGATGAAACACCGATGTATATTGGTGTGAAAAAAAATAGAACAAAAAAAACAATAACAATAATACGTAATATGTATTCGTATAACAGGCGGGGTGGTTGCAACCGGATGATTCAATTATAAGAGAAAGGTGAAAGTAAAAAAAAAAATAATATTAATAAAGAAATCAAAATAACAAAATATTGATAACAGCATGGTGATAATATTACAATAAACTATTTGGTACGACCTGGTTACCGGTGACTGTGATTAGTCCGGGTGAACTGATACCATGGCTGTTGGTGACTGCGGTGATAACGAATGCAGACGGCGGCTCTCAGGATAATATGAGGATAATAAGCAATTAGAAGCGATGGCCGGACGTGAGTCGTGAACCGTGAGCGACCTGTCCCGGCTTTATGTGCCCTCGCGCACGTACGTTTTGGTAGACCAAAGTCGGTCGGGACTCGTTGAGAACGAACGATAAAGGAGAAACGGAAAATACCCAGCGGGCGATAATAGTCGGCAAGACAGTGGTAAAACAAACAAATAGGTAAAACGCACCCGTGACGGCGTCGGGTCGATGAGACACGGGCGATTCGACATGTGATTGTTAGAAATAGCAGTAGCAGCTATAATATACGACACATAGAACGCGTGGATTGTTTTTTTTCGTTGACCACTTTTCCAGGCATGTAGACAAACTGCATTAATCGAAGGCAAGCTGGTCGGTTTAACGCATAAGGCGTTTGTTAGCGACCCAGAACAAATGCACTTATATGATTACAATTTTCGTATAGCCTTTCGGCGGGACACTATACGAAGTTAGCACGTTTAAATGTGTAGCAATACAGAAAACATACGCAGCAGATAGATATATAGGAGTTATGAATTATCAGATACAATGGTTCGCCTTCGGTTCTGCAACCACTATATTTGGAGGATAGAATTTGAAAGTATTGTATAGGTGTGATAAAGGGACGAGTAAAAAAAAAAAGTGCTTCCGCTAGGCAAACCCAGAGAAGTGAAGATTCGATGGGAAAGATTTACACGTCTCGTTTTTCTGTGCCTTCCGCGGTCCCCACCCTGGAAGCTCTTATATGATCAACGCAGTGGTTACGGGGGGAGCGTCAGTGTGTGGACAATGCGTGTAATTAATTGTGGAATAATTTTATGGCGTAATTATATGGCAACACTGATATTTTTTATAATGAAACTGGTAATTGGACCTACTTCGTCACTCTGCTCATTTATTTCACAAATATTTAATATTAATGTACGTACAAGGGTTGTCCCAAAAGTAATGCACAATTTGCTCTGAATAAATAAGTTTTTATTTTAAACTAAATACAATATTATAGACCTTCGATATAATCTCCCTGCTTGTCTATACACGATTGCCATCGTTTCGGGAGCGCTTGAATGCCGCATAGGACGCCATCTTTGTTGAGTTCACGGATCCTTCGGCTCACTTCTTCATTTAGTATATCTAAGTTGGGAAAACGGATCCCTTTAAGTGGTTCCTTCAGTTTTGGAAATAAATCAAAATCCGGAGGACTTAAATCCGGTGAATACGGTGGGTGTTTGAGGCGTTCCCATCCATATTTCTCTAAAAAAGCGACGACTGGTGCTTCGATATGCGGCCGCGCATTATCGAGCAATATGGACACACCATTTTGTAACATTCCTGGTCGCTTTTTACGGATTTCTGGTCGCAATTTTTTGGCAAGGAATGTTTTGTAGTAATCCCCGGTTACACTACTGCCAATTGGAACTCGATCAGTGACAATTATCCCAAGTTTATCGTAAGCAAAAATCATCATTTGTTTCACCTTTGTTTGCTGGCGACGAACTTTTTTTGCTCTTGGTGATGTTATTCCCTTCCAAATATTGCTTTGAGATTTTAATTCCGGCTCAAAATCACGGATCCAAGTCTCATCTATTGCAATTATACGATCAAGAAACGTTTCTTTTTCATTTTCGTAGCGAGAAAGGAGTTCACGGCAGATGTCTTTACGTGTATCCTTCTGTTCCGGTGACAGAAAATGAGGCACCCAACGTGCTGCAATCTTTCGTTTCTGTAGAATTTCCGTTAAAATGCGGTGAACACTTGATTTTGAAATACCTGTTTCATTCTCTATCTCTCTCACCGTTATTTGTCGGTTTTCATCGAGTAGAGTTGCGAGAATAGCCGCGTTAGTGTTGTCTTGAGTAACCGTAGAGGGTCGGCCAGAGCGAGGGTTGTTATCAATACTTATACGACCATCACGGAATCGCTGATGCCATCTTTGCACCGTACTACGATCCACAGTATCCGTTCCACACACTTCATTTAACGCGGCATGAATTTCAGGCACTGTTTTACCACGAATCGTTTCGATTTTAATGTATGCGCGTTGCTCAAAAACAGAAATGTGAGCCGACGAATTGTTCTCACTTTCGTTATCGCTATCACACATCATCATGATAAAACACTGATCACATGATAGAACACATGATCACACTAAAACTCAAAACGCACGTGTTTGTTAGACTTCAAGCTACAAACTGATACTAAAATCAGCTGATAATATCACATTGCAAGACAGCTAGAGCGTGCTGTGCATTACTTTTGGGACAACCCTCGTATTACATCTCCTTTAGAGTCCATCAATCAAAATAATAATTTTGTCTCTTTTTTTCATATAAATACTATGTTCGCTTATTCAAAAATATATTTGATTATGCTAAATGTTCTTTAGAACATAAAATCAAATAAAAATTTAAAACCTTGGCAATATAAAGCGGTCACAAATATATTTTAACAACTTTCAGTATGTTTTGAAAAGTTGTTACGTCTAGAAATAGCTTATACAAAAAATATTAAATTAATGCATTAGTTTCCATTATTTTTGATTATATTACAACCATAACCAGATCAAAAATAACAGAAAATAAGAAAAATAAAAAAATAATCTTCACAATTTAACAACTGGACTAGGAATATATACAAGAAAGTTCCTATACAGTTTTTGATTGGAGAAAAAGTTCTTTTTCAAAAGTTGTTAACACACATACACACAAAAAAAAAAAAAAAAAGTACACATACTGTATAAAACCAATATATTTCTTTGTGCTCAGAATATAAAATGAATATCAACTGTAATAATTTACATACGATCAAACATAATACAATTATATTTTATTAGGTTATTCTTGTTAGGTTAATTAATGCCTATTTGCGAAATTTTAATACGCTCTACTTACAAATTATAGTTCTTTATAAATTATCAATTGTTAATATGCAATTTTTTTTTAGTGTATTAAAATTTTCTAAGTAACTTTCAAGAAATATTTAGTATTGTATAAAACCTTGTAAGTTGTAAAAAAACTTGATAAAAAAATAGAACGTAGGTCATTGTAAGAAAAAAAAAATAACTTATATTTTAGAAAACCATATTTATGATACATAAATTAGAAATTAAAAAAAAAATAATAATAATTTTTATTTGTATAATTCAAGTGTTTTTTATTAATGGTGTTTTGGATGTTTCTATATACCTTTCCCCATTTTGGCCATATTTAGGCCGAACAATTTATTACTTACTACGTATCTGCCATCTGGTATATACTAAATGTATTGGGTTCTTACAAAACGTGTCGTTAGAATAGATTCCCAGGGGCCTATTCTGATCTGTAGTGGTCCATGTCATCGAACAACATTGGAGATGCATGAATTGTAAATTAAGGGTAATAAATTATATAAGTAAGGGGGCTCTATGAAAAACAAAAAAAATTAACAAGTGGTCTACCTGGAAAAAAGTTTAGGAACTTCCGAGTTAGATGATTCTTGTAGCGTCCAGCGTATATGCAAAATGCAGCGACCGCTATTCCTTTAACGATTTTTTTGAGGGGTGGATATCCAAGATACAAGATATTTTGGTCCCAACTACTACGTAAAAACTATTTTTTTGTTGTAATATAGGTTAAATATGTGTAGTCAATTTTAATTAATATTTATTAACTAGTATACAATTTGAATTCATTTTGGGTGAGTAGGTGGGTGTTAATTATACATCATGCTATACGTATTATGAAACTTTTGGACGTCACTAAATGACTTTATGATCATATTATAATTTATTAATGCCATTTTATGACTCCATGGTAAATATATGAAGCCTCTACCTAAGTTGTTTTTGAATACAACAATCCCTTTTAAAAAATCCTATAAATACTTGCCTGAGGTTAGGTATATTATTGGAAGTCTTAAGTCTATATTATATCTACAAAATTATGAAAAGATCTAGTTATGACCATATACACGTGGGGATTTAAGCGACTATTATGGTTTTTATTTTTTTTTATATCTATATAATGTACACATTTTCGTAAATAAATTTGAATAAACTACCACATGAGGAACTTTTTTTTTACTAATCTCCCCATACAAAAGTTATGTACCTATAATTTACTTTATATATTACGCCACGTTTATTTTTAATTGATAAATAATAGGTAGTATGTATTTTAATTATTTACAGTACTTTTTAATTTTAGAAAAACTACTGAAAAAACGAGTCCAATGTTGTTTATATAACATAATACACATGCCGGAAATACTCGGGAAATGAAATACCATATAATTTGCAAAACATTTTAAACATACTCTCATATTAAACTAAAAATTATCATTTTAACAAACCAAAATATAAAGTCGATCATGAAATGGAAAAAACTATTGAAGATAAAAAGTATGTTTTCTTGTCACCCCCAATTGCGAATTTTTAAAAATAAGTTGTTCATTAATTGTATCTTATTCGTACCAACAGCTTTAGAATTTGAACCTTACAAATATGATTTTACGATAGTGGTGCCAGAGCAATGTTTTCTATATTAACTCGTTACTATTTAATAATTACTATAACTATAACAGTTATATAACTGTTTAATAACTTAATTTCTTAAGTGTAGTAATACCTACTAACAATTGTTTAGAATTTATACTGGATCTATAACAAATAGTTTTAAAATTTTAAAAACATTTCTAGTACTCGCATAATACAAATCTTTAGTTAATAGTTTATTATGCACATTTTTTTAAGTTTCCAAGCAGTTCTTAAAATTATTGGGAAAAACTGGAAAATTTACGAAAATAGTGCTTTTATTGTTTTCATTTTTTTAATTCAGTTGAAAATAATGGTAAAAACTTTAAATTTTGACAGAAAATATATATTTGTTAGATGTGGTAAAACTTTCAAAATATTCGAGCAATTTTTGAGCTATTTATAGATATTTTAATTTTACGAGTTTATTACGTAATATTTATTTGGTAGGTACTCTGTGGATAAAATTGTTAGATTAAACAAAAATGCTTGAAAATTTAATATAAGGTAAGCTTATTAACGTTGAGTTTAATGTAGTATTTTTTTTTTTTTTATAAGTATTTTAATATTAAATTTTAATGAAAATCGTATATATTACGGTCACAAAATATGTATAATGAAATTCCACTCAGAATCGTTTTTCGTTAGCAATCGTTTCATACAAAAATATATAAAATTCCTCTATATATACTCCCTTCTTAACTTCTCGTCCATAACAGTGGCCTACTCATCTTGTGAAGTATGACGTGTTTTTTTTTCAATATTCAATTATTAAGTCAATCATTCTAAAAAAAAAATTAATTTTTGTTATGAACTATATAGAGATTCATAACAAAAATACTTTCGTATAGATTATATTCCAACGAGTATTTTGATACATATCTTGTCTTTTGAAAATGTTTGCTGATATAGTCTAGTCAAATTATGAAAAAATTATATTAGCTAATCCTCGAAAGTTGAATTTCAGTAAGGACTCATGAACGAAGTCAAAATCCTAAACCCATCACTTGTGATTTGTCCTCTATCCACCAAAGTGTTTTATTTTAGTTAACCTGCACCATTTTAATTATAATCAGCAATGCCGTAATGGAATCCTAAATTGTTAGTGAATTCCAAATGTCTGAATTTTCATGTAGTTAGATTTTTTAGATCACATATAGGTTTTATTATGGCCATCATCATTAATACGTAATAAGTAATAACGTCATTCATATGAAAAACGACGTGAAAATAAGATTTTAGAATATTCAGTTTTTCAATTGTATTTTTGTTCTATTTTATGATAGTGTTATACTGTTATTAAATAATTCATTAACTAAATTTACAAATTTACATTTTGGCGATTCAGTTATTGTTATATGACATTTTATGAAAAATAAAGTGAGAAATTTTGGATGGACTGGATTTATGGTCCGACCATGAGCTTTATAATATATAAATATAATATATTGACTATCCTAGGAGTCAATTACGTCTGCGTGTAGCCACGGGGCAATATAATACCTACGCAATTTGGCTCAGCCGATTAGTATATTAAGTGACGTATTTGAATTTTGACCTTTATGCATATTAGTTAGGGTTAAGGAAATGAATTCATCGATTTAAATGAATACCTAAACGATACCCATACACACAATCGTACCCATTCCATTATACACGACAGTAAAGTGTCATAGGTACTAACCTATCATACGCGTATATTACCATAGGTACTCTACACGCATTTCACAAAAATCGTTCAAGTTATACCAGACGTGCACACGTATAGCAACGTATTTCAAACTGCATTCAAAATCAGGTAAAAATTCACCTATATATCATACGATGATTTCGTAAAGAAAATCAGCCGATAACATAGTAAATAATTCAATTTTTGTTATGGAATAGTATTTTTACCACCAGCGCAATGTCTGTTAAAATATGAGAGTTATTCTTGATTATTTTTAATATCATTGAGTATAGATACTGAGTGATATTACGTGTTTTTAACAATTAAATTATCTTGATCTTTAGTGGCCATAAATAATCAGCGAAAAAATTCGGGATCAATATTTCAAATTTTTTATTTCACATCTGTTTTGGACAATCTTTTGTTTGTGTAGGAGGAGAAGGAGGATGGTGATTAAATATGAACATAAAAATGTTTTAAATATTATAGTTTTAGTTGCATTACTTGTTTCCTATAAAATGATAATATTACAATAAATCTGGTTGTACTATCGTGATTACAAAGTAAAATTAATTTATTAACAAAGTATACTTTAACTCAGATTGGCGCTTTAACGTTTTATGTTTTCAATTAATAATGTACCTATAGCTATAACCTTAACGCCCTAAGAACACAATCGTTTTCGAAATATTCGTATTCTAATATAAATGGTGTTTAATCCATTGTAAGGCACTCATTATCTCGGAAAGTGTTAACTTTTTTCGACATTTGTTTTACAGAAAATTTCAAAAACAAGCAGCTATGCAATTTTACCTTTATGTTACTTTTTTCACCCTAATTTTTAGGGGTGAAATGACTATCTACATTTTATTTTCAAATAGCAACCTATATTAAAAATTGCATAAATAGATGGAATAGTAGTTAAAATACATTTTGGTGCTTAAATTTTTAATATCCGTCAATCCGTTGACGAGATATTCCATTTTTAAGTTTTGGTCATGGAAAATTAGTGGTACATTATTAAAACACCACGCGCCATAAAAATGACTCTACTCATCCCTGACCTAAACTTAAAAGTGGAATATCTCGTCAACGGATTGACGGATATTAAAAATTTATTTTAACTACTACTCCATCTATTTATGAAATTTTTAATATAAGTTGCCATTTGAAAATCAAAAGTAGGTAGTCATTTCACCCCCAAAAATTAGGGTGACAAAAAATAATATAAATGTTAAATTTTAAAACAGATTGTTTCTTAAATACTCTTTAAAACGAATTTGGAAAAAAGTTAATACTTTTCGAGATAATAAATGTTTACAATAAATTGATCACTCCGTATACGAATCACGATTCGTGTTTACAAAACCAGAAAATCAGAACAAAAATGCAAACAATATTATAGATAGATGTATATAGATAGTATATCAGTGACGTATTTATGAATAAATTAGCCCCCATTGTTTCATGGCTTTTTTCATATTGTTATACATAATTATAATGCAATAGTGTATTTATTGATAGTTTCGAATTTAAACACAAATTATACATTCCGTGAAGATTTTGTAATCATGATCATCATAATAATAATATGATAAATACGTATATAATATGTATGATAACCTCAGTTTGGTAAACTGTTTGTTTTAAAATTATTAGCTAGTTTGATAATTTGAAAAAAAAATTTGATTTTTTGTATTTGTATTTGTATTGATAAAAACAAATTTGTAAAATACACACACTGTTAGAGAGGGGACATAGCCGTGAATGATATTTGTTATATCCACCCTCCCTAGACAAATTAATGAATACCCCACTGTACACTATATTTTATAATCATCTATCGTTAATTAAATTCGGTGAAGTTTTGAAAATCACACTATTGTAATGATACAATTATTTTTTAGTAAAAACGAAAATTCGATTTCAATTTGTATACTTCTTCTTTGTGAATAAGTATATATAAAATATGACAATAATCTAAATTCCGTTATTCTAATCATTTAAAGGTGAACGAAAAAGTTCAGAAAAATATCGTGTATAATTTGGATTATTATTATGGAGAAATTCATAAAAAAAAAAATCACATAGAAAAGTATTTCAAATTGTGTATCGACCATGTTGCTAAATTAATACAAATACAACGAACTGGTTAGAAAAAAAAAAAAAAACATGACGCGATGTTATCGCGACCTCTTGCGTTTCCGTTCGACATTTTAATAATATACGAATATCAATTCCCAGTGCACCTCGTATCGTTAGTAAAAAGTTAATTTAATCGTATTATAAATATTATGATTGAATCGATGTGACGTGCACGTACTCGTAATATTTGATAGAATAAATTATTAAAAGGAAAAAATTGAAAATCCCGGAAATTTTACACTTGCCTTGGTATATACGTTATTAGTGGGTCACAAAGGTCAATATATTATTATTTTAATATCGTATCAATGTAAAATAATTTTACTACTTTGTTGGGTTTTTTTTATTATTATTTGTTTTAATTAGAATAACTCTAAAAATAAAAATTAAAAAAATCGAAACTGCATTAATTACAATAATATTCAAGAAACGATAGACAGTATATCGTACGTGGTATAGGACCCCAAGACGCTTCAAAGCGGGGATCAAAAACGGCATTCATATTGGTTTATTTAAAATTGCCGAGTGATTTTCGTTTCAATTATAACTGCTATAGACAAAATGTTTAAAATATCAAACTACTATATGTCATGGCGCAATATTGTCAATGTCACGCGTCAAAATCTTGCGGAACCGGGTACGCGCCCTAAAGGCTAATATAATTTTCATATTTTCATACCTTTTTTTTTTTACAAAAATAACCTAAATAGATTTTTTAATTTTAAAAATACACTGTTTTCTTCTGTTACCTTCACGACGTAGTTTTGCACAAACAATCGAGGAATTGTACATACTATTACTTACTAATTGACATACTTCGCACGATTGGTGGGCCACTGTTGAAAGTGAGAAGTTGGGAAGATGGAGGAGAAATATAATGTATGCAACGGTTAACCATTACTAACGAAAAACGATTCTGAGCGGAGTTTTATTAATAGTGTTGCGCTTTATCACCAATATATACTTTTCATATTATGGTAAAATAATTACATATGCATTATATGTTTTCTTTAATAATATATGTTTAATATTATACTTATTTTTCGGTTTTCCACGTATTTTCCCGGTTTTTCTTATGTATTATGAAAAGTGCTGAAAAAATGACTTCCCTAAAGTACCACCCCAGTCCGATTTTCTTATAGAGAAAGTGCTATCGTTGTAAATCGGAATAAAATAACTGGTAGAAAAGTTGTTTACAGAAAAATAAAAAATAAATAAACATCACTGTGAAACCAATACATTCCTCGCTCTGCTCAGAACCTAAAAGTGCGAAAATCATATGATAATACGATCCTCTGAACTGCCACGATTGTCTCGTAAATAATTAATAACTTAAAACTTATGATAGCAATTATGATAACGAAAAACGGACGAAACTAAAAGCGCATGAAATTTTATAGTCCAAGTAGAACACGATACATAGAAACGGCTATGTAGCGTCTAGGATTTATTATATCGCCTACCGTACTTATATATTATCTGTACTATATAATTGAAAATTTAAATGTCCGAATATAATTATAATTCACTACGGGTTTTTCATCTATTTATAGTGTTGAGCAGGAACCAGTTTCTTCATAGGAACGAAGTTTGGCTCTTTTCAAATATAAAAACTAGGAACGAGAGAAAGTTCCTATTTATGAGAAACGTAAACGCAAATTCTGTTCCTTCTATTATGAACAAAAAAAAAAAATTAAAATAAAATGCACGTTTTGTTTTTACACAACTCTGGTCTTTTCTTTCTCAATATTTTTATGAGTTTAATCAGGACTTCACTCATTCAATCATATGGTTCGGTTTTCAGTCGGTTTTCGATGGTTAGGACGACACGGTTGTTCGTCACCGTCTACTTCTTCTTGTCCCTCACTGAACCTTTTATGCGACTCAAAAACTCGAGTACGTGAATGGTTATCTCCCCGTACACCTCAGTCAACAGTTTAAAATATTCCATCGAAGATTTTTTCAGTTTAAAAGAAATTTTAAATTAACGCATTGTTCAATTTTTAAACTCTGCATAATTCCGGCAATATCGTATTATAACGTCTAATTCAAATGACGCGTAAACGCAAACTAAATTACCAAAATAGATAAAAACGATATAACCTAATGCAGAAATCTTTATTTTTAAATAGCCATACTTCGTACAAGGTAAATAATATGATAATATTAATATAAAACACGGTTATATACTTAACCGTGATTTTACACGGTGTTTCGTTGCTAATGGTTAATGGTGAAAATTAATAAAAAAAAAAGTTTCCTTTTTTAAGGAACTTTCCCAAATTTGTTAGAATAACAAAGTAATATCAATACAAAATAATATATGATATATGATATACATAATATATAATAATAATATGCTCGTGTTGTTAGCTCGCGAACTAAATAATTACAATAAATTGTTTCGTGATATCATCAAATAAGTTTATTTCGTTAACTGAGAATTAAATAATATATATATACAGATCGCGCCACTATAGTAAAAATAAGAGAAAACTATACAAATTCAGGGATACCAAAACCATACAATTGGCCCAAATAAAATGGCCCTCTTGCACCGATGATGTGAATAGTAATGTCATAAAACCCAGTTAACAACTGGCTCGTTTTTTTACAATTTCTTTTCATATTTTATTGAATAAGACATATTTTGATAATGAATTTTTTATTACGTTTTAAAAGGACATTATTTTGAGTTTTAAGGGCGTAAAAGTGTTGTTTTTTTTAGTTTTTGGAGTTTTATGGAACATTAAATTCTTAGTTGCAATTAAAATAATAACGGTACACGATAAAAAAAATTGCTCTGTATTATAGTAATTTTAATAACTAGTTCATAAATTATTTATCGTTGCAATACAATATTATTATATATTTGTATTATATTGAATAGTTGAAAATCGTACATAGACAGCCGAGACATTCGAAACACTCACAATGGTCGAATATAAAGATGAAGTTGTCATATCGGGTATTGGTGGACGATTCCCGGAATGCGACAACGTAGATGAGTTAAGAGAGTTGCTGTTCAACAAGATCAACGCGGTAACGATTGATTCGAGGAGATGGGATCCAAGTATTGAACTATTTGTATAATAAAAATAATATTATTATTTAACCACGGTTCATAATCGGCATTTTAGATTCTGAGTGTAGAGGAGAAACAATTTTTTCAACTATATTACATAGCAAATTCATATATTAGTACTTATAATTACTATAAGCGTAACCATAACCATTAACTATAACCATTTTCCTTAAGAAAATACTTTTTAGGTAAATAATTTCCGAATCATTCACATCGTACGTTAATATATGCGCATCTTTCGTCCGGCAATACTTTATTTAAAAAAGATATTGTCTACATTAATAAAATATTTAAAATGATTTAAAAAGATATTGTCTACATTAATAAAATATTTAAAAAATAAATACATACAAATTACAATAAATTACGATACAATATGTTGGTTTATTGTTGAAATTTCTTCGAAAATGTAATGAATTGTGACTGTTATATATTCACAAAAGATATATTATATATCTTCTTCCTAGTATTTTTGGACATTTTTAATGACTCGTTCTAGACTAAATGAGCTTAATTTTGGGAATTAACATCGTTTTATAAGGAGATTGAAGTTTTAAAAGTTAAAATGCAATATGAATTTTACTATATATATTTTTGTAGGTGTAAGGTATTTAAGGTATTATTTAATTATATTATTCTGGCATTTATGGTTTGCAAAGAATATGTTTACTATACAAAATAGATAAGGGAGAGGGAGAAAATACTATTCTAGGGACGAGTTCTGAAGCTTACGGGTGTTTGATTTTATTTTATAATTTTACCTATCTATTGGTCCTAGTTCTGCTTAGAACCATGTTTCATTTGTAATGATTGCAATAGCAATTGCTTTCAGGTATAACCACTAGATTATTCTTTATATCCTGTAATATACCATACAAACTTTTCATGTGCACAACAGCAGCCTGCCTAGGTTGCGAAGTATGTCCGGTTTTATATGTTTATCATATTATATTTTAAATACAGATGATCAGTTTAAACTGGATGGTACAGGAAAAATGAAAACCGTCGACACGTTTGACGCGACGTTCTTTAGTGCCCATCCAAAACTGGCCGAAGCCATGGATCCAATAACGAAAATCTTCATTGAAAAATCTATCGAGGCGATTATTGATGCGGGTTTGAGTCCGTTAGATCTCTCTGGAACCAACACTGCGGTGTTTTCAGGATCATACATCAGCGAAACAGAAATGTTCACTTTGGATTCCTCAAAGACGGCCGCATTTTCGATGTTGGGCAGAAGCAGGACCATGCAAGCGAACCGCGTTTCGTACATTCTTAATTTAACGGGTAAATAATATAATGTTAATAACCTTCGTAGCTAACGATCGCAAATAATTATTATATTATAAATCAATATTATTATTATCGTCTAGGTCCAAGTTTTACGATGGATGGTGGATGGCTTTGTGGCGCCAACGGTCTAGAAAAAGCCAAAAATCTGATTGAACGTGGTATCGTATCTTCGGCGATAGTTGGCACTACGAATCTAATGCTCAGGTCCGAAATACAACTTCAATATCAAGGATTAAACCGATTGAATAAAGGCATTCAAACCAAGTCGTTCAGTTCCGACGGTAAATATTGATTGACTAGTTTTATTCCCGATACATGATGGGTTGCACATATATATCATATCATGTACACTAACACTGTCATCTTCACCCTTACTCCTATTGTATAACAACTTTCGTCTTTTCACCTCTCTACACCAAATGGTTAGAACTTTTTTGGAGATAAGAGAATAAAACTGACTAAAATAACTGATAAAAATTGATTAAAGGGAAAAGCGGTGAGATTCTATTTGCAGAATTATAAATAGCAAATCATTGGAAAGAATACATGAAACACCTATACAGAGAGGAAGATGATTCAATCACATACGTATAGAAGGAAGAAGAAGATAGATTAAACCTAGAAGGTGAAGACCAAATCATCAAGAGGGAGGAATTCAATAAATCTTTAAAATAATTAAACGATAGGAAAGTTTTAGGATACTTTTCAAATTTCAGCACGATTTTATTATTTAAAATTATTACAGCTAATATTTTCACCTCAAAATATTGGTATATTATAAAAACAACGAAAGAATTATTTTGGTGAATTTGTATTTTCTAGTTGTTTTTCAATTTTCCACGTATTTTTTTTTTAATAAATGAGCAATACTTTAAAACAGATAAATTTCACAACAAGCAAAATTTAGAACAGAAAAATGTACGAATATAGTGCTTTTATTATTTTCAATTTTGTTTTTATGTTGTAATTTAGATAAAAATATTCGTAAAAGACTTAGAATTTCGTTTGAAAACTTTGATTTTTCGTTTGTAGACGTTTGTAAATTTTAAAAAAATTTGAGGAATTTTTGAGCTTTTTGTAGACATTTTATTTCGCTTGTTATTTTCCGTGATTTTTCTTTGATAGCTACTCGATAGATATTAATGTTAGACTAAACAGAAATGCTTGACAATGTAGTGGTCAAAAAAAAAAATAAATAAAATTGAGTGACATGTAGTATTTTTTTTTTTTTTTTGCAGGTTTTTAAAATCAAATTTTAACTAAAATTGTAAATTACAAAATATGTTAACCGAACTTCACTCCGAATCGCTTTTCTTTAGTAATGAATTATCTCTACTTTCATGTTATAAATTAAATTTTTCTAAGTATTCTTCTACTATGTATATTATGTACTCAATTCAGAATGAATTTCGATATACGATAGCTTTATATAATGTGACATTTGTTTTTATTTTGTTATAATTAGCTGACGGATACAACAGATCTGAAGCTTGTGTCGTGATGTTACTTCAGAGGTCGTCCGAAGCGAAACGTTCTTATGGTACAATTTTGAGTGTGAAGTCTATGTTGTATGGCGATTTTCATGGACACATAACCGAACACAATGGAACCAATTTAAAATCTTTACTGTTGGATTGCTACAAAGACGCCAATGTCGATCCATCTACCGTAGAGTACATTGAAGCCTACGGATCGGGCATAAAGGTAATGGATATCATTATATCAATATTAATTAATGTCCAAGTCGTAATCGTACAAATTATATATATTAACTATACACAGTGTAGCATATAACTATACTAGAATACGGTTAATTTTTTTCTTCCCCATTTGTAGATCGAAGACAGTATGGAACTAAACGTTATGGAGGAAGTTTTTTGTTCCGACCGAAGAGACGCGCCCTTGAAAGTAGGTTCCATCAAGAGTAATATCGGTCACTGTGAGGTGGCCAGTTTGTTTGTGTCCATAGTCAAAGCCATCATCGCGTTGGAATATGGTTATATACCGCCGAACATAAACTACACCAAACCCAACGAAAACTTATCGGCGATAAAATCCGGCAAAATTAAAGTACATTAGAAATATTATATTATATTTTTTTGTTAATAATCCATTAAGACAATTATTCCTATACGAATTTTATAAATGATTTCGATATTATTGCGTAATAGTGAATACAGGCGACTAATGGACTACCGGTTTTTGTGTTAAAATAAATGTAATAAAAATAAAAAATATCGTAATTTTATTTTATTTGTAGATTGTAACAGAAAAAACTCCTATCGTCAGTAATATTATTGGAATTACTGCTTTTGGAATTCTGAATGGATTTAGTCACATCATCATCAAACAAAATAATAAAAAAATTAAGGACAACATCGACGACAACAAAGTCATACCTCAACTGATACTGACGTCCGGACGGACAGAACAAAATGTTCAAGACACTATGAATAAGGTAATAAATTAGTACAAATAGTATTAATGATATCAGTTTGTATTTTTCATCTTCTTCTGGTCTTAAATTGTACGTTTCGTTTGCTACAGTTCTTCGTGCATCTCTGTCAATACTCAACTCTTAAATTCTAATAAAATTTTTTATTCCCGTGCTCTTTTGAGCTTGTAGTATCTACTCCAATCTTCCATTCAAATTTTATTTTCTTTAGTTCAATAACTGCTGCAAAAGCGATATTTTATTTACGTTAACGTTACAACTGCGACTGCGGTTTATATTTTATCTCGCCATTACGACATACGACTTTTTTTCGGCCGTTTGCGCGTATTAATCAAAACGAAACTATTACCTATATACCCGTAATATAATAACAGCATTCAATAATCGTAGTGGCTAGGTCAATTAGATTAGATTAGGATAGGCAGAGTTCCCGGTTTGATACCCGTCGTCTCCGCGGCCGCCGTAAGGAAATCACGGCCACCCGTTTTTTTTTTCGTTTTAGTTTGACGCTTTCATAATATATACGCGCTTCGAAAATCGCCGTAGGTAAGGCGTTTATATATACTTAATATTTTTTTTAAATAAAAGTATTATGGTATTTGATGATAACGCTGCCGCGTGGTAACCGCGTATTTCACAGAGACCGTTAATATTTTTACGTGTACCTACTTATTATTTCGTAAACATTTTCTTTTTGTTTCATTGTGATTTATCCGAGCCAGCATATCAGTTTTGTTTTATTAAAAATAAATAATAATTGTATGTACTACGGTTCGATAATTCGTAAGTCATTTATAATGTTTGGGAAATCGAATCGCTCGCAGAGTTACGGCGCCCGTTTGTAAATATTTTCGATAGTATTTAAAAATCTATAATGTGTTACGTTTTTTTTTTTTACATATTATTGTAATTTATTATTTATATTTTTTTTAATCGAGAAGTAATAGCTGCGTGTATTTTACTATTGCATGGGTATAGTACGTGGATTTTTAATATAAAACTGACTTCAAGACATGATTTTATTTAAAGACTAGGGAAAATGTTTCTAGATATTTTACAAATTTCTAAATTTCCAAATTGAGTGACAACTGGTATTTAATTGCTAATAAGCTTTTTTTGTATCTTATTTAACTTCTCCTGTATCCCTATTTCCTCAGTATCTTACTCAGGGCCGGATCAAACATTCTTTACTCGGAGTAAAATATGAAATGGGCACCTTTTTTAGATTCGGAGTGCAACGAGTAATATATTGGTTTTATAATGATGTTTATTTTTGTATTTATTTTTTTTTTTTTAAGTATGAACAACTTTTCTCCCAGAAATCTTATTCCAATTTACAAGTGTAGCACTTTTTCTGAAAATCTGTCTAAGGTTGTACTTTAGGAAGGTAATTTTTGATTATCCCAAAAGTTTTCCCAATAAATGAGAAAAATTAGATTAATTGTATCTTATATAATAATATATGATACATACAAAATAATAATAATATCGAAATATTAGGATAGGCATCTTGTAGATTATTTTTAGAATTAAAATAATTTCCATATCTTAATGAGTCATCTAATTCAAAAATATGTTGTTTACAACTTTCAAATTCGTAAATAAATTTAATTTCATTGAATTATTTTTTATACTTATTACATAATTCAATTTAATGTTATTTTAGATCACTTAATGGTATTTTAAACAACACTTTTACCATGAAAACGTAAATACAATACGTAGGACATTTTTTTCCTTGGACATTTTTACCTACAAATTGCCTTTATTGTCAGTTATAAACTGAGATGGCTTTCTGTTTTAAAAACTCTCGATAATTAATTCTATAACCTTATGTGCTGTAGTACAATGCTACAAGCTGGCTTTTTATGTAGAATATAGGTACCTATAAATACCACATTACTATAGATATAATTTATTAAATATAATTTGTGTTTTAAATAGCTTTATTTTAACACTTAAAAACAGAATTAAATATATGAAGACATATATTACTATTGAAAGGCAGTGACAGAAACAAATCAATAAAATTGTTTTTATTTAGTTAAAACAAAATTCATTAGTTAATTTAATCCATACAAATATAAATACAATTTTTTGTTCTGTTTAACCAATAAATCCTTCGCTACGCTCTGAATCTAAGATATGCCGTCAAATAATTAAACCTCTTAGCTTTAAAACCATTTTGTCTGCAGTATTGTGATAACAGTGGAAATATTTGTGTTCCGTTCCCCCGTTATTCGTTCATCTTATCGTGCCTATTTCATAGTACATTAATCTGTGGTTGTATCTGTTTTTAAATTCCGATAATGAAAGGCGCAGTTATCACCACTATGCATTGATTTCCTCTAAATATTTTTATGTTAGTTAATCGTTATAATAAAAATATTGCGATACAAAACCAGTACAAATTTACATATTTGAAAGCCAGTCAAATAGAGGTTCTCGGGCCTGAATTTGTTTGATAGTCTGGTAGCAACTCCTATCCCACCATATTTATCGAAGTTATAAATTAATAGCTACACTACCCTATGCATAATTTGTAAAAAATATTTTTCATACTATTATCACACTAATATAGTTATATAATAATATAACATAATAATATCTATTGGCTTTATTAAATTTCAATGTATAAAAAGATTACATAATTGATTCTTTAATAAATTTATATTTTTATTATATACTTATATATTTCTATCGAATTATAAAAGTCAATTGACTTTATTGATGATACACCGTTTGCTTTCTCACTTCGTTGGACCACAGCTGAATTGAAAATATATTTAAGATGATAATTATTGCTTGCTACCCCTTAATTTGATTTCAAATGATGCTTATGCAAATAAAATTTATAATATTATATTTAATATTGAAGTATTACTAATTAGTTAAAAATATTACTATTGTTGTTAGATTTTAAGCCACGGAAACAATGCGGAATTTATAGCGATGACGAATGCAGTTTTCACAAAGAATATCAACGCTCATTTTTACAGAAGCTATACGATAATTCCGAGTTCAAGTGATTCTAAAAATATCATCTCGGTAAATATAATATGATAGACTTATCGTGAACAGTACTTTACGAAAAAAAAATAAATAAAAATGCATTTACCTATCAGAATTTAACGTTCATTTAATCTTGGTGTGTATTCAGTGATTATTAACTCCGTGATATTTAAATGGGCGGGAGGGAGGTCAAATCTTACAAGTAAAATTTGACAAGGGATATCATGAGATTCAATTTTACAGGTTACATCGTCGATCATTTTTTTTTTTTTTATTAGGTACTTTCTGTCCATGTAAATGAAAACCAAATAAGCTAATAATAACATGGACCATAATCCGCGTCATCAACACCAAAATAACTCATTAATAACTCAAGTTAACAAAAATAATTAGGTTTTAGTTACAAAAATATCAAAAACCCGATGTTAGGAGTTGATTTTCGGGAATCCGGCTTTGGTAGGTTGATCCGCCTATGTATATAAATGTTTGGGCGTAATAGATTCGATTGTGGTTTACACACTGACAAACGACAAACAGCCATATTCTTTTATTTTATTAAATATAGATAGATTTACTAGAAATAAGTTCAATCGGTAATATGCATGCAATGATTATCTATGTATACATAATTGTAGAACGTTAGTTTGAAGAAGCGACCTGTATGGTTTATATTCTCCGGTATGGGATCGCAATGGCAAGGAATGGGAGAAAAACTAATGAATATCCCGATTTTTATGGACGCTATTAATAAATGTGACGCTGTTTTGAAACCAAGAGGCATCGACATAAAACATATACTGTCCAGTCAAAATCCTGTATTGTTCGACAATATTCTTAATTCGTTTGTCGGAATTGCCGCGGTTCAGGTTCGTCTATAAAGTCAAAAAATTACTTATTCTATAATATCGAAGAGTTAACTGTTATATTAAAAAATATCTTTATTTTTAGATAGGATTAGTGGACATTTTAAGAGCATTAGACATCGTACCCGACGGCATTTTGGGACATTCGGTCGGAGAATTGGGATGTGCGTACGCTGACGGTTGTTTTACTGCCGAAGAGATGATTCTATCTGCATACTCCCGAGGTCGAGCATCCCTCGAAACAGACTTGATTGCAGGAATGATGGCTGCAATAGGTAATGTTATCAATAGTACAATGTGTTAAAATTAATTTTTTTATTTTTATGACAATTTTTTTCTTTTTCTTATTCTTTATAGGTCTCGGATACAATCAAATAAAAGACAGACTGCCGCACGACGTCGAAGTGGCGTGTCGGAATAGTGATAGCAGTTGCACAATATCCGGTCCCGTAGAAAGCATCAATACTTTTGTGGCACAATTAAAATCTGAAGGGATTTTTGCAAAATCCGTGAACGTGGGTGGTATAGCATTCCATAGTAGATACATTAAGCCAGCGAGTCCGGTTTTATTAAAATATTTAAAAGAAGTAAGTTTAAAAGAACTAGTACTTGATTTTGGAAAAAAAGTAGTAAAAGTACTCTAGCTACTTTAAAAAAGTAGTGTCCCTAGTATTTAATATCTTTCACGTTACACGTTACATGGACAGGGAATTTGCAAAACGCTAGAGCTTATTCTGAATTCTCTGAACTTGCCTTATGTCACTAGCTGTATGAGGTCTCATACGATAAAACCATACTCCAGAATTGAACGTGCACAATACTGTACCTTAAGAAATTTACTTAGATGAAGTTCATTAGCCAACGTTAATTACATAGTCTAGTGATTTAAATGCTCTGCAGCATACATATTCAATGTGCTACTAGGCTCGAGGTTAGGCCTAAACTTAAAACCAAAATCTAGAACACTATGAGTTACACGTAGAATATTAAATACTGTAAATTAGTAAGCAAAAATCTTTAGAGACTGAAATCTGCTAAAAGTAAATATCTTACATATAGACTTATTAAGTAATAAATCTAGTGCACAAACCCAGCAGAGAAGCTATAAAGGTCGGGGTTTGAAAAAATTTACAATCATTAAAAGAGTGTATTTACATAAAAATGTTGATGTCATCCGCAAGAAAGAGAATGCGAGAGTAGCACAGAATTCGATGCACATAATTAATAATTAAAACATTAATGGAGACAAATGTCTCCCTTGTAGGTGATGAAGCCAGAAATAGGTTAGGCTTTAAACCAAGTATTTTGACCTATGGTACCTGTCTTTAAGGTATTATTTTAACCACGACAATAGTAGTTCACCAAATCCAGATTCTTTTAAAATGTGGACAAGTTCTTTGTGATTCAATGAATTCAATGAATTGAATGTTTTTTTGAAATCGGTATAAACATCATTGACCTGAAAACGGCATTGAAATGACTTAAAAATATAGTTTCAGAATAAGATATTACAAGTGGATGTAGAGCATCCGGCACGAAAGTTATACTATTCATTCATAAGAATATAAATTAGAATAGAATTCAAGATTAGAGATTCAAACATTTTGGCTATATAAAATTGAACTGATATTGGTCTATAATTGGAAACAATAAAGGGGTACCCAGATTTGGAGACAGGAGTGTATATTATTGTTGGGAAAAATTCTTCATCAAGTGAGCATCTAAATAAAATCCATATAAAATACAAAACAATAGACCGTAATTCATAAAAAAACGAAGGAATACGATTTTGAACGCTCTGTTGTTCATTGAAATATAGTAGGAATTTGGTGCAATGTTGTCAAATGTATTATAAACGGTGTGGTTCTACGCTTATTATGAAAAAATAATATAAAATAAAAATAGTTCCCTCATATAGTGACTAATAACATTACAAAAAATAAATGTAATGAAAAATAATGTACAATTTAATATAACTTTTCCCTCAGTACATAAAGCCAATAGAAGTTTGATATTTTAAAATATTTTGATGTATTTTATAATTATTAAAATGTTGTATAACGTTTTGTATATGTTGCCCTTCTCAGATTGTATTATTGTATAATTGTTTCTCCATGTTTAGGTATTAACTTATACATTTTAACCCCGTAAAAATATATAGTATAGAATATTGTTCGAAATTAATACAACTTATTATTGAACTTTATCCACGCGCGGTGTTTTAACAATTTTGACTAGACTGCCTATACTGGTATATTTACCCATGAGTATTAAAGATATAGACATAGATAATCTTTAATATCTATGTATTTACCAGAAGTTATTGTGGGTGGACATTTATCAAAATAATCTCGTCACTATGAGATTATCGTTACAACGTTAGAAACCCTTATCATAACAATAATATTAATCAAATCATATAGACTCATGTAATTTAATGTGTATTATTATCTTTATCAAAAGACCCAACTTATCTTGTTTTTAATTAATTAATTAAACTTGAAATTTCGTGGTAAAGAGGTAAATAAGTATAAAAATTACGGAATCGTGTTACAAGAAAAAAAAAGTGCGGAATCGTATTCCTGGCATGGTAACGTCGCGTTCGAATACAATACGAATTTAGGTAGAAAGAAAGGTCGAAAAAATATAATATCGAACAATGAACGTGCGGAATCTTGTTTTACCCATAAAAAAGGTACCAGAATGCTATAATAGGTCATTGGTTACTGGTACCTGGATTTTTTATGGATGATTATTATTAATGGCTACTTATCAGTTATCACGTATCAAATATGATTTATCAATACATTTTGTAAGATTTATATACTTAACACAAAGATTTAAGTTGATCAATTTTATAAAAATAGGTAAGCTTAATAAAAACCCGCCACATGCATTCCCCTTTAAAAATGAAGTAGGAATACTCTAGGATATCTAACAATTGTTGAGGTACTCAGTCTTCCTGCGCTCTCTTCTCCAAATCAAGTACCTGAAATAACCTATTAAAAAACCAATTATATGCGTTAAATTTAGGCTATTAAAACCGGTTTATACGCCTTTGTAGGTGATCAAAGAGCCGAAAGCAAGATCATCGAAATGGATCAGTAGTTCGTTAATGGAATCCGAATGGAACAGCGAACTTGGAAAATATTCTTCGCCAGAATATCATACGAACAATTTGTTGAACAGTGTGTTGTTCGAGGATGCCCTTAAGCACATACCCAATGATGCTATTACAATAGAAATCGCTCCACATGGTCTTCTTCAAGCAATTATCAGAGGGGCTTTGCCCGATACGGTGTCCAATATAGCGTTGACAAAACGAGTGTATGGCGATACTGTTAAATTTTTACTAACAGCCATTGGACAGTGAGTATAGTTCTAAATAATTATTACTCACAACTGTAGTAAAATGTTAAACTAGATTAGGGTACTTTTTTTATTAGATCAAGTAATATTAACGCGGTCGAAAGGAGGAAGGGGAACTGATGCTTACATGAAAATAAAAATAAAAGTATATTTTTATTATTTAAAAATATAAACTATTGTACTTTATTGTGTATGGTATGTATGTATATTGTACAGTTTTTTAGACAATTTATAAAATAAGTAGCTCTACAATATTGCATTACTATTATTTTTCGTCGCCCTTACTTTTGCTTTTTGGGGGTAAAACTACTTCCCACTTTTATCTTTTTAAATTGCAACTGACTTTAAAAACCTCGTGAATAATAATTGTGTTATAAATTAATTTTTTTATAACTTATCTTGTTTTAAATAAAACTATGATTGCATTCTTGAAAATTGCTGTTAACTAAATAATAATTATAATAAATAGACAACGTTTTGGTTAAAATACATTTTTGTGTTAAAGTTTTTAATTTTCCTGAACCCGTTGACGAGATATTAGTGTATTAGATAGTAGTGGAGCACTATTCAAATACCTAACACATTTTGCTGCCATATAAGTTATACACTTTTAGTAGCTCCTTCTGGATCAAAAGTCCGGTGATTTGAAGTGATGTAAGTTAGATTCAATTTCAATATGACTTTCAGCATGTTATTAGCTATTGCGGAAGACGAGTGTAGAGCAATATATAAAATGTTATTAAAATTTGAAAACACAGAAAAAAATGTTTTAATAGTTAAATATGATAATATGTACAATGTTCGTATGCCAGAATTGAGGTGGCCACATTTTAGAAGAATCTCTAAACGGAAGTTTCTAAGGAAAAAGCAAGTCTCTACACCAGTTTCTTTACAGGCGTCTAGATGTATTATCTGGAATCTATTTGTAAGCCGGTGTATTGGTGTGAGGATTTGAGTGAGTGTTGAATGTTTTGTAAGTTTTTTTGTAGGTTAGAAATGCAAGTGTATTTATTTTTGACACAAATACGTAGTCATAATATAATGAATTGTTTGTAACATACCATTGTACCAATAAGGGGCTTTTGTAATTAAAGGTAGACATATCAATTGGAACGCTTGGATGTTATTAGTGTTGAACGACCACAGAAAAATAATATAACTTTTTTTTTTTATTTCAGATTGTACATGGCTGGTTTGAATCCGAATATACTAGAGCTCTATCCAAAAATAAACTATCCCGTAAGTAGAGGAACTCCATCGATTCATAGCTTGCCGTTTTGGGACCATAACGAAATATGGACGCCTCTAGTCGCAATGGGTTCAAAGGTAAAATTATTTCGGTGATTATCGAAATTATATATTATCATTCGTATTTTCATTAGCCAATAATGCTAAAAAACGCTCTTACCTTATACGCGTAAAAACTTAAAAAGGCATACTTAATATTATGTTATCGATAGACCGAAGTGATACTTAAATGTTAAACTTTAAGAGTAAATGTGCACATTGCTTCCTCAAAATGATTATTGTTGTAAGATTTTATCGCGTGTATTGTAAGTAATTACATTTTTCTCTCACGATCTCTTTCTTTCTCTCTCTCAAAAAAAACAAACAAAAAAAAAGTGCTAATACAGGAGACGGGTATGCCAGTCTTGTAAATAGGAAGTTAAGAAAATAGGATATATTAAGTAATTTAATTTATATCCTTATGTAACGATAAAGTATAACTAACGAAAATAATTTAGAGCGAATTTCGGTTAGACATATTTTGAAAGGTTGTTATATTTACGATTTTCGTCAAAACTTAATTTTTAAATTCGTATGAAAAAAAAAATACTACATTAAACTCAATTTTTTTTTACCGCAAAATATGACTTATAATGAAACTCTTGTTAAATTTTCAAAGATTTCTATTTAGTCAATTATAATAATTGTATACACGGAGTATACACCTACCAAATAAGAACCACTAAAAAATTAGCAAAATTAAAATGTTTATAAATTAGCTCAAAAATGATTCAAATGTTTTGAAAATTTCACCACGTCTTGAAAAAGCAAAAAAAAAATTCTATCAAAATTTCAAATCTCTTCGAACACTTTTAACTGAATCACAACAAAAAGAAAATATTAAATTTAAAACGAAATTCTCCTATTCTTTCTACGTTTTTTTTTTCGATTTTAATCAAGTACAAGAAAAACTACAAACAAATTTTAAAAAAAGACTTTTCGTCACCAACTAAATTAAAAATTCAACAAGAAAGGTATCTTGTTATTTTTCTATTGGAACAATATTTGTGGTAGAAAACATAATCCATAACAATTTTATATAAAGACTGGTTAAATTCGCCATAAATTTATCAGTTTCAATTTTTTTATCTTTTTTTGGTTTTTCCAATTATTATTAAAACAACCATAATTAAAACTCTAGATCAAAAAATTCAACAAAAAGGTCTTTTTTTGAAGGAGAAAACATAAGTTTACAAAAATGTTTTTTTAACGGTTTTTCCCAATTATTACAAAGATTGCTTGGAAAATCAAAAAAAATAATCTTTATATTATTAACTACATAAAATTTCTTTTCTGAAAAAGTGCTACACTTGGTACATCGGAAGAAGATTTTTGGTAGACATTTTGTACACATTATAAAACCAATGCATTCCTCGTACGTTCCAAATTTAAAACAATATACTTAATATCTTAATAGTTAAGCTTTATAAAATATTTTTCATATAGATATACCTGTTTAAAATTGTTATAGGCAATACGTGGATTATTCGGTGAAAAAACGACCACATTGATACTTAACGATGACAAATATTTAACAGAGTACCGAATACTTGGTCAACATGTTTTTCCACTTTCACATATACTAGTAAGTGTACAAACAATATTCCTATATTATTTTTATTTTCTATATAGTCTAGTACCCACTTTGCAATGGAATATTTAGACGATATTTTTACGATATTATTTTGGAGAAGAAGAATTCTTTTCGATTTTCCAGAAAATGATTTCAATTTTAATGTAAATACAATGTTTTATCGTAAAATTGCATGCACGTAACTAGTAATATTCATTATATGTTACCAAGTAACAAAAAATTAATAAAATTATGAGAAATAAAAACGTAAAAAAATATAAATGGTATTGAATTCGCCACCGGGTATCGAACCTATTACCCTAACCAAAATTTACCTTATCTCCCTATCAACTAGACTACTTACCTAACTGATGAAACGATACCGTTTCATAGATTTATAATTTATCAAGTAGTTTCAAAATATTATAAATGTTAACCTTTACAATAAAATCCAGAAATGTTGGGAACAGGAACTTTAACCTCTTCTGAATAGTGGACAACAGCGATAGGGGAAAGGTGGAGGAGGAGGGGTAGTGATAAGTGCCCCCCCAAAAAAAAAAAATTGGCTACGGTACTACGGATCCATTGGTCTAGCTCACATCGCCGCAATCGTCTCACCGCCATGCATTTCACTGCGATTTATTTCGCCGCCATTAATTTCGCGAACAACTTTTCGTCGCGAGATAATTTTTTCGTTTGAAACCTTGAGCTGTATCTTGATTATTTTTCATCATACGCTAGTGTAATCTTCACTGTTAAACACAGGGCGATTAGGAGCACTTCATATTAAAAGTACCCTCCCCGTCTGATTTTTGGATCAAGTATATCTCGACGGGATTTAGTGAAAGGAAAGTGGTTTTAATGCCAATAAATTCGGCTTCGTACCCCACACAAGTCCCCTTTATAGTTTGACAACGTAAAATCTCTTCCAAGGGAACTAGCTTGAAATTCGTCCGATCACCATCTAACCAAACCAATCTTTGGAAACGGACCCTACGAGTCATGTATAAATTACCCTAATAAAATTTACTACTTTTAATTGTTTATACTTTTTTCATATTTTTATTTTTATGCTGCGGACATAAAAACAGATACATTGGGACAAATCCGATGATAAACTGCTAGGTTCGAACGTAAAAAATATTTATATATTATTATCATTAAATGTTGGTGTAATATCACATAAGAATATAGAATTATTTCATAGGTCAGAATTCAGAATGAACAAAATATTTTTGATTTATATAAAATCGAAAAATATTATCAGTGTGTAGCTGTGTAGGTATGAGACTATACTAATGTGTAATTTTAAGATGTCTACAGTCACTAAAATCATAGATTAATAGATCTATGCTAAAATTGTAGTGCACGGTACGCGGGTTCGAGTTCTCCAAAGTCCGAAATAGAAAAACCAGCACGAATGGCTTGTAATAATGGGGTAAAGGTATATTTAAAAACTGATAAGTATATAAATTTAATATTATTGTATTTATGGGAGGGGGAGGGCTATAAATTGTTGGAAAGTATTTTGTCAGAAAGTTATTTTCGGAAAATATTTCGTTGGAATCGTATTTTGTCGGAAAAATTAATCATTGGGAAGTATTTTGTGGGAACTGTTTAATATAATTTCATCATAAGTACTCCATGACTGCATGCTATCGTCGTTGGATAAAATTATTTTCCGACAAAATATGGTTCCGAAAACATATTTGCTGACGAATTATTTTTCCGAAAAAAAGCTTTCCGATAAAATATTTTCCAATATTTTACGCGCCTTCCATCGGTGGTATCACAAAACAAGATTATTTCTAGGTAAAAATAATTGAACATAACATGTATATTACATTGTAACGTAGCGTCAATGTAAAAGTTAAACATTTAAACTATGTTGCTGAATGTATCAGTTATTATTTTTACGAATTATTTATACGATATTGTATTGAAACTACTTGGTAATGTTTTTATGCAATACAAATATAACATAGTGGCTACATTTTGTAACTTAAATTGTACAGTGGATATAATTTATATAGTATTTATATATGTTTTAATAATTTTCAACTTTAAGGTCAACGTGTGGGAAATGTTTGTGCAAATGAAATCGAAAACATTTTCGAAAGACGCCATTCAATTCGATAACCTCCAGTTCAAAAACAATTTCATTGATCATTCGACCGGTAAAAACTAATATTTAATTATAATATTGTTTTATTCGAAAAAAAATGGCAATATCATAATGTAATGTAATGTTTTTCTTTGTACGTGTAGATAAAATCGAAAGCTACGTGATGATTCAAAGGGGATCCGGTCTGTTTGAATTCAGTCTGAATGACCAGCTTATACTCTCGGGTCAGATAAGTTTTTTGCACGAATTGAACGTCAAAGCGGAAGTACCGACAACGGACGCTGATAAGGCTTCCGACAGTTTACACGGATCTGCTTCAAAAGACGAAATATACAATATTTTCGAAAACAGCAGATACAACCTCGGGGACAATTTCAAAAACATTGCCAGCTTCAAAATATATGGAAACGAAGTACGTGGATATGTAGAATGGAAAAACGATTGGGTTTACTTCTTGGACGGATTGCTAAAGTTCCCAGTTTTGGAAAACATATCTACGTGTTCCTTGCATGCTCCGGTTTCCGTAAGACAAATTATCATTCACCCGGAAGTGTTTGAAGAACAAATGGAAAAAGGTATGCGTAAGCGTATTAAAATTTGTTTGATCGAATTATTTTAATATTAAATTCTAGTTTCAAATAATTAATTTTTTTTTAATCATATGTAATAGTATACGTAAATTACAACACGATCGCGAAAGAAATAACGTGCAACGGAGTGAAGATATGTGATGTAAAAACCAGTCCGGTAACGTTTACCAAACACAACAAACTGGCAGTGAACTTGGAAGAACAAAAATTCATCCGGTTCGACTATCCGAACTGCAATGTACTTAATATAATAAATAATTCACCTTTATTCAGAGGTATAGTCGAGCATACGTATAAGTGGGTATACGGCGTATACAGACATCTTGGTTTTTTTACAATATTTATACTCAAAACTTTTTTCTTGAAACGTGGGTATACGTTCATTTAAACGCGTATACTTAGTTATTATTCACGTATATGCCTTCCTTATTGTTATTAATTATTGAAATGTCATACATATATATGCACGTTATCACAACGATTCAACGATGTATGAAAACAAACAGTGACCTTTCTCTCTTTTTTTGGCTCCAAACTGTTGCTGATGTCTAGAGCTCCGTACTTAATGTTTTTAAAAAGTACTAAATATGCAAATAGATGTCAAAATACCCGGCCATCTCTCTAAATGGCACATATGGTATATTTAATCTATAGTTCAAGATATTTAGTGACATACCCTGCAACCCAGCAACCTCTTGACTAGGCCTATACGTACTCTATTCCAACACGAAACTTTTTAAACAATTTATCACGGATTATATAGTTTTTGGCATTTTCGGCAATGAAATAAAAATAGTATAATCGAAAGAAATAATAGCAACACTAAATTGTAACCATATTAGTCGGAACTGACACTTTTATTTACGGGTAAGTATACTCAGGCCTGTCGTAAGATATTTCCTGACCAAAAGTTATAATTTAATTGCCGTCTTTTTTGATGATAATTAATTTCATTTTACCACTCATTTGTCTTTAAAACTTTATGCCTACCTAAAGCAACGCATGGCTTACTTGTATTTTAGCGCCGGACCTGGGTATATTAATTTAATCAACTTTAGCCACTGAATTATTTTCTAAGTAATTTATTTTATAGAATCGTATTTTGATAGAAGCTAATAGATAAATATTTGAAAAAATACAATACAATAATACCTAGAGACAAGTTTCAAAGTTTAGATGCGTTAATTTTTAATTTTATTTATTACTGAATTTTCAAATAGTATTATCATGAATCATAAAATATTCTTAAAATTACAGTAAAATCACTAAATATTTAAAATATGCACTATAAACTTTTGATATGTTTTTCGTTGTTTCGAAAGCAAATGCAAGTCCCGAACCCTACACATAGTCTTTTTTTTTTAATTGGCCATTTTTTATCTATTCTAAGTTCTAGTTTCACCACTACGTATACTCACTAAACAATGTATGACTATATCAACGGCTATTCCAATGTTAAAAAATATGCGATGAAAAAATTATATTTATAAAAATCTATATATCATTTTCAGAACGTCAACGATTTCATTTACGATTTAATGAACATCATACAAAATGATAACAATTTGAATATTCAAACGGCCAATGGAAAATGTATTTTATGTATTCCCGATCGATTATTGCAATCACTGGACGGTTTTACTCGTGCGCGTCATGAAAACATACCCATAAAAACAATTATAGAAATTATCGGAGAACAATTGTCGAGCAATGTAAGTGATCCTACTTATAACAAATTACAATATTTATTTATTTATATCTCATATTTTACTAAAGGCTAAGCCTTGTCGTAGCGAAAATAGACAACTGATCATCTTTCTTTAATGTTTGAGTCTTCATATGCGAATACCCGTTAGATATGAACATCCATTACAATCATCTCGCATCTGATTGCCTTTATTTTATTTCCTATTCTTTTGCGTCCATTCTTACTACCTTGCATTATGTTAGTTGTGAAAGTGTTATTATATATTATTATTCCCGCTTCTTGATCTAATGGTATCTGGTAATATTGATCTTATTTTAATATAACTATTACGAAGTAATCTTCTTAACGTCCACGTTTGCATTTCATCTAGTTTTTTTTTTCATCATACACTGTTATGGTTCAAGTTTCTTTGCCATACAATAAAATTCATATGTAGCTATGGTAAAGTTATTTCTGGTCTTTGAACTAATAATATAAGATTATTTATATTTATAAAAATAATAATAATATTTTTACTGGTGGTTCATTTTAAAAGAGCATAATAACACGTTTGGAAGACGTCAACGACTTACAGGAATACGACGAGTCAGGCAGTTATATCACGGCAGCTGATTATAACGACCTCAAAAATACTACCAAAGCGCTGGCTAACAAGAAATACGGATATGTGATTGTATGTGGGATAAAAAATCCGCAGGCAATCAAAGGCTGGAAAATTATCGTCCATCAGAAGTTCGACGATAACACCTACTTGACGTTAATGAAAAAGGTACAGTTGTTTTTTAGATTCTAAGTGTATGAGGAATTTAAAGGCTGTACTGGTATTATTTATTTATTTATTTGTATGGTAGAAACAGAAATAATAAAAATACAAATTAGGGAAAATGAATAACATAAATAAGGCATTAATAACAAAACAATAAGAATAATAGATAACATAATACAAGTTTCATATTTTTTTTTGGAACTACTATAATTTAGTACCTACCTATAATATGTTATAAAGCATTGTGTTTTTATCATATTATTCTGGTATTTATGTTTTGTAAAGAATAATATGTTTACCATACAAAATAAATGAGGGAGAGGGGGGAAATTCAGAGGGAGCTCTAAAGCTTACGAACTCCGGTTAATTGGTTTATCATTACTTACAGATATACATTAAATTCCCGTCTATATCCAACTTCCCACCTACATTGATGTAGGTGGATGTATCCATCCCCATTATCTTATCTTTCTTTTTTTGATTTTTAATATGTGAAATTTTGATTCAATACATATACCTATTTGCTTTTTTGACATTAACGTATTACCTTATACTATGTACTAATGTCTTATAATAACATATATACTAATTTCGAGTACCTAATACTTATATATATTGTATAATTGTTTTTAATTTTAAAAACATCGAAATAAAAATCAATTCTGATATGTCACTCCCTAAAATAAAAAGCAATTCGAGTGAATGATATTTTTGAAATTGGGAGGCAATTCGAGTAACTTATTTAAAAAAAACTTAACGGGATACAATTTGAGAGTTAGGTGGGAGACGATTCGTGTGCGCCCGTTTAGCGTTGGCCGGAACAAGCTCCATTGTATCGACCCACGAGGGGACGCCATATAATACCGAATGTACCACTGACGCAAGGAGCTTCCTTTTGGACTACTTGGATCTTTCCAGGTTAGGACATCAGAAAATCCAGGGTGCAGGTGACGTTTTCAGCTTAGGACGCTGCATCTACGATGTGGGTCTTAAACAAGAGATTCTTTTAAATGGCCATGCCTATGTAGGTCATCTCCTTACCCAGCTCCAGCACCCGGTTATTTAGCAACAAAGTCGGTAGCAAAAACTTGTTTTTGTTGGTAAACAAAACTTTCTTGATCTTACCGACGGCTAACTCAAGGTCAAACCGCCGAATTTCAGCTGCAACGGGTGCCAGGGAGGTGTTTGCTCTCTCCTCAAGCTCCGCAATAGATCTTTCTGTGGAAAGGACCAGGGTGTCGTCTGTGAAATCGATGAGCTTAGAACCCGGAGGTAAACGCAGCCTGAGGTTGCTGTCGTAGGCAAGGTTTCATAGGAGTAGCCCAACGACTGATCCCTGAGGTACCCCGCACGACACCCTGATTTCGATCTACCCATACCTACCTTGATGAAACGCAATTCAGCAAGCTTTATTGCTACTTAAAGAGGTTTGTTATAAAAGCTGTTTTTCCTCCACCCATGGTATCCCGAACAGAAACATCGGCAGATTCCAGACCTTTGACTGCAGACTTTAAATCATCTATAATCTGATCATTTTTCAGCCAGTCAGTAATGTTTATTACCAACACCTTGGTAGTTCTCGCTAGTCTACCGATTTTGATACTTGCTCCAACAGCACTTTTAAGCTTCTCTGCTAGCAAGTCCACCCTATCGGCGTGTTCAAGCAAAATAGCTCCTGCCTTGGTGCGTCTGGTGTTGGTGACCTCAACACCTAACTCCTGGAGATTAATGTATCCCATAACTTTATTCATCACCTTTGCAAAATTTAACAGGAGGTTCATTAAGAGTCTTACTTTGTGGCCACAAAAAAGAAAAATTGAGTTTAATGTAGTATTTTTTTTATAAAGGAATATTAATATCAAATTTTGATGAAAATCGTAGAGTAAAAAATTATGTGGAACAAATCTAATTTTTAATTTTTTTTTTTTTTTTAAACATATGTATATTGCCAATTAAAGAACCATAGTGAAGTCATCAGAATTAAGCGGACTGACTAAGTTTCGAAATTATAGCTTTTTGAAGTTCTGGTTTTCGCGGACATTATGTGTTATATTAAATAACTAAATATTGTCTTATCTAAATTATGCTTGTCGTAGCTGAATGATTTTACATATCTTTTTTCATCCTAGAGTTGGTGAGTTCGAAGAGTTCCTTTCCTTTTTAACTAAACAAGGAAAACCAAGTGTATTTTGGATATACCTAGAGACCCAAGCAATCGCTTGCTCGGACTATATTAATCACAAAATACCCCTCGATTTATTCTGCAAACTTTCCTACCAAAAATCTTGTTCCGACGTGTCAAGTGTAGCTTATTTTCTGAAAGGAAATTTTATCTCCATTGTAACTTGAGCTGGTCGTTTTTTGATTTTACCAGGAGTTTTCTCAAAAAATGGAAAAAATCAATCGTGAAAAACGATGAAATAACCGGAAAATGTACAAAATACATTAGAAGAATATTACGATTTTTTTGTCTGTAGAAAACTTTTCTACCATCAATTTTGCTTCGAATTACAATAAAAGCACTTTTTTTAAAAGAAAATCTGACTAAGAAGGTGCTTTAGAGATTTCAATTATCAATTTTCCAAAGAGTTTTCAAATATAAAAAACTGGGAAAACCATGAAAAAACCAGGAAAATCGGTATTAAACAAATGTTATTAAAGAAAATATAAAATGCTTATTTAATTATTTTACCATAATATGACATAAATTGTTGACAAAGTATCACTATCAACTGAACTCCGCTCAGAATTGTTTTATCGTTAGCAATTTTTTTATCGTTGTTTACAAATATACATTAAATAACCTATAACAATGGCTGCACCCATCTTTATGTACCCATCCTAGGACGTCTTTTTTTTTCCTTTTTTTTTTAACATTTATTTAACCAATGACCGGGGTAGTAAAATCCTTCCAGATGTTTCACCTCTAGTCACCATCATTTATTTATCGGAAATATTTACATTTTTTAAATCTTGGTCTGCGAGAGGGGCAGGCCTCTCTAGCTTGCCAGTATATCGGTATTACATATTTTGTATAATTTGGTGTTGGGCCCACATTAATGTAACGAAAAAAAAATAAATACTAGGTACGCATGTACAGTAATCATTTATTGACGTGGGCTGAACCCTCTTCTCAAGCCAACCCCAACCCGCCACTCTGGAATTATTATTCCTTATATTAATTAAATTGGAGCCACTTAACATCTCCTCTTCTCGCCCTTCTATCTTACTCAGGATTCTGTAGACAAAGTTATCGATCAATACCCAATTTTCATTGGACGACAGTAGTACACCGATAAGAGACCACGCATATCTCGACTTCCCTTCTACGTACTTGCCATGCATCACAGTAGAACAGAGTGTGCAAGGCGCCATCGTTTTTGTTGCCGCAGTACTAACTCGCCAATTCTGACTTCCCGAATCTGGCCAGGTGTACCCCAAAATACCCGTGCCCGCTTAAAGCCTGGTTGAGGTGGTAGTTGATCGCTCCGTGTTTCTGACGATCCTATATGTCCATGCACGTTTTGAGCTGGCACTCCATCTTTCCTACCTTGTGGACAGCGTTTGGTCCACGACTTGTTGGGCCGTACCACCTGTGTGATCATACGCGTTCCTCTGCAAGAGGTCAATGGGATGGATACCAGCGATCACGCCAACTGCATCCTTGAACACCGTGCAATATGACGACGCTTCCCTTAGTGCCACTTTCCTAAGCACTCTCCAAAGAGCTTCCCAGCCTGCCAGGCTCATGTATGGGGACCAATTGGGGAAGCCGTAAAGTAGGATCGAATTGTCTCCATTCTCCTTTGTCTCTATTTGGCAGCACTGATGTTAGACAGTATCCTGGTAAGACACGGAAGTGCCTCGCTGACTTTCTTTGTTTTTGTCCTTGCGTGTTCAGTAATGCCCATTTATCGTCCAGTGTAATTCCCAGGTATCTTATTGTGGATTAAGTACCAATCTCATGTCCAAAAATGTTAAGATCGAGCTCATTATGTGATCTAGTCCTGCTCACCATCATAACTTCACACTTCTGCGTGGTGAGAGTGAATCCGATAGTCATTAACCAGTAATGAGCTCTTTCCGCCGCCATATTCAAAAAGTCAATTTAAAGTCACGACCTCGTAGTTCTCCTTTTCTTGCGTGAAAAGAGCGACGTCGTCCGCAAATGTTAGAAATGATACGCCCTGTGGAAGAGGCATACTGAAAAGTCCGTCATTTATGACGTTCAACAGCGTGGGACCTAACACCGAACCCTGGGGTTCACCGCACGTGACCTCCATCTCCACAGGTGATCCATCGGCTTCGAACAAAGTGAATCGGTTTGCTATATAGCTGTTGATGATCTTTTGTAGGTACTGCGGCACTTCCTTGTCCCCAAAGGCATCCGAGATTGTTGACGGGGAGCTAAGCGTAGGATCTCCACCTTGCACCACCTCTCAGTTATTATATTATTAAGAGCTCATGGTAGAGCACTCTCTGCGGAATTCATGCTGTTTGTCACTCAGGCCTCCATGCGTTCGAGGTGACTCCGTAGCCTCGTATCCAGGATTTCTGTACGAGGATGGGTCGTCTATTACTTTGTCAGCTTTATTAATTAGCACCAGTCCGATCTGTTTCCAAATCCGAGGAAAAATGCCTTCAACAAGGCACTCGTTGAACACTTCAGCCAGCATTTTCGGGTTGCGTGATGCTATAATTTTTAACGCCTCTTTTGAGATACCGTTTGAAACTTTAACTATCATATTCTTCAGCTTGCTTAACTTCTTGGATCCCTATCTGCATGACATCCTCCATCGTTTGGATCCCGGTGATTGGATGCCTCGCCCGGTGTCAAGGGAACAGCGCGTTCACGTTAGCCTGCATTCTGCCTGGCTTGGATAGGGGAGGCTTTATAAGCCCACCTATCACCATTTTATACGGGAAACCCAATGGGTCCTACTTTCTACCTGGTCGCAGAGCTTTTTCCATACTTCGTCTTTAGCCCTCCTAATGGTATGTACCAGGTCCCTCTTCACTTGTTTAGCACTCTTCTCTTCTGCTGCACTTGCTGTAGCTCCGACTCGGTTTCTCTTCCATTGAAAGACCCTTCACTAGTGGTTTGCGGCTTTTCTCAGCACCCCTATTCCGGGTGACCACCAGTGTACTGATCATATGGTATCGTAATATGTGGTATCGCTAGGTCCGGAGAGGGAACTGCGTAAGTTGCTTTCTCTCCGGTAGGCATCGTTTATTTAAATAAATACATGTAACACTTACTCGTACATATTTACAACTGAGTATACGGCAGACTACCCGACCAATTAATCTACGCCTGCCGCGTTTACTCTTGGATGTACACAACACAATAACAAATTCCACTAAATCTAATCTAACCTAACCCAACGGACATTCTTGAAAATTGACCACAAAATTTATTATAGTAGTACTTGTCAAAAAAGTTCAACATAATGTAGTAGTGTTTTAAGTTCAAATCGTAAAAACCACGGTATTTCAATACATGCATAACTGAACTTCGTTAGAAATAATTTATAGTTGGGTAGAAATATAAATTAAATAACTCTATGTATCATTGTATTCTATCTTCTCAAATTTTCTACTTGAAATCTTACTCTGATTGTCGACATTAGGAATGGTTTAAATTAAGGTAGCAATTAATTTTCTTTAGTCGATACATCGAGACAATCGTTTTTTTTTAATTTTCTTCGCACGTTTTTCTTAATTATCTATGTGTACGCTGTAAAATGAAATATCATATTATATCGCATATAGGAAATTGAACTTTATGGAAACGGTGTATTTATAAAACCTGCTATCGACGATTATGATAATACCGTGTGGAAAACATTGGAAAAACATGAATCTTCGAAGGAAAAGATTTACATAATTTCTGACTCGGAACCGCTGGGCGGCATTGTCAACCATGTCAAAGAAATGTTAATCAAATATAAATCGCCAAAACTACGGTAAATGTTGCAATATATTAAAAAGTTAATACAGTGTGATCTATCTATCATACGACACTCATTATCTCGGAAAATATTAAATGGAATATCTCTTCAACGGATTGACAGAAATTTCAAATTTAAACACCGAAATTTATTTTAACTACTACTCCATCTATTTACGAATTTTTTAATATAGGTTGCTACTTGAAAATCAAAAATAGGTAGTCGTTTCACCCCCAAAAATTAGGGTGACAAAAAATAATTTAAGTGTTAAATTTTAGGACAGTTTGTTTCTTAAATGTTCTTTAAAACAAATTTTGAAAAAAGTTAACATTTTCCGAGATAATGAATATCTTACGATAGATTTATTATTATTAGTTATTATTATTATTATTATTATTATTATTATTATTATTATTATTATTATTATTTTTAGATTTTTATTTATTTTGGATTCGAACGCACCAGGATATGAATCGAACAAATCGTTTTACATGAATCAATTGTCTAAGGATTTAATGGTTAATATTTACAAAAATGGTGGATGGGGTTACTACAAAAGAGTTTTCGTGGAAAATATCAAAGATAATAAAACTCCTCAAAATTTAGTGTTGAAAAAAGTTTCGTCTAAAAGGTTAAATTAAAATTCAATGATAAAAACAAACAAAAAATTGATTTTGAAATTAAAAATTTTTCAAACTATATTTTTTCCAGCGATAAATTTACATTAAAATATTTGGGATTGAATTTCAAGGATTTGATAGTCGAAGAAAAAACCGAAGTAATTAAAAAAAATATATCAAAACAAAATTCAAGAATTTTTATTAATTATAACTCTTGCATGAAAAAAAAAAAACATAATACTAATGTAGAACGAATTGGGATTGTTCGAGTACTCTGGTCTTGTCGATGCCAATAAAATGCGGATGGGAATAGCGTCGTGTAACGAAATGTCATCTGAATTGAAATTCGACGAAATCTTATCTTGGCCAGTGCCAACAAAATGGTCACTAGAAGAAGCGACGACCGTTCCTTTGAATTATGCCTTGGTAAATAAAACACATCAGCCGTATTTTTTTTCCTCTAGAAATGAGAAATTGCCATAATAATATTTTTTAAACCAATGTATTAAATACTTACCTAAACATTTCATATTCTAGCCTAAAATATATTTTTCTGGAAATTTGTTGAAACCAAGACTGAATAATATAAATCAATAAAATAATTAATTAAAAAGTGGGAGTTGATTTTAGCTTCAAAATAACTTAGAAAATTACGTTATATTTATTTTGTATCACCAATTAATGAATAGTAAATACGTATAACCACAGTAACGTAGCCAAGTAGGGCTAAAGGAGCTATAGCCCCCCAAGGACCATGTTTATGTATGCATACTATTTTACGAATTAGGTGTTTTAATTTTACAGTTACTTCTTCCAATCCTGGTAGAACCTTTTCACCACTGAACCATATGAAATTGTATTATATAGTAAGGCGCGTACTATATAAGCAAACAGACTCAATGGGCAATGTAAATAAAAAAAAAAAAAGACACAAATAAAAATTATATAAATTACTTTATTCCCTCAAAATTCTCATAGAATGATGCAGTTGTCAAAGGAGTCTATAATATAATACCGCTACAGCAAAATATTCCAAGATATTATATACTCATTTCATCATGAAGATTTTTACCAGTTTTTTTCAAAATTATTGCATCGAAATACATATTAAAGAGCCCGCTTTTTTTTAAGTTTTGGTTGAACTAATTCAAACCTCTATTACCTATAACCCCATAATTAAAGCAAAAACGTTTTTAGCCTCCCTCACCTCTGTACACAATTTTGGATACGCCACTGTATAACCATAAAACAAAAATGACGTCCGAATCGCGTAATGTTCAGTGTAACTAGCTTGCCCAATACATCAATACTCAAAAAGCCGTGTATCGAACGTAACATAATATTAATTCATTTATTTCAGAGTTATTATGTTTTAAATATTTTGTGTAATTTGAACCACGAAAATACGGTTTTAATCACCTCGGGATTGCACCCCATGGGTCAAGCTATAATTTCGATCGCTTTACATAAAAAATGCAAGACGTACGTGGTTGTACAATACGACCAACAGGTCGATCAACTCATCAATATATTCCCCGAGGTAATTCTTATTGTATACAATAAAAGTTAACGGAATCATTTATGATAAGCAATTAAAATTTCAAGTTACCGCGTTCAAGAATAATTGTAAACACCAACGACAAATTTGACATAGACTTGAAAATGATAACTGAGGCCAATGGCGTTGATTTCATATTAAATTTTTTGGATGGCAAAGCTTTCCAAGCAGCTTTTCGGGCTATTGCCAAACATGGAAAGTTCTTCCACTTTTCCAAAGCCGATATGTCCAATCGTGGGAGATTAGGTATAATATTCTAGTATTATTCGTACAATAAAACCATTTTAGTTTTTGTTGTACGCTGAGAATATAATATACTATTAAAAAATGTTATTTAATAAGGAACGAGAATTTTCTTGCAAAACACTTCGTTTACGATTATTTGCCCGACTATGTTGTTGAATGAGACGGACCAAAATAAAACGACAGTACAAAAAGCGTTCGCGGACGGTCTGAATAAAGGCGTAATCAAGCCGATCCCCAGAAACGTATTAAAAACGCCGCTGAACAGTAATATTATTTTCGACGCTATGAGGTAAGCCATATTACAATAATAATGTTCCTATTTGGCATCGATGGCGAAAAAAACTATTTTCCATTTTTAGAAATGCTTCCAAGTCGAACACTTCAGAGAAGGTCATATTGTCGCTGAACGACGATTTCGGAAATGCCAATAAGTCATCGTTGGAAAATTTTAAATGTGACACGTACCAATGCAATCCAAATTATATTTACATAATATTCGGTAAATTTTTAATACCAATAGATAGTTCACCTGTTAATCTGAAATTTTACGAATACAGTACGCTCATCACATTATGTTTTATAGGAAACGCGTCGGACTGGCTGGATCTCGCCGAATGGCTGGCCGATCGGGGAGCTCAAAAGATCGTAATCACGATCAAACGGTGTTTAATATCATCAATCAATTCTAGAAGGTATTATACAATTAATATTATGACTAAAATTTGTGAGAAAGGCATTAAGGAATATGCATGTTTCCGTCTATAAGTTCGACACTCGAGTATGGTAGGGTAGATCAAATGAACAGCTGAACTAATTGTTTGTAAAAGGAAGTATGGTTCAATTTATAATCGATACAATACTCGTAAATAACCTAAATAGGAAAAGACCGCATGGTAAACCGAAATAATAACTGTAGTTAGATGCGATCAAAAGAAACATCGCAGAATTGAAGTCAGATTGGAATGCGAATATCCTAAATCATAAGTTTAGTAGGAAAAGTGGAATAAATCGATATTGAAAGCAAAAAGTCTAGATAGTGCTCAAAACAAATAATAATAGTATGTGCAATATTATATGTGATTCGTTGTACCGATTATTTTTTGTTATCAGGTTCGACAAACTTATATCCCGAAACGTGTCCGTTCAAATCGAATCCAACGTATATTTAAACAACCGGGTAGACTCGCTGAGCTGGTTGAACCGTTTATCGGCGTTCAACGTCATCGGCTCGGTATTTATAATCAATCAGGTCGGTATACGAATGACAAATTTTGTTTTGTTATATTTTACTGATTCTATATTTTGTGGTCTTCCGACAGAATGACAGTAAAAAAATCGAAAACCTAGGTCACGCTTTCAAAGAAACTTCGAACAAAACGATAGCTACGTCGTTCTTGAATATTTCGAGTAACGGCGAACACGTTTGTTCACAACTCAAATCGGTCGGTTTCAACGCTTTGAACGTACAATGGGGCGGAAAATCATCACAATCGAACAACATATTCAAAATGTTGCCGGCTCTAGATACACTAATACAAAAATCAAATGCCACGGAATCTTCGTCGTTTGTGTGTTACGAAAAAGACATAAAAAAAGTGAAATGTATAATAAAAATATATATAGTATATTTAGTTACAATATCTCGAGAAAAAAAAATTAATTTACTATACAAATTATTAAACACGAATAATATTTCCAGGGTCTCAGCAAATGAACAATTTTATCGCACATTGTTTTCCTGAATCCGTAGAGGAGTTACACCAGCTAAAAGACAAAATAACCACCGAAGCGAGATTCGTGGAAGTCATGACTCAAAGCCCTAAGTTTCAGAACATCCAATCAGTGACGCCGGTGTTTTTCGTACCAGGATTTAAGCAGGAATTCCTCAAACCGTTGTACAAAAAGTTATTTTTTCCAGCTTTCGAAGCCCAGCTACCCGAAGTTGTCGGTTCGATCGATGACGTGGCAAAGGATCTAGTGGACGTAAGTCGAACATGAAAATACGTTTCACCAACCCAATATCCGTACCTTTAACATATTTTTTAGAACATCAAGACCATAACGGATAAACATTATATATCTTTGATCGGAGAATCGTGGGGCGGAATCGTCGCTCTGAAAATGGCTCAGATATTGGAAGATCAAGACATATTAGTAACCGTGTCATTAATAGAAGGTGAACCTGAAAGCCTGATTGAGTGGGCGGGTTGTTTTTTATCCAACAACAATTTCATCGACAAGCTAAACACGAAATACAATTTAAAATCCACCGAGGTGAAAAACAGCAATATTTTTATCATAATTTATATATTATTTAAAATTAAGTAAATGCATAAAATCGTTGCAGCTATTTAAATAAATTAAAATCCATATAGGTAACTGTTCAATATTATTTATATTATGTGATTAATTTTCAAATATTATTAATATATATATATTAGAACGATTTAGATTACTATAGAGTATAATAATACGTTAATCGATATTGTAAATTTTTAAATCTCGTGTGTTCTGCTGTAATGAGTAATATTATTTTTTCGTTTTTAGTTGTCTAAATACGTAAGAGAAACGTCTAACAAACAATTGGAATTCAAATACAAAACACAAGAGGCGTTAAACTGGGTTCAGTCTTGTCTAAAAGCATTGATCGGCTCTAAGCCGCTGTCGAATAAATTGATCACGAAAGTCGTATTAATTAAATACAAACGTACATTGGAATTCTATAAATCCTTTTTAAATGATGTAAAGTCTATTTAATTACCTACCACGTCACTTCTGTGAAAATCATTTTAATTTAATTTTTTTTTTTTTCAGTATTGTCTGGACAGACCGATCGTGAATTTTATCGAACAGGCTGATTACAAGAGTATGATGGTAGACAAAAAATTAATTGAAATTATACATAAGAACGTAGTGCACGTGTATCCGGAAGGGGTGCAATTATCATTGACCGAGAAATATCAAAATTTCTTCTATTTCTATCAAAAATATTTAAAATAGACTTGATAATAACGATATAATAAAAATGATTTATCTGCAATGTATTATAAAATATAAAGTATACGAATATAGAGTCTAATTGTATTTTTATGTAGCAATTATTATATAATAGAATTTCTAAATAATTATTTTTGTACGGTTTTATTCGTAGTAAATAAAAATACATAAGCAGCAAACCTTCGTTTAAACCTTCGTCGCTAAAGCCGAATTTCCACCTAGCTGACTTGTTGTTACAATAATTTCTGTTCAATGTTTATGTGCAACATTTTCTATTATAATGATAAGTAATTTAACAAAAATAAATTAAATGCATTTATATGGTTTGGGAAAGGTATACTTGTATCATGCATTTACAAAATTGCAACTCCTTGGCTTAATTTGGGGGTCTGTAGGATGGTACAATGCTAAAAACACACCCCACAAAATAAAGAAGTGAAATTAATTTTGAAATTCAATCAAAATGTAATCACTTCAACTCATCTATAAAAAAAAAAAAAAAACTCTTAGTTTACGCGCGAGTAACAGCGTTAGAATTATTTATTATTTTTATTTACGTATTATTTGTTATTAAATAATTACATAACCACATAGTTACGTAAAGACAGTTTATTTTATAACATTACACTTTATTGCATAATATGATTCATAGATCTTTATAATTATGTTTATTTATATTTATTATCATAGATACCATAGATACGTTTTGACCAAACTTTTAAATTTGTTTTCATCTCATCCGTGTTTCTAAGGTAATTCATTTTAATAAAAAATTAATAATACCTAAAAACCGAATTTCGGAGGATGGATTTCAATAGCTATAAACTTTCTCCGGGCAATACGGATTATTTTACGATCAACCGCGTAGTTTTTGAGATTTTACAATTTTACATTTATATATATGTATATAGATAACCTACAAACACAATACAGTGTATTAATTTCTACTTATGGGGAAAATTCGAAAAAAAATAATGTTATACCTAGTATTATGCTAAAATCTATTATCCAATTATCCAGTAAATATTCGAGATTTTTTTTTTTATCGAAAAGTAATATGGTTTCGTCACAATTTATTATAATATTTATATAGGACGAATCCAGATGCGGTAAAATATAATATTATTGATGAAAAAATATTTTGCAAGTTTTTCAACGCCTAAAAACGCCTTCGCACAATGAGATATGCAATAAAACATGCATGTCTGCTGCGGTTGCAGTTAGTAAGGATAGGTTATTGAACCATACGTACTCGACAGAATATTTTTTTTTATTTATTTATTTTTTTTTTACAAAATTATGGGCGTGAGCACTGAGCATACTGCACAAATAAAGAGTTTCTATGCAAAACCCAACCCAAACAATCATCATCGCAACAATAATAATTATAATGAAAACAATAATTTGCATAATATATATATATATATAGGTATTTTCGAACGTCGTTGCTACGATACGGACGATTATTGTTGAATATTGATTAACGCGGTTTATTTTATACTCCTTTGAACCACCGAGTTTTTCGAAAATATTAGCGTGAGTGCATATTAATTTTAACTGTATATAAATAAAATTAATTTATAATTAACGAACAAGTAAGTATAATTATAATATTGATTTATTGATCAATTATGAAAAGTAACAAATTATAATATCGAAATAAATTCTTCGTGATCGATAGTTTTATTTTGTTTAACACACGCTTTGTTCAATAATAGGTAATAAATACACGATATTATACTTTACACAATTTATTAGGTATTTGAACATCCGTTGTTATGTATTTATATATTCACGTATTTGTATTAGTACACAACTTTATAATTATTAATTTTTCTTAGTCGAAATACAAGCGTATAAAATGTACAAACCACTAATTTGAATTCAAATAGTTAATTTAATAATTAGTATTTTTCCATGACAAATAAAGTCGACGATTGAATTTTTTACCTAAATTTAATTATTAAACTGCAATCGGGTCAAATACAGATAATAGTCGAACTGCACTTTTTAAACTTTATACCCCTACTTCTTATATCTTAAATTAATATGCATTTTTGATTTTAAAATATTACCCACCCTTTCCCCGTCCTTTAAATACAGATTCGAATAGAGATTTTTGATTTCGAAAAATGTTGATATGTATAACACTAATATCAAATTTACCGTTTATGTGTTATAAAAGTTTAAAATGTATGACGATATTATTAAGTCAGTTGCAATAATACATGTAGCGAAAAAAAATCGTTCATATTATGTTAGTCATAATCAAACATGTGGTATGTACCGTATCATATTCAGTATTATTTAGTATTTATTATTCAATATTATTAGTAATATTTTTGTTTTAAATTACAGTAAATCGATGATGTTTTGTTAAAAGGATGTATACAATAAAAAATCGAAAAATACGTTTATGGTATCAAATAAAAATCAGAAAAATTAGGAGCTTAAATTGATAAAATGGTGTATTTAAATACAGAAAATTAAATTGATAATGTCGACTAAAAAATATCCAAGCGTCCTTTTAAAATATAGTTAAACTAACACTGGTTTGTTAAAAGGACGTATACTACATTCAATGCATGAAATACATTCTATACATTGTGTACAAAGTATTATGTGTATGAATAATTTTATTGTTTTCTATAATAAACATCGCTATAAACTTCTTTGTCGTTTCTTTACAAAACAGTTTTTTCTGTTTCCTGAAAAAAAGTGTTTTAGTGGTATACGCCCTTTTAACAAAACTCCGTCGAAATATTTGATTTTTTTTCGATAGGTTCACGTAAAATCCATTTATAAAATAAGCGAAAAACCTATAAAGTATTATAATTCATATTATAGTCTTCAGCAATAATCGGTTTTATCAAATTTTCGTGAGCTTATTTTATAACAGGTTTTTGATCTCTGTAATCATGTAATCCTTATTCTGTTTTATGATCATCAAGTCGTGCTCAAAAACTTAATAACACATTTGACTCTCAATCTTAGTTGTTTGGACTTCTGTGCCATGAATGACGATTATTAGGTTTAAAAATCATCTGGTCAGAAATAAAGAAGCCAATTAATAGAATACAGTGTGTTTTGTCGATTAGTTACTTTTGTTGTTCGTGATTTGTTATTGGAGTTACTTGCAAACCATACGCATGCGAAGAATTTGGAAAAATAAGAAAGTCACTTACCGGCTCAAATTGAGAAAAAGAGGGGTTATAGTTATAGTTATAGTTGTTAGTTTCTTAAATTTTCAACGAAGAAAAATGTGTTAACTCGTAAAAAGCGACTAAAATTAATCAACAATAAAGACGTTCAATCTTATTTTTGAGAGTTTATAGTTATATCCATTTGAAATTAATATACGGTGGTATCGTAGCGAACAATCAATAAGTTAATCAAATTATAGTTAATAAAATTTATTAGGATATTTTTTAAATAGAATTTACCGTCATCATCATGAAGAAATCGTTGGAGAATCAGCTTACCATGTGCGATATGTTACCCAACGGTCCATGCCAGATGGACATCGTCGTTGACCAAGACGTTCGACGAAAGTGTAGTAGTTATAAAATTTGCGAAAAACCGGAAAAATTGGACGACCACGATGGTTTGTATTCGTTTGTTCAGTGGCAGGAATACAACCGGGACCTACTGACCCGGTCAATCCAAGGACATCGCCAGTCGAACGAGTATGTTTAATGCAGTCCTCTTTATTAAATAAAAAACCCTAAATACTTTACATCGTTAGTAGGCCACTGTTGTAGGTGCACAGTAGATAAAAAGGTACATAGGTTAAAGGGTACATTTAGTGTATAAAATAGTATAATACACAGTTACAATCAAAAATTCTATTCTGAGTCTATTTGTTTACTATGAACATCATTAATGTTTTTAAAGACCGATAAAGGGGAGGTAAGGTTAACATATTAAGGAGGGTTCCTCATTGTAAAGGAAATTAAAAAGAAAATTCTAAAAATATTTAAACGTAGTATATAAGTTAGGAATTCCATGTCTAAGTATTTTTACTAATCAAAAATGTATTTTCTGAGAAAAAACAAGTCTTAGTAAAACAAGTAGCTCTTTCGATAAACTCAGAATCTAAACTAAACAGAACCACATTTGTATAGGTTTTAAATAGTCAAAATGGACTGTAACTTCGATTGTGAAATCCACAGGGTCGAATACAATGTGAAACGTGCTATTAACACGCTATCCGCATCGACAGATAAATCCATGCTGGACACTACTAAAAGAATTTCGAACTCAACCATGAACATAGACAAGTGGAAAGTAGACATGTTCCAGAGTCTGAGAAATATTCGAAACGAAATCGATTTACTTTTGTTGGGCAAGAAAAAAATTCAAATAGCCCAAAAAGCTTTGGGCGTAATATGTTCGATATCCACCGAATGTCTGGAACGACGGTCGTTCAGATTGGAAATGGATCTAATTTTAGATCCCGGTCAGATCGAGCTCGTCAAAGTAAGTCGTGATTATATTAATATTCATGAGAACATTATTTACTGTAGAATACATTTTCTACAAGATTTCGAGATCACGTTATTCTAATATAAAGTATCAGATACTTTCACACGTTTAGGTATTATTTATTATTTAAAAATAAAAAACTATATCACTTTACACTTTATTAAAGCGTTGACAAGATATATAATTACAGGAAAATAAACTAATAAACGAAATAGGCGAGTTGATGTGCCGTACGTTGTGTCAAATAAACGATCAAATTAATAGCAACAAACGTATAAAGTACCGACTCGAAGAAAATTGGAGCAACAAAGATCAAGTGTTTAAAATAGACACTTTGAATTTGGGGCTGAATATTCAATCACCTACAATCATGCCGGACGTTGAGGCGGTGAAAAATTCCGAAAAGTATATATATACCTATAATACCTAAATAGTACAATAGTAAAGTTACTATACTATTAGTATAATATACCTATAAAGTATATTTCGGAAGTTGAGTACCTATAAAAATTATTTGTGTAACACGAAGTTTTTATTAATTAATCGTATTGTAGTGCATGCGCTTTATCGCCGTCAGAATGGGAAGCGTCCAATAAAAGTTTACACGACGACGCCCAACAGATTTTTAACGATTCAGTAAATTTAAGAAATTACGTCGACGAACACGTGCTAAATTCCAGTGCTAAACAATTAAGAGACCAAGCGGACGCAGTCGACATAACTCTAGCCCGGTTCATATCCGACACGCAACGAATCAGTCAAGCTATCGAAAACGATTTGGAACATGTAATGAAATAATCGTATTGTATGAATAATTCATGCACAAATATCACTCATATAATAGTATAGGTAGTATAACTCTGAGCAATGACGTATTTAGAATTTCGCCAAATAGGGAGATACTAAATTGGAAAATTATTTCGTATAACATGTATCCAGACTAAAATATCAATTTTAAATTTTAGATTCTGAGTAGAGCGAATAGTTATACAAAGATGTTAATTTTTATTTTTTTCAATGGACAACTTTTCTACCAGAAAACTTGCTCAGATTTTTACATGTAGCAACTTTTCTAAAAGGAAATCAGTGTAGTGAGGTACTTCAAAGAGATAATATTTTAATTTTCTGAAGAGTTCTCATCAAATGCGAAAAACCGAAAAAATCCGAAAAATTTACAAAATATAATATTTCGATTTTTTTTTTGTGAACAACTTTTCTACCAGAAATTTTGCTCCAACTTTTAATGATAACAATGTTTCGGAAACGAAATTTCACTAAGCACCTGTCCCTTTTAAAAAGTCATTTTTGCATTTTCCCCGAAGTTTTCTCAGCAAATGTGAAAAACTGAGAAAACCGAGAAAATGGGTATAACATTAGACAAATATTTTTAAAAAAAATATATAAAGCCTATTTATTTTATTTTAATTATTTTACTATAATAAAGCATATACATTGTTGACAAAGCATCACTATCAACTGAACACCGCTCAGAATCGTTTTTTCGTAAGCAATGGTTTATCGTTGCTTACAGGTATAAATTAAATTACCAATATAAAAATGGCTGCACTTGTCCCTATTAGAATGTCTTTTTTATTTTTGTAAGTAATTTATAATTCAACCTACACTGTAATTATTATTGATATCAAATAACTAAGTATTTAATTAATTTTTTTCGGGTTTTCAATTTTTATGAGAAAACTTTTGAGAAAATCGAAAAATGACTCCTTTAAAGTACCTTTGCATGCCTATTTTCTTTCAGAAAATGTGCTACACGTAGAAATCCGAGTAAGTGTTCTGATAAAAAAGTTGCCCTTTTTTAAACGGGGGTTCCTTATTTAAGGTCCTTTTTAAGGACTCCCTTAAAAAGGGAGTCATGTCTATAATAAATATTAAAAAAAGATCAAGATGTATATATCTTTAATCTTTCCCTTAAATATGCCACTGCTCTTAAAATAGAAAAAGTGTGTAAACGGGGTGTTAGGAGTTGTTAACACTTGTCTTCGTTTACAACTTTTACTTTACGCTAAATTGAAAATATTTCAAACTTTCATTGATGTCCAGTGATTTTATTTATTTTTTAAAACGTATAACTTATAACTTAACTATACAGTTAAAAATTTGTGTTTATATTTATGTCTTGGTGATATTATTAAAATATTATTAAGCATATTGTTAATAAAATTAATAAAATAAGTCTAAGAAAAATTTATTTTTATTTTAAAAAAAAAAACAAAAATAGGTCGTTCAAAGATTGGGTGACGCGGAAAATGTAATCGAAGATCTTCTTCGTGTGATTAATAATATAGAAAAAGCGAAGATGACTGCCGAGACGAGATTACACAATCGGCTGAAACGTCCGGAAGACGATAACTGCAAAGACAGTGCACAACTAAGGTATACTAATGAAAAATATAATTATTATTTAGCATTCCATACCAACAATTTAATGTTATTTAAATATATCGTGTAAACAATTTTGGATCATGATATTTTACTTCTAAAAGTAATATAAAAAAGGGACTCACCTATACTTTACAAATGAGGTTTTATTAATTTAAAAATTTAACCTAGGATAATGTGCACGGGTGCCGTAATATTTTACTAATACATTTTGTACATTTTTCCGTTTTTCCTCAGTTTTTTTTAGTTTTCCCCATTTATTTGGTAAACTCTTAGGAAATCAAAAAATTCTGTCCCCAGTCTAATTTCCTTTCAAAAAGGTACTATTAACGTTAATCGGAATAAAATTGCTGGTTGAAAAGTTGTCCACAGAAAAAAAATAAACATCATTATAAACTTATACATTCCTCACTCCACTCGAAAATTAAAAGTGATTCAGTGTAATTGACTAAAGTGGAGAGAAACATCAGGTTTTTTATGTAACTAGAAAATTCTAATGAGACTTAAAATTAAGTTCTACAAAAGTATGGTGAGATTGACTATGTTGTGTAGTTCGGAGTGTTGGGCAATTTATGTAATGCCACGTATAGAAATTTCAAATTTTTAGGTTTTCAAGTTTGTATGAATATTTTAAACTGAATTAAAATAAATAATCAAAATTGAAAATGATAAATTTTGTATATTTTTCCGTTTTTTTTTCAAAAAATAACCTTAAAATACCACTTAGATAAAATTTCTTTTAAGAAAAAATACTACACATAAAAGTCGAAGCAATATTTTTCATAGACAAGTTATTTACAGATAAAAATAAATAATAATAATAATAAAAAACATGATTGTAATCAACTAATACATTTCTCGCTTCGCTCAGGATCTAAAATATAAATAATATTCGTTTCATCTAAAATTACAAACAAAACAAAGTTAAAGTCAGATACGATTTCTAGTGTTCCTACGAGGGGTGCAAGTATGAATACAATATAATAAACATAAAATTACGATAGTGGTTAATATCAATAATAATATCAACATTTTCATATTATAAAGCATTCAAATTTTGTAACTTTTGTTTCGATTTTAAATTAAAAAAATAATAGTTGCCGCCTTTATAATATGGCCTTGATTGTATTGTTGGTATTTATTTTTTCAGTCTAATCCCGGAAGTAAACAATCTGAACGAACAGTTGAAAACACTTAACTACCAGTTGCAATGTGCTCGGACGGGACATTTGGGATTAATAGAGGTGCGTTCGCAATTAGAACACGAAGCTCGCATCAAGAGGAAAACGCTTTGGATCGATTGTATTCGGTGTCAGCGAGTACGGGCCCACTATCCGTCGCAGACCGTATTAATCGGGCATTACTAAGATCAGTTCAATCAATCAATCAGTATAATATTTCATACGCCATAATAACACACGAATTCTATTTTAAATTTTAAAATAATAATATAAAATCCAATATGGCCATACAAAATGGACGTTGTAATGTTAGACGAAATATGATTGTAGGTAAAGATTTATATCTTAAGAATATTGTTATCATAGACGTGCGCACAATGTGTGCCAGGTATTCCTTTAGATTGAAAACGAAATTGACTCGTTCTAGTTAGGTGTTACTTAATTAAATGCTAACCGATCTATATATATATATAAAAGCCAAATACCACTCACTCACTGATCGCTATTTCTAAAAAACTACACAACGTATGAACTTGAAATTCGGAATAGTGGTTCCTCCTAAATGTGCAATAAGAAAATATTTTAAAAAATAATGCGATTAAGTGAATTAATTAATAATAATTACTTATCGCCAACAATGTCATCATTTTCACCAATGGATAACTATAGTAACCGAAGACAATAAACGTAGTTTTTAATTATTTGCAAACACTGATTCTGAACATTCCAACAACAGAGTTAAAAAAAGTGTATTCAGTTGTTAAACAATAAAATTATTGCACTAAACAATACCGCTAAAACGGTTTGTTCGCTAAACGGCTAAACTATAGTAATCGGGTTGTTCAAAACTGCATCTGTTACACACAACGCAATCACTGCAATCGTTTAAAAACATAAATACATCTGCATTCAGTTTATTTGCCCATAAATTAATATTTTAAATACATATATATTTTTTGCAATATTACTATAATTTATAATAGTAATCAGCTAGATAAACATTTTTTTAGGATAAGTCTTGTATAGTATATAAGATATGAAAATAGTAAATATTTAAAAATTGACAAAAATATGTGTAAATAAATTTGATATCAAATTATTTAGGTATATACATAGAATTACATAAATAAATCAAACAGAACTATTTTGACGTTTCAAATGCTCGTAAAAATACAAAAATACATATTAGATACGTGTATGGTTTTTTAAACTATATTATTATTGTAAAAAACTCATATAATACGCATGCATCATAACCTTGTATTTTAAATTTTAAATCATAATATCATAACTATAAAACTATAAATTGTTAGAATATTTGTTAGATATTGTTAAAAATTTTTAAGTTCACATATATATCGACGTGAGTGAAATCTACAATTTATTTTATTTTATTTTATATTCAAATTTAAACGTAAAAATCGCTTCGCTTTTCCTTTGAATTCCTTGTATTACCTCATCTTTTCGCTCTAATCTCGCCATTTATATCGGATAATAATTATACTTGATGAATATTCAATCACAATGACGTCATAGCTATTATGCTCAGGAGCACGTCCGTTTGACGTATAAAAACGGATACTAAATTTTATCAGTTGTATTTCAGGTTTCCTCGTCTGCAGTTACAAGGTATAGTAATACATTAAGTAATACATTGTATTATTTTTGTTCAATTTGCGCATCATCTATCACTTAGATTAAAAATCCATAATTATTATTGACATTGCATAGACGTTATTCCAAATAAAAAATAAATTCTGAGTTGGGTAATAATATAAATCAATAAAATAAAATTGACGTATCGAGATTTGTTATCAGTTTTTTTAATTTTATAGAAATTCTATTGAGAATCTAGAAATTTATTTCAAATGAAGTAACGCCAGGTGAGAAATCGTACGTGAATAATTTTTAAGTATTTTTACAACCGTTTTCCAAGAAAAAAAAGGCCTAAGAGGCAGTGGTGAAGTATTGAAAATGTCAAGCTTTTCAAATAAAATACTACTACTTGGCAAAAACCAGGGTATTTCACTCATCAATAAATGGGTTATAAAATCTTACTAATATTAAATATATGAAAGTTTGTGAGGATGTATGGATGTTTGTTACTCTTTCACGCAAAAACTACTGAACGAACTTTGATAAATTTTGGCATAGAGATAGATGTGACCTTAGAATAAAATCTAGGCTACTATTTGTCACGAAAATAGAATTTAAAGGAGATGAAATAGGGGATGAAAGGTTTTTAGGTCTTTTTGGTATATATATATTAAGTTATTTTTATTGAATTATGGATTAACATAGATAAAATGAAAAAAAATTAAATAATAAACAGAAATAAAAATGGTATAACAACCATAACAACTCCATATAAAGATTCTGTCTGACTGTCTGCTGATCTATTATTGGCTCGAAATTGGATGGGCTACTATGGTAACATGGATAAAAATCTAACCTAGCACAAATGAAAAATGTATGATACACTTGAACACTTTTAATTTGCGGATTACCCACTTTCCATCTATTTTTCAGTTAAATATATTGATACAGGCAAAGCAAAATGGAAATGAAGGTAAAAAAAAAATAATAAAAAATTAGCGTGAGAAGCTAACAAAACATAAAAGGCCAATTTTTGGACAAAGTATTCGACATTTTGAAATGAAGGATCAGCCGGCAAAAATTCGCATAAGATATGTTACGATAAGTTACGATATGAAAAAAATGTAAGCATTTTTACTGAGTAACCTAAGTTTTTCCGAGAAAAAAGTACATCTCAGTTAATGTTCTTTCACCAAGGGCTTGGTGTGATCAATACGACGATAACAAGACCACGTGCATGAGGTCATTTTTTTCGTTTTAGTTTTCATAACTACTAGGGAAAACTTAAAACTTATGTAAAATCTTTGTTGTTGTTTAGGTTACCTTGACAATAAGAAAAAAAGTACGACTAATAATACTTTGATCATAAATTAAATTAGATAGATATAAATTAAATTACTCTATATTACCTCCCTTCCAACTTCCATCGGCAGTATCAGATTTTCAATTTTTTTTTTTTTTAATAATTGAAGAACATCCGGAAAACACGTTGGGAAACCAGGCAAATTTTCGACCATTTTGTTTTTCTACGCGAAACCTCGTTCCAACTTTCAATTCTTGCATCTTTTCTGAAAGAAAATGTTGTTTAGTTGATGCGTAGGTAGGATTTTCTGTGTCGTTTTCATAATAACCTCGTTAATTTACGATTAACCTAATCTAACCTAGCCTTAACGATCTCACCTAACGATTTTGTTTTTATATTTTTGTTTATTTTGCTTGTAATATTTATTTCGATCACTCGACATGAATATAATATTATAATAAATATTAATTTATTATTTACGGCGGGTGTGACAAAAACATCGCAAAACAAGTTTCCGGAGAATTATCAGCCAGCAATAACAATAATAATAATAAAAATATATGATAATAATCGACGTTGTCATCATAAACACATAATAAAATATACGTTGTCGAGTTATCGAGAATGCGAAAAACCACGACGACGACGTGTGTATCGTACAGACGGAGTATTCTGCATTACGATACTTTGGCGTGCGGAATGAATATTTTTCCCCGTGGATATTTATAGGTATAGCCGTATAGGTTAGGTTTACACGTGAATAATATTATTATGATCGTGATGCAGTAGGTATAATAGTATTATATACATCATCGTTATTAAAGAATGCGACACACGCGATTATTAATATTATTATTATTACCCACACTGGTCATGCTATTATACAGATTAGAGGTTTCGATTGTGCCGGTGTACTCAACACCGTCTGTAGCATGTAACTTATGTTGTACTCACATATACTTGCACGTGAATTGAATATCCGTATTCAAGGGTTATAGTGTTATTCACGTATTTACGTAAATATATGAAAGCGTGTACACGTGAAATAGGGATTTCAATTTTTAGCATAGAGGAGAGCCTCTTATAGAGTCCCCTATATTTGACCATTTTTTACATTTTGTAATTTTTTAACGAAATAGTTTAATTCATTGATTAATTTATTGCATAAATTAGTCTTTTTTTGATGTAAGTTTTATTATTTGTATTAATAATAATAAATATTATAATTACTCGTCTTTAATTGTCTAAGTAATCAATTCATTTCATCTGCAGAGGATCGCTTGGTACTCTCTCCATAAAACGGTTTATTTTTTGTTTGAACTCAATGCATTTATTGAAAATTCTTTTAACTTGTTTTTCACATTGGAGAAGTTGTGTGTCGTCAAGATCGTTTTACAAGATTTATCTTCCGCTGTATCCATCTCTCTATAGTTGTATACTAATCAAAAATGCACAAATTAGTTTATATTCGCTCAGCTCAGAATTTAAAATTATGAATAGAAAAACCTCGTCTCGGAATAACATTATTATATTGTTCTGCGCGCCCCGTGGCCCCGTGTATCTTCCACTCGACGACCTTCAACTTGGCCCGGCAACTCGACCGCGATGACATCACCCGGACGGACGCGATCAAATTTCGCCTGCGACCGCGACGTCCCGATCTCCTTTTTTACCCGGCGGCGACAACGAAGACGTTCACCTAGATTTACACCGGAATAATATTATAAGATAATATATACGACAATAATAATATTATTATTATTACGGTTACCCTTTTGAACAGAAAAAATATAATAATACGTATAGGTTAAAGATATTATATAGGTTAGGATTATAATGTATACCGTATTTCTTAAACGTTTTTTGTTTTACGCCCATTTACATTATTGTTCGTTATAAAATATTTGCACATGTATCGTGAGTATACAACGCCACGGAAACGTATTTATTATATCTGTTAGGTGTCTGGAAAATAATTTTTTTTTTTACGCACCCGTATATTATAATAAATCTTATCCCCGGGCGAAGAGACCGCTATATATTTTGTTTTGCTTACTTTAATATATATATAAAATATATACTCTAATCCTTGACCGTACACTTAAATCGCGCGGTCGTAACAATGCTAATTTTATAACCTGATCTAACTGTGTTTTCGACACATTTTTAGATTTTGATCGAATCGAGGAACGTATATTGATTTTACTTTAATTAATTTGTTTGTGTGTCTTTAAACAACTTTTCTAACGATAAATTCTACTCCAATCGAAAACGCTACAGAAACTCT